AGGAACTGTGCCACGGAGAACCCGTGCCCAGGAGTCCACCCCAGCTGAGCACCACGGACCCGCCCGCCCCCGTGTACGGCCCTGCGGATCCCGTCCCGGTGGCGGCCTCGGCTATGCCCCGCGCCCCCCCTCCCGGTGCGGGCGGGCTCCCGCGCGGGTGCCCGCGGCTCGGGGAGGCGCGTGACCGGCTGCCGCTGCCGCCGCCGCCCGCTCCGCCGCAGAGCCCGGCCCGCCCGCACCGGCACCGGCACCGGCAGGTCAGCGCGGGGGGCTGCGGCTCCCGGGGCACCAGTACTGGGGCCGCCAGAGCTGCGGCGGGCGGCGGGAGGGGGCTGGCGGCACCGCGGCCCGCGCACCGCGCACCGGGCACCGAGCGGCGGAGCCGGCGCGGCGCGCTGCGGGCGGGGTCGGCGGGATGCGGCGGCCGCACCGTCCCCGCTGTGGTCCCGCACCGGCGGCGGCCCGACTCCGCAGCGCAGCCCTGTCAGTAACCCGCACCGCGGCGCGGAGCCACCGCCGCAGCACCCTGGCGGTCCCGGCCCCGTTCCCGGCCCGGCGGGTTTGAGCCGTGTGTGCGGCGGCAGCGCGGGGCACCGGGCCGAGCATCCCCGCCGGGATGCGGCTGGGACGCGCCAAGGTGAACGGTGCGCGGCGGAGCGGGGCCGCCGGCGGCGGGGACATCGGGCGAGGACACCGGGGATAGAGAATCGGGGAGGGGACACCAGGAGGGACACCAGAATTGAGCACCGGGGAGGGGACTTTAGGGATGGAGCACTAGGAAAGGGACACCGTGGATGTTGGGGGTCGGGACCACTAAGCACCAAGGATCACCCACACCGGAGACACCAGGGATAGGGAACACCAGGGGACACTGGGAAAGGGAAGACTGGGAATGGGGCCACTGGGTACGGGGACAGCTGCGAATAGAGCCCAGGGCTGCCCGGGAAGGGACAGCCAAGTCACTGTCTCTCTCCCTGGGCAGTGGGTGGCCAAGGGCACAGCGGCATCACGGCCAGTAGCACGAGTTATCTGGGCAGCTGCCGTGGATCCTGGCTCACCAGATCCCCATCCCCACAGGGTCGACTCGGTACTCACCATGGCTGCAGCACAGCTCATCATTTGGGGGATGCTGCTGGCCACTGGGGTCCCTGCCAAGGCCCAGGGGGTGCTGCCGGCAGTGCTGACCTTAGGTGGGGACCCCTTGCACAGCCCTGCCTGGGAACAGCAGTGGCCAGGCCCATCCCCCACCTGGGAGGCATCGGGGGAGCCGAGCGGTGCCGGGCCCCCAAGAAGTGAGCGCTGGAGGGTCAAGCACCCCGTGCACTGGTCCCTGCCACCGCAGGCAGGGGATGGCACCAGGGCACCCCTGGAGATGGAAGCCACTATAACAGGCGCTGATAGCAAGGACTGGAGGGATGGCAGCACAGTCCCGGCTGTGGCAGAGGAGCCACTCGTCGCATGGCGAGGACACGAGGCTGAAGTCCAGGACAGCTCCTTCCCCCACGGCTCTGCACAGGGGACACTGGGCCCTGAGGCGCTCACGGACAGAGGGGCAAACTCTCCAGGGCCACCCTGGGCAGGGCAGGGCCTGTTCCCGTCTAGGCAGAGTGTCTCCAAGGCAGTCGGCACCCCCAGCCCTCAGCCAACCATAACTACCGTTGTCCTGGACCCCACGCTGGTGGCAGGGATGAGGACAGCATATGCCCATACAGGGAGACACACAGCGGGAGAGGGACACACAGTGGCCTCGGGTCTCTCTCAGGATCTCACTTCAGCTAGCAGCCAGTCGGTCCCGCTGGGCACAGCCCCTGTCTCCGATCCCACAGGCACGGGGCCAGCCTGGAGTCCCCATGCCAGCCCTGGCTCTGCGCAGCTGGTGGGCAGCTGGGGTGACACGGGAGGGCCCCCCAGCCCCTCCCCGGCTCTGCCCAGCTCTGCCCCACGGCTGCGCCACACAGCCATGTTCTGGGAGCTGGCTGAGCCCTGGACTCGAGTGCTCCCGTCCCACCAGCGCAGCACCCGGAGGGCCCCACTCAGCCACGCCACCACCAACCCTGGCGATGCAGCCCCCCGCACGGATCTTGAGACTACGGGGCAGAGGGGACCCCAGTCCGTCCCAGGGTCTGTCCTCATCACCGGCCCTGTGCCACCCCCCGCCTCCAGCACGGCCACCCCCGTTACCCCGAGCAAAGGTAGGAGCCAGAGCAGTGCGGGGGGACTCCTTGGCGGGGACCAAGTCCCCGCAGATGTCAGCGCCCTGCTGTGCTCTCTCTCGCAGGGCTGCTGCCCGAGGAGGACGTCGGCTCCCCGCAGCAGGTCCGGGGCGCCGTGGGTCCTGTGAGCGTCCCAAATGCTACCAAGACGACCCCACAACCAACGGCACTTCCCACCACGGGGACGCTCGGGACAAAGCACCCAGGTGATACAGGGCTGCGTCCAAGCCCATCCGTTCTGCAGATGCTGTGGGAGCCCATTCTGGGGTGTCGGGGCTGGTGGGGGGCGGGGATGGCAGCTATCTTGAGCTGCCCAGCCGGGACACAGTGACACCTTCAATCAGGATTGCCACCTGACAACGGCCCTAATCTACTCCTGCCCGCAGGGATTAGCGCTAAATGCTCGGTGGGTGGGGGTTTCCCCAAGTGGGTGGGGGACGTGACCGGGGATGTGGCAACCCTTGCACTACGCATCCTGACAGAGAATCCCGGGAGGCACCGGTGGGCATAGCCCCAGCCAGCACAGGGCATCCCCCGCAGCAGTGTTGGGGTGCCGCAGCTGATGCAGCCCAGTGTGGGGTGCAGATGTGGGCCATCAAGTGTGTGCCACCAAGCCCCCCACTTCCCTCTAAGCGTCCCCCTCCCTCCTACCTGCAGACACGCCAGGGATGCAGACCACAGCCTCCAGCACTGCCACCCCCTCGGCCACGTGGCGACGAGCAGGGATGACGCCTCAGCCAGTCCCCCGAGATCCGTCATCACCGCAGCCACAGTCCAGCCGTGTCCCCCCGACGCTGCGGGCCAACGCGACTGGGCTGCGCTGGGCCGAGCTGCAGCGCCAGTTGGGCTTCTCCTGGGAGGCCCATGTCTATGGAGTGGCTGCCGTCTTCCTGCTGCTGGCTCTGGGCTGCCTGGCCGGGCTGGCAGGAACAGCCATCCTGCGGCCCCCACACCTTCCCCACGTTGTAGGGGCCCATGGGCTGCTGCTGGCCGCCTGCCTGCTGCGGGCCACCTTCCTGCTGCTGGATCCCTACGGGGCACGGGGCCGCCTGCCTGCTCCGGCCCTGCTGCTTCTCAACACAGCCCCTTTCCCCCTGCTGCTCGCCGCCTTTGCCCTCCTGCTCCAGCGGCTGCAGCGCCTTGCAGAGCTTCAGATGCTGCCATCCCGGCTGCGGGGGCTGCCAGCGCTGGGGGCTGTCGTTGCCCTGCAGGGTGCGGTGATGGGAGCCGCTGACCTGCTGCCGCCTCGGCTAGGGCTCACCGCCGCGCTGGGGCTGCAGGCGCTGGGCTGCGTGGCGGGGGCTCTGCTGCTGCTGGGGGGGCTCTGGGGGTGCTGCCGGGTGCTGCGGGCGCCCTGCGAGGGGCCAGGGCCGCAGCCGGAGGCGCGGGCGCTTCTGGTGGCAGCAGTGGCGGGGCTGCCGGTCTGCGGGCTGCAGCTCTACAGCGCCGTGTGGCTGCGAGGGGTCCTGGGGCCCCACGGGCGCTTCTCCCTGCCCAGCTGGGCGGCACAGCTCTGGCTGCGGATCGGCGAGCTGGGCACGGCCGTGGCGCTGCTGGCGGCCGCCGCCGAACCTGTGTGCTGCCGGTGTCGCCGCCGGAGCCCCGCCGGCCACTCCTGCTGGGCCAAGGCACTGCGCTACTTCTGCGCCGGCCGCAAAGCCGAAGCACCCGAATACCCCAACAACTGCTACGACTGGGCCGGCGGCAGCACCGGCGGCACCGGTGTGGAGCGGACACCCGCCAACGACATCTCCAAGAACCTCATCCGCAACCCGGCGGAGCAGCTGCCCCTGCGGGCTCTGAAGGACAGCAACGAGGTCTGGGCAGCTGGCACCGGGATGCCGGGGCTCAGCCCCAAGTGCCCCAACATGCTGGCCGCCCGTTCCTGCGCCGCCTTTGAGCAAGGCTCGTCCCCCTCCCTCGGGGAGCTGATCTTCCGCCCGCCGTCCCCCATCGACCTGCGCCGCAGCATCGACCAGGCGCTCTGCCGCCGCCACCTCCTGCACGACGGCCTCTTCGGCCGGCCCCGCCGCGGCTCCGGCTCCTCACTGCACGGCTCCCCAGCCCCTGACACGACCCCCAGCTTGGGGCGCATGGTGCGCTGCAGCTCGCTCACGGAGCTCCCCGGTCCCCGCCAGCCCCCCGGCAGCATCACTGTCACCGTCACCGCCTCAGCCAGTTCGCTGGAGAGCAGCTCACTGAAGATCAGCTGGAACCCCTGGCGCCATGGGTTGTCCTCTCCCGACAGCCTGCCCCTGGACGAGGCACCCAGCCGGGCCCCTCTCCTGGTGTCCGCTGGAGCCCCCGACTGGGAGCGCGAGGGTCCCCGCACCTTCCCAGCCCTTGGCAAGGCGGTCGACTCCCGCAGCCTTTCCAGCGACACCATTGAGCTCTGAGCTCGGGACAGGCAGAGACTGGGGGCGCAGGACGATGAGCCCAATGTCAGTGTGCGGGAGTCTGATCCTGCGTTCCTGTAGGGCTGGGCAGGGGCGGTTCCATTTGTGCCAAACGAGAGAAATAAAGAGTTTATGCTGGGAGGAGACGGTCCTGTTGGCATGTGAAAGCGGTGGTGGGCAGCATCAGCTGGGTGTGCAGAGCTTTATTTCCTGAGATATGGACACATGGACAGATGGGCACACCCCGACGGACAAACCACGGACAAATGCAATGGCCACACTCATGCATCCAGCAGGGGCCCCTCACCGTCACAGCACCCTGCCAGTGGCAAGGGACCCCTGGCCCCCCAGCCTGCGAGGGGAGATGGGCTCTGCCCAGGGATGTGGGGGGGCAGCTCTCCAAGTCATACAGCTCAGGACATGGGGGGGGCCCAGCCCCCCACTCTCCCACAGGGAATGGCCTCATGGGAGGGGAGTCCTATGGGGCCAGGAGCCCCAGACTGGGGTCAGATAGCAGGTTCCCTCCCTCACCTGCCCCTCCACCCCCTCACCTGTCACAATGCCAGGCCTCTCCTCCAGAGCACAAGGAGCTGGGGGCAGCATGCTGTGCCCCCCACACGATGCTGCACTGCCTGGCATCACCCCTCCAGCCAGAGTGGGCTGTGTGAGAGCCCCCAGGATCAGGTACTCCTGGCTCATTCTGCAGGGACAGGGAAAACAAGACCCTATGCTAAGGGGGGCTGGGGGACGCATGCAGGGCACAGCATCATGTGCAGGATGCGGCCTTGGCAGCCAGCCCTGCTTGGGGGAGGCCCTGCACCCCAAGCTGAGTCCGCCCCTCAGCTTCCGCCCAGCAGCTCCAGAGCTATCTGCCCTTCATGAAGCCATCGAGGACACGGTCACTGCGGTCAGAAAGCCAGTAGCCAGCCATGGCGGCCACGGCGCCGATGAAGATGGCTGTGAAGACCATGTCACCCTTGGCAGCCAGTGTGGCAAGGGCACAGATCATCACACCAAAGAACATCTGCTGCAGCACCACCACCTCGTCATCAGTCACGTCATCAAAGAAGCCCTTCTCTGGGGCATCTGCATGGACAACACTCGTGGGAGGGCACAGCTGACCAGCAAGAGCCCCCCACTATGTCCCACACCCCCTGCCCAATGCCCATGTCCCCTTGTACTGCATTAGGCCATACCAGGGGGCTTGTCCTCAACGCATTGTCCGTCTCGGCGGATGTGGCCTTGGGCACACACACAGCGGTAGCTGCCCTCTGTGTTCTCACACACCTCTTGCACCCCTGTGCACACTGGCTCCTCGGCACTGGCACACTCATCCACATCTGGGGGGGGAGGCAGGGCTCAGGCAGAGCTTGGGCAGTGAAGAAGAGGCAGTATGGCCCCCCAATCCATGGGAGGCACTCACCCAGGCACTTGGCTCCATCCCGCCAGTAGCCCTTGTTGCATTTCTTGCAGCGAGCTGGCCCAGCACCCATGCAGCCGATGCAAGCCGTGGAGCAGTCTGCCTCAGGGAAAGGAGTCAGGGTTGCTGCTGGAGCTTCTTTCCAGCCCAGCCAGGGTTGGCTCCAAGCAGGGAAGAGCCACCCGTATGATAAGCCCCCACCTCCCCCTGACCTCGGCACTCGTAGGAACCCTCTGTGTTGACGCAGTACTGGTTGGCTCGGCAATGCGCCATCTCTGTGCCACACTCATCTATGTCTGCAGAAGAGATGGGGACAGCTCTGCTGAGCCTCAGCTCCGGGGATGCAGCCCTACGGTCCTGAGCTCATCTCTGGCCTTCACTCACCAATGCAGCGGTGCTCATGCAGCACCCAGCCCCTCTTGCAGCGAAGGCAGCTGGAGTCCTCAGGCCCCGTGCAGCGCCCGCATGCCTGGTAGCACTCTGCGGGCAGGGAGGGCAACGTGGACACAGGCAGGGGGGAGCTGCCTGTACCCACTGCCTGGGCAGCAACGGCAGAGTCCCCACCTACCAGCACACACGAGGTGGCTCTTGTTCCGTGAAGCCTCATAGTAGCCGTCACCGCACTCGGCACAGAAGGGACCACCATAGCCTGGGCTGCAGACGCAGAGGCCGGTGCCGCGGCGTGTGCCATCACCATCGCATTGCCCATTGCCACTGCAGGGCTGCTGGGGCCCACCGGCACAGGCTGCATGGGAAGAGACCAGCCGGCTGGCAGCCAGGGCGGGGGGCAGCAGCCAGGAGTGCCCCTCCAGTCCTGCCAACACCCCGCTCATCCCACAGTTACTCACACCGGCAGTCCGGGCCGTAAGTGCCGGGTGGGCAGCAAAGCATCAGCCTGTCCACACACAGCCATTGGAAAAAGTCAGGGTGCTGCTGCCGCCTAGGGAGGGGAAGATACAATACTCAGCCCTCTGCCATCCCCCTGTGCCCCCTGCCATCCACATGTCCCTGTCCCCATTCTCACTCATGGAACCACCACTGCTCCACATGCTCCTCACTCCGCTCCAGCAGTTGGTGGCAGGCGAAGTCCGAGGGGGCACAGACACCCTCCAACACCTCCAGCAGACGGGTCTCACTGCAGGGACATGAGCCAGTATAGGATATGACTTCTGGAGCAGCTGGGCTCCCACAGCCCCTCACTGGGGTCACTTACCTGTGCTGGTACTTGGACAGCTTCTCCTCCTCCCAGGCCGTGTTACCCCCACCAAAGCCCTCATGCTCTGTCCGCTCCAGGCCCTGGATGTATGGGGGAGTGGCAGTGCAGGCATAGGACCCCCCCAATAACCCCTCTACCCATAGGGTTCCACGAGACACATCACCTCCAAGGACCGGCTACCTTCTCCCCTCCCCAGAATCCAGTCATTGTGCCCCTGGAAATGCTGTTGGAGTGCCTCCACTTCACCACTGTCACCCCCAAACCACCACTCTACAGGGCCCTGTCACCACCCTTACCCCGGGCCTGTGATGCCTCTGGGTCCCCCAACCACATCACCCCACCCAGGATCCCCTTCGTCCCTTCTCATTGTCACCTCCAGGCCGTGTCCTCCATGTCTGCTACCCGTGGGCCTCTCTCGTCACTGTCCCCTCGCCCCCAGCTGCCCCTCGAAGCAGCGGCTGTGTCACCCCACACCCCTCGGTGCCATTACCCCCGTGTGCCCCCTCGCCGCGGCCTCCATCATTCCTGTGCCCCCCCCCGCCCCGCACCCTGATGAAGCTGTCGGCGAGGCCGCGGCAGGCTCGGCACGGCTCGGCCCCATCTCGGTGGGGGTCAGGATCGGCGTGAGCCACCAGCAGGACCCCCCCAAGAAGGGCGGCCCCCAGGAGGGCCCCCCCCAGCCCGGGCCCCCTGCACCGGGACGACCGCGGCAGCAGCGGCAGCGGCCCCATCATCCATCCGCCCGCCCCGCCCCGCACCACGTGGGCCGCGCCCGCTGACTCAGCGCCCGCAGCCCCCGCCAATGGGCGCACGCCGCCACAGCCGGCCCCCGCTCTCAGCCAATCCGCGCCCCGCCCTGGGCACGCCCACCCGCGCCTTAAAGGGGCCGCAGGCAAAAGCCGGGGAGGGGCTGTGCGGGTGGGTGCAGCGGATGACCCCGCATGGAGCGGGGCCGGCTACCTGGAGCGCACCGGCCCGGTCCCCGCCTGGTCTGGGCGTGACCCTCAAACATCCCCCCCACATCCCCAGTCAAACCAGGGCAGTTCACCTTCCCCCCTCCACTCAAACTGGTCCACTTCCTTCTCACTGTACCCAAATTTGCCCAGTTCCCCCTCATCTCACCCTAAACTGGTTCCATTTCTTCTCACACTTTCTCCCAAACTGTCTCATTTGCCAATCATTCCCCAATTAGCTGGCCCCATCACCACCCCAAATTGGTCCAGTTCCCCTTCATACCCCTAAACTGGTCCAGTTCCCAATACACCCTCCAACCAAAACAACTCCCTTCCCCTTCACGCCCCAAACAGCCCAGCCCCCTTCCTGTCCCCATCCTCCTATACCTCCCCATCATCCCTCTCCATGCCATCCGAACCCATCCCATCATCCCTTCCCAAACCATCCCAGTCTCTGCTGGACTCAGAGCTTGACTCACATTCAGCAAAAGCAGTCACCCTTTTATTCCCCTACCGCCCGCTGCAGAGCCTCGGCCACCGCCGCCACGTGTGACTCTAGCCACCGGCCCCTCTGCCGAGCTGGGCCTGCCAGTGCCTGCAAAAACCCCTCTGTCTCGCTGGGGAGTGCGAAGGCAGGGGCTGCCCGCAGCGCTGGGGGCACTGCTGGCACCAAGGCCTCCAGACAGGCCACCACGTAGTGCCCATTGGCCACCGCCAGCACTGGCATGGCACAGGATAGAGCTGCGGCGAACACCTCGCAGGGTGCCACAGTGGGGACATCATCAGGGTCAGGGTTGTGCCGGGGCCCAAGGCTGCTTTCAGCGGCCCCGGACTCTGGCACAACCCTAGCCCTGGTGTCCCACTGGTGTGCAGCAGCCACGGCTGCCGGGGAGAGGAGGAGGATGATGGTGTCACTGTCACGTAGTGCCCGGTGGTGCTGGGCATGCAGCCAGGGTAGTGGCCCCAAAGCCGCCATCCCGCTGCCACCCCCTGGTGCTGCCACCACTGTCAGACCGAGGGAGTGCAGAGCTGCCATCAAGGCACACGCTGCCCGCTCTGCCACCGGCTCTGATGCGTGCACCAGCAGTGCCCGCCGGCCTTGCAGTGGACCTGAGGGGGGAATCATCAGTGCATCCCTCTAGACACCCTGTACCCACCCTATGGTGCGAGGCATGCTGGGAAGCACCCACGATGGGGGAGACCATCTCCTGCCTCTGTCACCCAAGCTCTGCAGCATCCCCCGTACCCAAGCTAAAGCACATCCACAATGGGAAGCAGCTGAGACCGCCACTGATGTGAGTCCCCCAGTCCCCTTGCCGAATCCTTTACCCACCCTAAGGGACAGACATGGTGAGAGGCAGGTTGCAATCTGCCCCCTCCCATCCCCCATAAGGCTTTCACCCTCTTCTCTGTTTCCCTACACCCCTACCTACCCTGTCAGGCAGGCAAACATGAACTAATTTGGGTGGGGGATCCCCTCACTCTGTCCTCTGACCCCTCTGGGATAGGCATAGACTGCCTGCCCCCCTCAAGGCCCCAGGCTCAACCCACACTCACCCTTGGAGCCATAACCAGTCCTCAGGGATTTCAGCCATCCTGTGGGGAGGACAGGCAGTGAGGTCCCAGGAGCGGTCCCAGGCAAGGCACAGCCCCCAGAAGTGCACCACTCACCTTTCATATCCTCCTTCTTCATCAAGAGCAGCAGTAGGAGACAGGCGGCCCCCAGCAGCACCCCCATCCACACCAGTGCCCAGTGGGTACGCAGGTCTGCAGGGCAGGATCTGCATTTACCAAGGGCCCCCAGCACCCAGCAAAGGTCTCCAGTGGCTCCACAGCGGGGTCCCCTCCCTCAGCCCTTTATTATCCCTCCTCTCCCCCACCATGGCTGTCAACACTTACACTTGTGCAGGGGACAGGCCCAGAGCACAACTCCAGTGCTGTTTGATGGGTGCCACAGCTGTGGGGGACACAGGGACATGTCAGACACTGCCCAGTCCCTGCCCACTGCTGCCCACTGTGGCTGCTCACACTGACCTGCTGGCACTGCCCCCCTGCCACGTCCTGCTGCAGATCCTGCTCCAGCAGCCCAGGGTGTCCTGCCCCCTGCAACAATAGAGCAGGTCAGACAGCGGTGCCACCACTGCCAGACACAGGAGTCCCTGTGCCACCAGCACCACTGTTGCCAGGACATGGGGGTTCCTTCTTTTTTACCGTGCTGGTGAAGCTGGCAAGGGGTGTGCAAGCACCCCACTCCATGGCACACAGTGAGGCATTCCCCCCGTGCTCCAGCAGCAGGAGGTCATCGGGGCGGCCAGGCAGTGCTCCTGGGAATGTGCCAGGGGGCTGGGTAGGTGGTGAAGGGAGGCCAAGGAGGGCTCCCCCCAGCTGGACCCACAGCCTCTACCCTCCCACCCCAGCAGTACTCACGGTCCCGCAGACACTGGGTCAGCCGGACCTGCCCACCGCTCCACACCTGCACCAGAGAGTGGATTAATAGTGCCTGGGGGTAATGTGGGGCTGCCCGTGAGGCAGCTGTGGGGCAGAGTGGTGTCCTACCTGCACGCAGAGGTTGGGGTGTGGCTGCAGCCCTCCAAACTCCTGGGGTCCCTGTGAGTGGAAGTGATGCTCCATAACTGTCACCACTATCCTTCACAAAGCCCCCAGAGCCCCACTGAGCCTCACTCACCTGCCCTCTGGCAGGCTGCTGTAGGCCAGGGAGGGGTTGGCAGGGCCCAGAGTGCACTGGCTGCCAGCAAGGCACCAGCTCAGCCGGGAGGTCGCAGGGGGCTGAGAGGGAGCAGGTCAGCACATGCTCCTCGATGTGTAGGACCAGCCGGCTCTGCGCCCACAGGCGCTCCCAGGCCTCAGCATCTGCAGCAGCACCAGAAGAAGGATGTCACTTCGTATGGTGTCCCCTCAAGTCCCCCTGTGTCCCATCCCCCTAGAGCCCAGAGTGAAGGTACCATGAGAGAAGGGACACAGGGTGGCCCGTAGTGGGTCTTGGGTTTCCGGCCAGACCTGGGAGTGGGGAGAGAGACAAGAAAAGTAGCCATGGTGTGACCGTGACCTGGCTGGCCCCCTTGGGATGCCAGAGGGAGATATATGGAGCTTGGAGCCCCTCTTTAGTGGCATCCTGCCACCCCTGCAGTGCTCGGTCGGATGCCCACCTGCAGGCAGAGGCAGGGCAGCACCTCATCGGTGGGCAGGACATAGTTCATGGGACTGCTCTGCTACCAGCAACCAGATGTGGGTCACCCCGTGGCAAATCGCCACCAGCAGGGTCACCTAGGTGGATCTACTCCCAGGGGACCCTCTCCCAGCACACTGCCTGTAACACAGACACGGCCTCTCGGGAATGGGGAGGAAGGCAGTGACGGGAGAACAGATCGGGTGGGGGGGGTCAGGGAACAGGGTGCATACTTACCGCAGTCACTGCACGCCCTGGCCCACTGGTGCCATGGCTATGGTTGTGGTAGAGTCGGAGTGTGTAGTTGTGCCCTACTGCAGCCCCCTGCACCTCCACAACCACCTCCTTCTTCCCCGGGGAGACCCGCAGTCTGGGCACTGTATCAGAGGCAGCTCAGGTCACCCAGCTTCTGGAACTGCCCACCCAGCACCAAGGCACAGGGCACGGCACCCCCAGGGTCACTCTCACCCCTGGTATCCACTGCCTGGCTCCCCCCAGGGGATGCAAACCGAGGTGGGGTGACTCCAGCACCTACCTTGGCACTGGGGGACAGCAGCCTGTGCTGCGGGCCACGAACAGCCTGTGGGGACAACGAATCAGTGGGCAGGGGGGCTGCGGCCACTGCAGGGGACCAGCCGGGACTTACCTGGCACCCGCTGCTGCTGGCTCAGCCTCTGCTGGCCCCGTGAATTCATGTATGCCGAGACGTGGAGTTCAGAGCCCAGCGGCGCCTCGAAGCACCGGAAGATCACCCAACCCTAGGCAGGAAAACCACCACCCCATTGCGGTGAGGCACCGGCATCGCCAGCACCCACCTCCCTGGGGCTCGGAAACAGGACCCCCATGCCACAGAGATGTGCTGATGCCAGCGCCCACATCCCCAGTGCCCAGGGTCTGACAATGTTGGGACACCCGTCCCTGGTGACCCGCATCTACATACCACGGTTCGGCCACGCAGCGTGGGTCTCAAGGGTGCCCAGACCTCCACGGCCACACAGCGGGACGAGGCGTATGCGTGCCCGGAAAGAAGCAGCAGCCCGGTAACATTGGGCTGGGATGAGGTGGCCCCAGTGGCTGGTGACCACTGGCCCCCATCACCGCTATCCTGTGTCCCAGAGGTGCCAGGCTGCGCGGAGAGGCGGGACTCGGTGGCGGGGCTGGTGGCAGGTGGCAAGGCCAGGCGCACGCGTGCCTCCAGGCAGGGCACGCAGGCCATGGGCTCCGTGCAGCGCAGTGCCGGCTCCAGCCGCAGACGAGCCAGGGCCAGCCCGTGCCTGGGCCCCGGGGGCTCTGTCCCGCACAGCACATCGGTGTCTGGGGGGACAGAAAGGGCAGCATGGGGGAGGAGTCCCCATGCCCTGGGTGGGGTGGGGGCCATGGCATGGTGATGGCACTTACCCAAGAGACGGCAGGTGAGGCCCTGGGGGAGGCAGGGGTGAGGCCAGTGGTGGTGCCAGGTGCCCGACGCCAGAGCGCTGGTGACACCAACCTACCTGGGAGCAGGCCAGGGTGTCGCGGGGGTCCCCACGGCCACCCGCCGACCCCACCACCAGCACCAGCAGGAGCTGCCCCAGTGCGTGCATGGTGGGGCCGGGGCCTCGGGGCGCCCCGGCCCCACGCTGGTTACTCCCCAACAGCCCCTGTCCTGGCTCCACGGGCCCCACCGCCGCCGCCGGCTCCTGCTTCCTGCTCTGATCCCGGACACCCGGGTCCTTGCGTGGCGTCAGCAACCGCCCTGGGGTGGGGCCTCCTGTTCCCGCACCGACCTCGGAGGGCTCCGTGTCCCGGCACCCTTGGGAGGGCTTGGGGCCCCACAGAGACGAGTTGGCTCCATGGCACGGGCACGGTGCCAGGCTGGCCCCAGCCAGGCGCAGCGGCGGTGGGACATGGTGTGGCAACCGTGCCGGTACGGGCTGTGCCCAGCCGGGTGCGTCCTCTTGCCCCTCCATGCCGCAGAGGAGCACTGGGCAGCCCCCAACCCTCCAGGGCACCAACAAATCCCCCCGGTACACCAGAGAGACAACAGGGCAGGGTGAAATGACACCTTTATTGCTTCCACCCCAGACCAAGTCCTGCTGGCAATATCGAGGCAAAGAGTAGGGCTGGGCTGTGCCCAGCACCTGTCCCTCTAGCCACCTGCAACTGGGCAGGGCAGGGAGCCTCCTCATCTCGCAGATTCTTCCTGCACCACCCCAACCCCTCGCTTGGCTGTGGCGTCCAAAGGGGCTTTTTTAGGCTCTCCTCTGGAGCAGGTCCCTGTGTGGGAATAAAGCTGCCCCTGCTTGGGACAGTATCTCTGCTCCTGGCCACAGATGACCAGGTGGATGCTCGCTCCAGCCCCAGCAGCACACTCCTTGACTGAAGCCAGTCCTGCTTGGACCCCTGCAGCTCCCTCCCGGGGCACCCACGGGTACCCCTCCTGCTGCTGCAATGGGCACACGCTCACCTGAGCCCTGCCTTCTCCTGGCAGAACCCCTGTCCTCACCGGGGGGCTGTGCCCAGCCCTGCACCCCCTGCAGCCATGCCCTGCTCAGGCCCAGCCTGGCCACTCAGGTGCCAGAAGCTGCGTCGGAAGGCCGGGGCGGGGGACTGCCCTCTCCAGCCCCCACCTCCAGCAGCCGATGCAGGAGGCCCCCCGCCCTGCCCCGACGGCAGCGGCGAGGAGCCGGGGGGCTGCCCCGCAGGGCACCCAGAAGACCGGGCAGCTGTCGGGGCAGGCGGTAGGTGGGCAGGGGCCGAAGGGGTCGGGGGACATCGCGGGGGCTGCAGAGCCGGCTGAAGTATGCCAGGACCCACCCGCCGCCGCGGCCCGCCGCCCCCAGCTCCCCGTGCAGGCAGGCCATGGCTGCCCCAAAAATGTCATGGGCATCTCCGGGCGTCCCGTCGGCCATCCCGACCTGCCACCGATGAAAGAGCCGGGCACTGCCCCGGCTCCAGAGGAGGAGGACAGTGCCACGCTGGCGACCCACGCGGCTCCGCTGGGCATAGAGCCAGGGCAAGGCGCCCGCCTGACCCAAGCCACCCGCTTCCCACAGGTCCAGACGCACATCGCAGCCCAGCCCTGCGCGCAGCCGCTCGGCCAGGGCACACACCAGCCCCAGGTGCTCCTCTGAGTCTGGCGAGTACAGCAGCAGCACGGGGCGCCCGCCAGGGACACCTGCAGGTTGGAGGGGACAGCAGTGACAGCTCAGCTCCGTGTCCTACTGGCATCCCCTGGGGACACCCTGGCACCCAACAGCATCTGCCATCTACCACTCTCAGACCCCCTGCAGCCCAGGAACTGGCACCCCCTGGAACTCTCGCCCCTCTTGCCATCCCTTCGGCAGCCCCCTCGGGTGCTCCTCACCATCATCTGGCCTCCAGGCACCACGGCAGTTGAGGAGCAGCACAGTCACCACCAGTCCCAGCGCCAGCACCAGCCCCAGCAGCCCGAAGTGCCTGTGGGAGACTGGGAGAGGGGCAATAAAGGGGGTGTCTTCCCATTCCTACTGTCCCGACTCCCCTACACGACCCCCTCTCACCATCGGGACAGAGCAGCTGCTTCCGAGCAAAATGCACATCCGAGCGCCACACCTAGGGAAGGGGCTGGGTAAGAGGGGGACCATGTTGGGTCCCCCATAGCACAGATGACAGCACAAGGGTCACCTTACCAGCACGCAGCTGCCCAGGACCTGCACTGGCAGCAGCAGCGTCAACTCCCCTGGAGCAGAGCCTTCTGGCTGCAAAGCACAAGGGCAGGGTCAATTTGGGTCTCTCCCCACCATGTCCCCCCAGCCCTGCACCACTCACCTGTGTGACAGTGTAGAGTGGGGCCTCGGGTTCACACTGCCCACCCCGGTGCTGACACAGGGCTGCACTGAAGGCTGCAGGGATGCGGGAGGTAAGGTGCAGGCGCAGCTGGAGCCCCCAGACACTCACTGAGACATTCCAGGCAGTCTCTGCGGCCACCAGAGAGAGAGGGGAGGTTGCAGGATGCCCAATATGGGTGAGGGGTGCAAGGGACCCTGGGGCAGGGCTGTGCTTAACCCAGGGCTGCCTCCTGCCCATAGGGCTCACCTGACTGGTGGGGACACTCCACATGGCTACTGTTCTTGTAGGAGAACTGAGGAGAGGTGGGATCAACAAAGGGCAGGGTGAGCTGCCCTCACCCACCAAGCCCCCCAGCCCCTTCCGAGATGATGCCCACCCACCCAGAGGGGCTTACTCGGAAGCAGAGCTGGGGGTGCACGTCCACCTTGTCTAGTATGTACACCTGGAACAAATGGTGGGTATGTCACAGTTACCATCTCTGACCCACGTAGCCCACAGGCACTCCAGTGCCCACCCACTGCTCTACAGGGACCCTGAGATCCAGTGGATGCCCTAGCGAGTGTCACAGTCCCACGTCCTCTGACACTTCAAGATCAGGAGCTCTCACCTGCTCATCCTCACTGGCTGTGGAATTGGGGATGTCGTGACAAGGTGCAGCCTCATCTGCTGCCTCCCTCCAGCAGAGGGTGGCCCGTGGGTGCAGGGGGCAGCTGGCATTCAGCACCATTGCCATCTGGTCCTTGCTGCTGGTACTGTAGTCATGGAAGCGCACTGAGGACCACAGCTCGGGACCATCTGTGGAGCACCACATCAGTGTCGTGGGGAGACACCGAGGGACACCCCTGGGACTCAGCACCCCTCCCCACAAGCACCAGGCACTCACAGGCATCTGGCCGGTCACGGAAGGGGCAGTGTTTTCTCCGTGGGCTGTCGTGGTGGGAGTAGGAGGCCTGGGACAGCAGAGCAGGACGGTCAGGGCAGGATATGCCCCCACCCCTCATGCGAGGGCAGAGGAAGGGGCTCTGGTGGCTGTAGGGGAGGGCAACCCACCTCAATGCACAGGCAGGGCACCAGGAACTCGTACGGCAGTGAGATGTGGTGACCTCCTGGCACCAGCACCTGCAATATGGAGGGAGCATCAGCTGTGTCCATCAGCTGGCAGGGATTGTGTCCCCCATCTGGGATGGGGGTGTCGGAGGGCAGAGCCATTACCTGCTGGTGGAAGGGCCGGGGAAGCTCCTCACACTCCAGGGCCAGCTGGTGGCACAGCCGCACCATGAGGGCAGGACCCGCGGGCACCCACACCTCAATGGCCCGCACCTCAGGGACCCAAGCATGGGTAAAGACAGGCCCTGCAGAGCAGGCAGGGGGTCAGCTGGTACCGGCGTCCCCCCAGGACACTTCCCAACCCCTTCAGTCTCACCGGGTGGCTCAGCGGTAACCAGATGGCTGCAGCTTAGGGCCAAGCCCCGATCTGGGATCGTGCGAAGGGAGACGAGGACGTGCCGCCCGCTCTCTGCCGGGAAGCAGTCGAACTGCACCTGCCACTGCGTGGAGCAGGGGGTCACCGGGCGTACGCCGAGCCTTGGTGTCCCCCGGCTCCACCGCCCACCGCAGACTCACCGCGGAGCTGCCCAACATCCGGCGTCGCTGCCAAACCTGCAGCCAGCCAGCCCGGTTGGAGCCCAGCTCCAGGAAGGTGAGCTGCAGTCCTCGGACACCGCCGAGCTCTGCGAGAAACAGGCGTGGGGTGCTGGCTGACATGAGTGGGGGGACGTGGTGTGCGTCCCCTGCCGCGGGGATGTCCGGCCCCGCCATCCCCGCCCTTACCTGCGGTGGGGAGGGCCAGGCGCACCCGAAGGCAGGGCTGGCAGGGCTGCGCGGGCAGGCACAGCCGGGCACGGCTCAGCGACAGGGCGGGCGGCTCCAGCGGCGGCCCGGGGCGGGAAGGGCGGCGGCAGCGGGGGCGGCTCAGCGTCCTGTCGGCTGCAGGAGGAGAGCAGACGGGGGGCGGCCGTGCGCCGGGGGTCCCGCAGGCAGCAGAAGCCCCGGGGATTGGAAGTGCTTGGAAGGGAGGGAGCCCCGGGAAATCCCGGGGAGGTGTACTCGGAAGGGAGGTGCCCCGGGGATTCAAAGTCCCGGCAAACCGGGAGCCTCGGTAATTCGGAGTCCTCGGAAGCGAGAACCCCTGAGAATCGGGAGTCCTCGGAAACAGGGAGAGCCCCGGGGATCCGGAGTCTTTGGAAGCGTCGAGCCCCAGGGGCCAGGAAGTTTCGGGGATTGGGAGTCCTCGGAAGCGGGGTGCCCCGGAAACCGGGAGCGCCCCCCCCCACCCATCCTCCAGGACCCAGTAGCCGCGGGCAGGGGAAGCCCCACGATCCCGCTGCACCCTGGAGCCAGTATCGCCCGGCCGGAGCAGCCCCGCGCTGACAGCCCTGCCCCGCCGCTACTCACCGGTGGCCCGGCACTCCTGCAAGCAAAGAGACGGGGGTGAACGCGGCGCCGCCCGGCCCTCACCTTCTCCCTCCACCTCCCTTCCCCGGTGCTCACGAAGTTGGCGGAGACCCGGAGGCGGGTCACGGCGGCCCCGGTCCCAGGCGGTAGAAGCAGCAGCAGCGCGGCGGCAGCGGCGAGCAGCAGCGGGCGCCCCATGGCCGAGCGCCGCCGCTCCCCGCCCCGCCCCGGGCCGGCCCCGCCGCATTCCTCCACCGGCACGTGCGGCCCCGCCGGCCCCCCCCACCCCCCCCGCTGCCAGGCGGCGCTTCCTGCGGCGCAGACACGCGTGGGAGCGCGGACGGTGCTTTATTTCCATAGAGCAACACGCGGAGGAAAGGGGAACGCACCCCAGGGACCCTGCACGGCCCCAGCCCTCGGGGGTCTCCCCCTTGCATGGGTGCCCGGGGCGCTGGTGTGGCTCAGACACCCACCCTGTGGTCCCCGAGGATCCCCCACCCACCGGAGCTGCGCCAGCGCTGCCCCACAGGACTGAACTGCAGAGCTTCAGCACCTCACGGAGCCCACCTATCCCCACTCATTTCTTCTTCTTCTCCTGCGTGCTAGTGAACCAGGAGTCCAGCAGCTTCTTGCTGTAGTAGAGTTGCCAGCCATGCACCTGCGCGGCCACCACCACCACCAGGTACATGACAGAGACGGCCGAGAAGCCGAAGATGAAGCGGTAAGCTTTGCCGTGGCGGTACAGCTGCTGTGCCATGGGGAACATCTCCATGGCCCCGTAGATGAGGGGAGCCATGGAGAAGAGGCCGGTGCTAATCATGGAGAGTACCAGGTAGCTGATGTTGTTGCGAGGGAAGGACAGGAGGCCCAGGAGGGAGGGCAGGATGCTGAGGAGGTAGGGATACTCCCATTGGTAGGGCATGGCCACCTGGTCGTGGGGCAGCAGCTTGAGATGTCCCACGACCATCTGGGCCAGGAGCAGCAGCCAGATGACTACATGCGTGTAGATCAGCTTCTTGATCTCCGACTTGAGGGTCACGCTGGGGAGAGAGTGGGGGGCCATCAGGGCCTGCTGGGGTCGCATGTCCCCCCGGAACCCTGGGAAAGGGGACACCTACCTCATCTGGTAGTGCGAGGCCACGCGCTCCCGGTGCTGGAAGTCGCTGCCATCGGTGCCGGCGGCGCGGGGACCCCCGCGGGAGGCCATGGTGTTGTCCTGGGGAGACACAGCGTCAGGCGGGGCCGCGCTCCCTGCCCGCCTCCCCAGCGCAGCCCCGGCACAAGCCCCCCGGGCCTCCCTCCCCCAGCGACAGTCCCGGGGCTCCCTCCTCGTGACCGTCCAGCCCTCCGGGACATCCCCGGGGTGACCTCCCCGCGGGTGACACCCCCGGCCCGCCGCTCCCTGCCGCGCCGCACCTGCGGGCGGGACCCTCTGCCCGCGCTTCCGCTGCTCTATGGCCGCGGCCGCCGGCTCCGGATGCCGGGGGGGAGCGCTCGGCGCAGGCGCGGCGGTGCCGCCATGGCGGGGACCGGGAGCGCCGCTGCTGCCGCCGCCGCGCGCGGGCTGGCGCGCCCGGGAGCGCGCACTGCGGGGTCAGCGGGGCGCGGAGGCGCGCGCGGGAGGGGAGGGTACCTGGGGGCGTTTATGTGTGGAGTGCGTGTGTGGAGAAGGTGCGTGTGTACTTGGGGTGCGCTGGCACCCGGAGACGCACACGCGTGGGGGCAGAGGGCTTATGAGTTGGGGTTATGGGGGGTTGTGCATTAGGGACATACCTGTGGGGTTGCAGATGTGTGAGCACAGAGGGGATGGGGAAGCGTGAGGGTGCGGAGACATGTGGAGAGGAGGGCGGACAGCGGTGGGTGAGATTTATGGACATACAGAGTGGGGTGAAGGTAGGTGACTGAGGGAAGTCCCACCTGCGTCCCCCTGCCCACTCCATCCCCTGCAGGTGGAGGCGGCTGCTGGGCCCCAAGGAGACGCTGAGGCTGTTGGAGGGCTCCGTGGTGCACCGGGAAGGTACCTGCGATAGGGGAGAATGGGGGTAAAGGAGACGAGAGTGAGTGAGGTACATCCTGACCAGACTTCCCCTCACTAGGAGCCCTGCTGGCGCTGAACAAGCCCCCGGGCCTCCCCGTTCTGGGTAAGTACAGGACAGCAATGGGGGGCTGCAGGGTGGGGGGCGCAGTGGGTGCTGACCTGCCAGCATCTCCCCAGGGCGCCCTGGGGACCTGAGCCTGGATGCGCTGCTGCCCACACTGAGACGACGCCTGGGCCTCGCTGCTGAGCTCCATGTGGTGAAGGCTCCTGCCAGGTCTGGTAGGAGGTTCCAGGCTGGAGGGCCTGGGGTGGAGCTGGGGCTGCCTTTCCCCCTCCAGGTCTCAAGCAGCCATGTCCCACAGGGAGCATTCTGGCCTTGTCCTCCTGTCCAGCTGCTACCACACCACTAAGAGGCTCCAACAGTTCTTCACCAATGCTCGTCGGAGAGGCCAATACCCTGCCACATATCGGTGAGTCCCTGGGACCCTGCCATGCTGGCGTTGGGGATCCTGGCCCCTTCTCAACCCCTTCCCTGCAGTGCCATCACCGTGGGAGTCCCGGCGGAGGTGGAGGGGGAGATCTGCACTGGGCTGCGCTGGCAGCAGCAGGAGGACAGAACCATGGTAAGGGGGTGCCGGCAGGCTGAGGATACAGGAGATATCCCAGGGAGTGCTGAAGGCCGTGCTCGGCAGGTGGTGCCAGTGCCAGCCCCAGGACGCTGCAGCCTGGCCAGGAAGGATGTGAAGAGCACCCTGACACGCTACCGGGTGCTGAGCACCATGGAGGGCTGTGCCCTCCTCCAGCTCCAGCCCAGGACAGGTGAGTGGCCCCCCAACACCTCCACCACCCCAGCCATGCTTCCTGACCCTTGCAATCTCACCTTCTCCCTGTTCCTCCCCAGCCTTTCCAGAACAGCTCCAGGTGCACCTGGCACTGCTGCTGTGCCCAGCCCTGGGCGACCACAAGCACTCTTCCCTAGTGGGCAGGGTGCTGGGAGTGCCCTTCTTTCTGACCCCTGAGACCGCCCCAACCCGCACACAGGTATATGGCCAGGGTGGATGCTGGGTGGGGCATTCAGCACAGCCCTCAGTGATCCCACTGAGGTGCCCACTCATATTGCAGGTACTGGATAAGGAGTTGCTGTCCCGGCTGGGTATTTCTCCACGGCAGCTCCATCACCTCCCACTCCACATCCACCTGCAGGAGTTAATGCTGCCTGAGGGCCCCCTCTGTGCCCCACCACTACCCTACTTTCTGCACACTCTGCGCTGTCTGGGGCTGCCTGAGCACTAGGAGCCCTAGTGCTGCAGGGGGACACCCACTCCACTCTCTGCCATCCCATTAAAATGCCCCCCTGCTGCCTGGGTGGCTCAGTACTCAGTTCTTTTCTTGGCACACAGAGGATGCATTTCTCCTGGCTGTCCCTCTGGCATTGCTGGGGGCACCAGCCCTGCCACCACTTTGCACCTGCCCTGGTTCCCAGTTCTAGAATGCAGCAGTGTCATCACCTACCGCAGCTTCATCTGGCAGGGGCGACTACAGGCAGCTTTTCCTGCCTACTCTCTGCTCTGGTAGCCCCAGTTCCCGCCCACAGCCCCATCCCAGGGAGTCCTAACCCTCCCCACAACTCTGGCACACAGAAAGTCTGAGACAGACCTTATCACAGAATTATTTTAAAATGCTCATGAGGGAGGAGGTAGGTACCACGACACAGCAATGGGAACTCTTTAGGATGAGAGGTAGCCTGGTACTGCAATGTTGGTCCAGCAAGGACAGACAGGGTGCTGTCCACGCCTGGGGGTGTCTCAGTGTCCCAAGTCTTCTGCATCCCAATGGGAGCTGCCGTGTGCTTCTGCTCCAGGAATGGGGTCCTGCTACTCTATGCAGACAGAGGTTGTCACAGGGGCTTGGCAGGAGGGAAGGAGCGCACACAACCCTGGGATAGCCAGGGGTTGCTGGGAGTTCCCCGGGGTGGTGGTACAGGCACCCAATTCAGGGGACAGCCATTGATCTGGGACTGCCCCAGTGGGCGACTGAGCCCTGGCAGCTCCTGTCTCCCAGCAGAGGAGGCCTGAGGCTGTGGTGGTGCTGGGGGGTCAGAGCTGGGAGAAGAGCAGTGGCTCCATTGCTCCAGAGGAGGCAGCTTCCCTGTTGCTGCTCTGGGCTGGGTCACCCGGGTGGTTCTGCTCCGCAGGGCCACAGACAACTTGGAAGCACTGGGCACGGTGATGGTGGGAGGTCGAGGCCGTGGTCTCTGGGGCGCCTGGGTCGTTCTGCCCCCTGGGGCCACAGACAACTTGAAAGCACTGGGCACAGTGGTGGAAGATCGACGCCGTGTGCTCTGGCGTACCTGGGCGGTTCTGCCCCCTGGTTCTGCTCCCTGGGGGAGCTTGGGGGCACAAGGCACAGTGGTGGGGAATTGATGCTGTGCCTGCTTGGGTACTTGGGTGGCTCTGGCCCCTGGGGACACAGGGTGGTGGAGGGCCTTGGCCTGGGCTTGCTCCTCTGCTGGTTGGAGCTTCTTCAGGGAACAGCCTTTGACCATCAGCCTCACACGTGCTGACAGAGGCTTGGGCACAGGTGCCTGTGGGGAGACAGCAGGGAGTGAGGGCTCAGGGTGCCTGTGGGGTGTCTGCCCCCCATCCCCCAGCCTACCTCCTTGTAGATGAGCTCAAACGCTCCTATGGAACAGGTGGGGTTTTCCTTGCGGTCGAGCACTAGGCGCAGCGTGTCCCGCTGGACATTGGCACAGAGCCGTCGGGTCACTGCTGAGGAGGGGCTCATGGTGGGGCAAGAGTTGATCTCCAGCAGCCAGGGCTGGAAGTCCTCCCCAACCAGAAAGTCGGCCCCATAGAGCTCAAAGCTGCCCTTGCGGAAGCCCACCCGATCCCGGGCACTGCGCAGAGTGTTCAGGATCGCCGCCTTCATGCCGGGTACCAGCACCTGGTGCCAAGCATCTGCCTGCCCCATCTGTGCCAGGTATTCCTGGAATTGCTTGTTGGACCAGATCTTGTCAGTGGGCACACGGGGGTCCTGGTCTGGTGACGTCTTGTACCACTTCTGGACGGAGACATTGCAGAGGTGCCTGGCACTGGGGCAGGGAGAGTGAGGCTAGGTCAGGGGCTGCCAGGGTGCTGGGGTGTGGGGAGCCAGGGTGGGGGGCACTCACCGCTCCAGATGACACAGGGAGAAGGGCCAGGAGCAGAAGCGCAGGTAGCATTCTCGGTAGAACCAGACAGTCAGTGGCTTCCAGTCAGTCACAACAAACCATTGCCGGATGTCGAATTTGGTGCCGAAAATGGTCAGCAGCCGCTCCACGTACTTTTGCACCACCCATCTGCCCACCTGCACCGAGGGTGCTGTGCAGGTCCATGCCAGCTGCAGCACCTCCTCCAGCCGTGTTGTGCAGATGATACCTGGGGAACACAGCGATAGTGGGACCCCTCCTAAAAGGGGAGTTTCTCTGTGCTTCCCACTTCTCCCAGCCTTACCTCTGCCTTGGGATTCAGCACCAGGCTTGACGATCCAGACGTTGAGTTTGCCCTCCATGTCAAGCTGGGGCAGCTGCTCTGCCAGGCGCTGCAGCAGGTTCTGGCACTGCTTCCGCTGCTGCCTGGTCAGCACCAGCTCTGCACCCTCACTGTGGGGGGAAGGGGGCCTCAGCATCAGCCCTGCCATCATACCCCTGTCCCCCCATCCCATTCAGCACTCACTGTGCCACACGGTAGTATTCCTGCAGGAAGTGGTCCCAGTCAGTGCATGTCCTGCAGGGGGACGGGGTGCTCCTGTCGATGTCCTGGTGCTGCAGAACACTCAGGTGCTGCTTACAGATCTCCAGGGCTTCTTCCACCAGCTCAGGATACGGGGGGCAGCCTGGCCATGCTGTGGAATGCTTGGGGTGAGAGACGTGACTCCTATGCCAGCCTTGGGGCCAGAGCCTCCCTATGGGATGGGTGGCTTTGGGTGCATGGGGACGGGGTGGGGAGCAGAGCACCAATAAGGTGGGCTAGTAGGAGGGAGTGGGGGATCTCAGGCCACAGCTGTGAGCAGAGGCTGTGCCTTCAAGTTCAGCCATCAGTTGTCCCTAACTCTATTCTCTGCCATCCCCCCAGGCCCAGCTCCATGTACTCACCTGCTCCCTTGGCAGAGTTTGGAACCTGCTCAGTCCTCACTGGCATGTCCCCAGCCTCCTCCAGGGCCAGTTTGAGCAGGCTGCGTGCTGCTGTCAAGCAGAAATCATCTGCAAGAGGGAGACATCATCACCAGCCAGTCCTGCACAGGACGTTGGAGCAGTGGGAGCACAGGGAAGGACAGGAGGGCAACAGCCTTCAGCTCACCAATGAAAGCTTCTCGCTCATCCATGTTCCCCAGCCGGTAGCACCGGGGGAAGAAGGTGTTTGGGTCAGCTTGCTCAATCCACGGCAGGTTTTGTAGGCTGAGGCATAGCCCCTCCTGTTTAGAGGAGGTTGTTAGTCCCTACTGGACCCCATCCCCCTCCCCCAAGGGCTCCAGCCTCCCACCTTGGTGGTGAATGCATCCACCCTGGAATAGTGGTTCACCACGTTGTCCTGCTGCAGCAGCTGACGATCAGTGGCTTCAAGGAAGTTGGTCCAGATGAAGTTTGGCAACCGGTCCCGCACCAGGTAGGACTGGCGGACGGAGGAAGCCAGAGTGGGATACAAAGCCCCCATCCCACCCTCATCCCCTGTGCAAGGCTGAGCCCGTGCCTGGAGGTCCCAGGGCAAGGGTGCTGGGGGCAGTGGCAGAGCTCAGCCCCAGCCCTCTCTGCTAACCATGAGGTCATGGATGCCATTGGGGTCATCATCACACTGCTCTTCCTCCTCTTCCTCCTCCTCAGCAGGCAGCCATGGGTAGTGCAGGGGTTCTGTGGTCCCCAGAAAAGGCTGTGCCGCACTACGTGAGTTCAGCGGTGCCTCCCCCTGCCCAGCACCACCATTACTTGGCCGTGTCTTCGGCTGCTGCTTGTTTTGGTCACCACAATGCTGCTCCAGCCGTCTGCCCGTGCCAGGGAGCTTCCTCTCCACCCAGCCCCGGGCTCGCAGCAGGCGGCGGATAACGGGGTAGTCGCCCTGTACCATGAAGATCTTCTTCTCCTGTGCAGAGACCAGTGGGCTCAGCGTGCCCAAGTCCTGGTTCCTCTGGCTCAGCTCTCCTGAGCCAGAAATGCAAGCAGGTGGCATTTGAGGGATGTGAAATCAGGTCCCTCACCTTAATGGCCATCTCCACATGCAGCTTGGCCTTCTTGAGCTGCTCAAGCTTAAGCGAGTGCTGGCAGCCAACCTGGTGGCTGGTGGTGGTGGCTGCCGAGTGCCCTGTGAGGACAGCCCTGTCTGAGCCCACTGCCCCCAGTCTCACAGGACAGACATGGAGAGGTAGAAAGCACTGACCTGCCTGCCTCTGCCTGACCAAGCTTCGAGCCCTTGAAAAGGCAGTTTCCGACCTGCTGAGCCTCATGCCAGTGTCCCAGCTGCACCACACAGTCCCAGGATGCCCCACTGTGCCCTTGTCCCAAGTCTGCTGGGCCATGAGGTAGCTGGAGTGTACCCTCCTCAAGTGTCCCTGTCTGGGGGGCTGTGTGCCTGCAGTGCTGCTCTCTATGTTCCATTGTTCCATGGTTGCCTGAGGATGAGGGGAGCTGTGGTTGACTCTTCCTCCTCTGTGCCACATAGGTTGTCCTGTTCCCTGTCCTGCTGGGGACTGAAGCCGGAGTCAAGCGCAGCACATGGCCTCTAAACCCTGTTACCACTGATGTTAGAATGTAGCATGTGGCTCCCCCAACCCCAGCATGGCTGTGATGTCACAGCCCCAGCTCCAGCCACCACAATAGCTCCACTACACCGAAGGGGGGATACAAACAGCCCCCTATGTCCACAGACAGCCATCCCCCACTCAAACCTTCCACCCTGCCCGAAATCCTTTTGTGCCTCACACCCCAAACCCCTTGCTGCCCCCAGGCCGACTGTGCCCACTCTGCCCCTCCAGTTCCATGTCCTGCTTCCATTCCATGATCTGCCTCCCAGGGCCACAGTGCCCTCCTCCCCCCCGCCCCATCCCCCGGTGTGGCTCAGAGCGGCGGGAGAGAGGAGACAGAGGCGCCAGATACAGCAAACAAGACCGTTTAAAAAACAAGACGAGACAGAGGCAGCGGCTGGGGCCGCGCTGCCGCAAGCGGGGGCTGCTCCCGCCCAGCCCAGAGAGGGGCGGACAGGGCCCGGCCCCGCCCAGCGGTCCTCGAGAAACGGGAGCAGGCACAGGCACAGTGCCCGGTGGGCACAAGCACAGGGAGCCACGGGGTCCTGCACCACGGCCTAAAACTGGAGAGAAACACACGGCTGTTAGTCTCTGCTTACAATGCCTCGAGAACCCTCACCACCCTCCTGGCACCTGGGAGGAGGCCGAGGGTGGCCACTGTTCACAGAGATTCATGCTCAGCTTCTCCCACTGCCTTCCCAGGCACTGTACATCCATCTCAGCACCCACCAAAAGGGTCTCATTCCCCCCAAGACTGTTGCTGCCACTGAGCAAACTCTGGGGGTCTCAAAAGCTGGCACCTCATGAGCAAAGGGGATACAAGTGCCTTTGGCATCCTTTCCTCCCTGTCCCCAGGAAGTTCCTTGGGCAGGATGTCACCCTGTCCTCACTAATGGGATGGGGGGCTCCGGGCACAAGGGCCACACTGGCTTTAACCCCACACCCACTCCCAAAATCAGAGACCCCTCCTCCCATTTCAGAGTCTCACATTCTTAAGGAACTCCTCTGCCACGATGCGGGCCCTTGCATTGACAGAGAGTTTCATCTCACTGATTTCCTTATCAATCTCCTCCATGAAGTGGATGACAAAGTCCACCAGCTTATGCTTGTACATCTGCTCCGTGTGGAAGTTCGTAATCAAGAAGCTGATGTCATAACCCTGTACAAGAGAGAAGCACCCTAGGGTTTGGCATCCAAATCACTGTCCATTCAAACTCACATCCCAGTTCTGCACTGGACACCTTCTCAGTGCCAGAAGCGGAGCCAGGAGTTGCTTTGTCCCCTCCCTGTCACCTCACCTCCACAGGCTTCCTGCGCAGGATAAAGAAGTTCTCAGCCCTCATCATCATAAAGCGCATGAATTTGTGGCACAAGATCTTCTCGATCTCATCAGCCTGGAAACAGAAAAGGGAAGTGAGGCTTCCCCAAAGGCTGAGCCGCCAACCCCCTGCCCAAACCCCTCCTCACCTGCTTCACTGCGATGCTGACGCGCACGGAATTAATGGAGCCTTCGATGAGAACCTTCTCCTTCTCGTTCCTGCTGATGATCACCGGCTGCAACAGCAACTCTTTGCTGCTTCTGCGAACAGAGGGAGGGCAAGAGTGACTCAGAAGGAAGCATTTACTGGTGGGAAACAGGGAAGGGCAGCCGCAAGGATCACGCGGATGTAGGGGCTTGGCTAAAGGATATTCCCGCGTCCCGAAGATGTTCCTCCTCAGGGCAGATACTCCCTCGGTCCCAAGCTAGATGCTCTTCCTCCTCCCCGCAGCTCCCCGGCTCCCTGTCGGCCCTGTGCCTAAGGACTGGGGGGTGCCGAACGCACGGCAGGAACGGGCCAGTGGCCCCCAAGACGGGTAACCAGGTCTCCACAGGGCTCCCCCGGTGTCCCCTCCCGCCCCCGTACCTGACTTCCACCTCGGGCTTGTTGTGCCGCTCCACCACCTGCGAGGAGAAGTTCTCCAGGCACAGCGCGGCCTGCAGCGTGGCGCGCACCGCATTCAGGTACGGGCGCAGTGTGGCAGTCTGCAGGGACACGGCGGCGGCGTCAGACCCCCGACCGGAGCCCGGAGGTCGAGTCTCGCCCCCTGCCCCAGCCCCCGACCACCAGCCCGCAGCTCCCGCAGCTCCCGCAGCTCCGCTCGCTCCGCCAGCCCCGGTTCCGAGCCTCCCCAGCCTCCCCGCTGCCACCGCCCCTCACGGGGCATCCCCCGCCCTACCATGGTGGCAGCGGCGCTCCGGTCCTGGCAGGCGGAAGTGGCTGATCACCTCTTCCGGGATGCGCGGCACCTCCCACTGCGGCGGGAGGGAGGGGGGGCGGCAGGAGGCTCCCGCCCTGCGGCCTGGCCCCCCCGCGGCACGGAGCCGGGTGGCGGCGCCGAGACTTCGCGCGGCTCCCCCCCACGCCCTGCCGCGCTTGGTACGGGCCTGTCAGCGCTTCCATATTAGGAAAGAGAGATGGAGGGCGGACTGAACCAATGAGCGGCGGCGCGAGGTGCGGCGCGGCCAATGGGGAGCGCGGGGCGGGGCGCCCGCGGGGCCGGAAGGGGCGCCCGGCCCAGACCCGGCCCCACGGCCTCCGCTGCGCCCCGGGGCCGCCCCCGCTTCGTCCCCGCAGCCCCCCGGTGATCTCCGTCCGATTCCCCTCCCGACTGGGTTCCTCGGCACCTCGGCGATCCCCCCGCCTGGTTCCCTCAGCGCCCCGGTGACTCTCCCCACGTTCCTCCCGGCGCCCCGGTGATCCCTCACCCCGGGTTCCACAGAGCCCCGATGCCCCCGGACCCTCCGTAGCCCCCCACTCCACTCCACTCCTATCCCTCCCGGCTTCCCCTGTCCCCGGCTCCTTCGTGCGCCCGTCGGTCCCCCAGAGTCCACTCGGTGCACGGTCCCCACCGCCATGAGCGAGCTGAAGGACTGCCCGCTGCAGTTCCATGACTTCAAGTCGGTGGACCACGTGAAAGTGTGTCCCCGGTACACGGCCGTGCTGGCCCGCTCGGAGGACGATGGCATCGGCATCGAGGAGCTGGACACGCTGCAGCTGGAGCTGGAGACGCTGCTGTCCTCTGCCAGCCGCCGCCTTCGCGTCCTAGAGGCCGAGACACAGGTGCTGGGGCCACGCTGGGTCAGGGACAGACTGTCTGGCTCTTTTCCACCAAGGGGCTGCCTCTGGTCTGCCCCTGCCCAGCACTGGGCACAGGATGTTATGAGACATCACTCTCTTCCAGATCCTGACAGACTGGCAGGATAAGAAGGGCGACCGGCGTTTCTTGAAGCTGAGCAAGGACCACGATGTGGGCACATCTGTAAAACATGGGAAGCCCAAGAAGCAGAAGCTGGAGGGAAAAGGGGGCCATGGGACTGGGCCTGGGCCTGGCCGGCCCAAGTCCAAGAACCTGCAGCCCAAGATCCAGGAATATGAGTTCCAGGATGATCCCATTGATGTGCCCCGCCTCCCCAAAAATGATGCTCCAAACAGGTGTGTGGGTATTGGGAGGCATTGGGATCATCTTTCTCTTTCCTTGGAGCACATGGCACAAGAGCTGCCTCTGGCCGGAGAGAAGAGGTGCCATAGGGAGAAGGGGGACATGTGTCACCTTCCACGTGCTGCCCTGCAGCTCCCTTTCACAGTTCATCCATCCTTGCAGGTTCTGGGCATCGGTGGAGCCATACTGTGCTGATCTCACCAACGAGGAGGTCAGAGTCCTGGAGGAGCTGCTCAAACCACCAGAGGATGAGGCTGAGCATTACAAGGTGAAAAGCTCCTAAGCCCCTTCCTCTGCCCTCTCTCCCCGTCCCCTCTTGCACCTCACAGTGACTGTTCCTGCCTGGGATGCTGCTGTGGCACTGGCGAGGTGGGAGGCAAGGCAGAGGCTTCAGGAGCTGTGCTGAGCTTTGCTCTTGCAGATTCCACCGCTGGGGAAGCATTACTCCCAGCGTTGGGCACAAGAGGACCTGCTGGAGGAGCAGAAGGATGGAGCCCGGGCAGCAGCTGCTGCCGACAAGAAGAAAGGTGTCCTGGGGCCGCTGACTGAGCTGGACACTAAAGGTGCCCCAGTCCCACCCCTGCCTTTGCCCAGATGGGCTGGGAGTGCTTGTGCCCAGTGGAGCCAAGCCCAAGACAGGTTGCCCTGCCCTGCTGCTCATCTCTGTGTTTTTGGGGTTGCTTTTTACCTCTCCTGCTTCCTCCCAGATGTTGATGCCCTCCTGAAGAAGTCAGAAGCCCAGCATGAGCAGCCAGAGGATGGGTGTCCCTTTGGTCCCCTGACACAGCGTCTCCTGCAAGCCCTTGTGGAGGTGAGGGGCTCCAATGGCGCCATGCCATGGTGGCCTGGCACTGTGGGGCATTGCTGCCAAGACCCAGCTAGCCACTGTAACCCTTCCCTCGTGCTCCCTTTGCTAGGAGAACATCATCTCCCCTGTTGAGGACTCCCCCATCCCCGAGATCACTGGTAAGGACTCAGGAGCTGACGGTGCTGGCACATCTCCCCGCAGTCAGAACAAGCCCTTCAGGTGAGCAGCTGAGGCAGGCCCGGAGCTCAGCACTGCCCGTGGGTGCATCAAGCACGCTGCTGGCTACCTGCCACTGTGAGTCACAGGGAGCAAAGGCTGTGTGGTGGGCAGCAGCCACTCTCTACCCTGGCAGTGTCCCCCACACCAAGTCACTGGAGGGGCGGATCAAGGAGGAGCTGGTGGCCCAGGGCCTGCTGGAGTCAGAGGACCGTCCGGCAGAGGACTCGGAGGACGAGGTGTTGGCTGAATTACGCAAAAGGCAGGCAGAGCTGAAGGCACTCAGCGCACATAACCGCACCAAGAAGCACGAGCTGCTGCGGTGAGAGCCAGTGGGCTGGGCTGGGTAAAGGCTGGGGGCTGCCTGGCAGGGCCTGACACCCCCCTGTGCCCCCCAGGCTGGCCAAGGAGGAACTGCACCGGCAGGAGCTGCGGCAGCGTGTCCGCATGGCTGACAACGAGGTGATGGATGCATTCCGCAAGATCATGGCTGCTCGGCAGAAGAAGCGCACACCTACCAAAAAGGAGAAGGACCAGGCCTGGAAGACCCTGAAGGAGAGGGAGAGCATCCTCAAGCTGCTGGATGGGTAGCAGGGACCGTGGACCTCACCTGCAGGGGGCTGCCCTGCCTGAGCCTTGCCACCACGGGACAGAACTGGCACAGCCTCCCCCGTGCCCTGAGTCTGCTCAGCCTCCCTACCCGGATGAAGGAGCCCAGCTGCTGTCCCCTCCCTGTGTGGGGCTGTCACTGACCCAAGCTGAGCACCACGGGGAGTTGTGGAGGTCCTTCCCTTGAGCACCTCCACCCCGGCTGGTGGCTTCCACTCCCATGTCCCCCCTGCACGCCCCTTTTATTCGTGTGACATCAGCCAGGTCACTGCAGGGGCCAGATGTGATGGTGCGGTTCCCACGGTCCCCTGTCCCTCTCTGTGATGCGGGGCAGGGGGAGATCTCAGCCCCCATGGCTGGACTGGGAGGAGTGGGGAAGTGGAGAGGGGAAGAGATTGGAGGGGTGGGGGGCCCGATGGGTGGATGGCCGAGCTCTCCATGTACCGGTGGTTTCTATTGCCGCGAGCATGGGCAATAAAGGCAGCCGTGCACAGGTGATAGTGTGGTGACAGTTGGGCTCGTCATGGGGGACAGCCCTGCTCGGCTGTGGGGTGGGTCCTGCTGGTGCTGAGCTCAGTCTGGGTCGGGGGGCGAGGAGGGGCGGGGCTGGGTTTGTCCGGCAACTCCACGCGTGTCCCCCACTCGTGTCTACCCAAGGAATGCCCTCGCATCTCCACAACAGATGCCCAAGGGGAGCGTGCGGGTGATGCCGCGCCGCGCTCATCGCCCTCCCCGCGCCTTTCCCGCGAGTCCACGCGCGCCCGCGGTCACGCGTGTCCCCCCCTCTTCCCACCGCGGCCAAGCCACCCCCTCCCATTGGCAGCGGCCGCGCGCTTCCCGCCCCTCACCGTGACGTCAGCGCTGTCCGGCGGCGCCGCGCCGGGAGGAGTCGCCGCTGCTCTGCCGCGGGGCCCGGGGCCGGGGCCGTCGGTAAGGGCGGGCCGGGGCGGGGGCGGCGTGCCCACGCGCGGAGGTCGTGCCCACGCGTGACACTGAGTAACGGCGGCGGAGCTGCGCATCACCCGCGCCGCGCAGCTCTGCTCCCACGCGTGTCGCGCCCGGAGCGGCTGTGCCAGCTGGCGGGCGTGGGGAATGGCGGTGGGGACCCCCCTCCATGCACCTACGCGTGTGTCTGGAGCCCTCCTGCTGCCTGCCCGCCCCGCGCCCGCCCCATGGGCGGGCATCGGGGGGGTCCCAGCATGGTTCCTCACTGGGGCAATCTACGCCAAAACTCCTGCGTCGACACAGCTTGTTCCCATCACCCCACGGTGACAACCACCTCCCCACAGCATCCTGTCTCCCCCGTGTCCCCGTGCCATCCCAGCACGCTGACAGCGTGTCCCCACTCGTGTCACAGGTGAGAGTGGGTGGCCCCACAGGGCACCATGCCGCTGGGGCAGGATGGGCCCAGCTGGAAGAAGAGGATCGAGGATATTCAGCGGATCTATGATTTCCGAGATGTCCTGGGCACGTGAGTTGCAGACTGGGGTGACAACCAGTGACAGCCCACCCATAGTGATGGGTCTGGCCCCTCAGGCTTTGCCCAACCTGGCATGTGGAACCAGCTCAAATCCTGGACTTGCATATGAGGGGACATGCTTGGGGCACAGGTGCCACCTCCCTCTGGTGCTGGCTGGTTCCCTATGCTGTGCTGAGGGTACCTGAGGGTGGTCCCCTGGCTGGCAGAGGGGTTCCTGGCTGTGCCCATGGCACCATAAGGCTCTTAGGCTGGATTAGCAGGTTAATTACGTCAAGACTTAGGGCCCAGCACAGCGCAAGCACACTCACTGCCTGTCACTCCTGTCTCTTCCTCACCTGGGCACTGCCAACGGCTCTGGCTGGCTCCTGGGTGGCCCTGGGTGCTACAGGATAGCACAGCAGAGGGCTACTGCAGCTCACATGGGGCTTAGCCCCAGCACAGCTCGACCTTGGCAACACAACAACCTTATCCTGCCTCATATGGGGATGCCACACCAGGAGGGTGGAGGGTGCCAGGCATCCTATCGCTGGCAAGATCCACGTCCGGCCATCCCAGCGGGCCGCTCCTGCTTGCTTTTCTCCTATAAATAGCTGGACTTTCTGCCTGTCGCCATGACAATCCCGGCATGGCAACATCGGCAGCTCCGGCTGGTGGCCCCCCTGCCCTGCTCATCCCTCATTCCCCCCAGGGGAGCCTTCTCCGAGGTGGTCCTGGCGGAGGAGAAGACGACGCGGAAGCTCGTAGCCATCAAGTGCATTGCAAAGAAGGCACTGGAGGGAAAGGAGACCAGCATTGAGAACGAAATTGCCGTCCTCCACAAGTAGGGGCCGTCCCAGCACCAGGGTGGAGGTTGCACTCTGTGTCCCCCCCAGCCCGGCACAGCCCCCCACTACCAGCACTCATTGCCTCATGTCATTGCTAGTGCCCAAAATAGCCAGTGGCGCGTGATGACCTGCAGCGCTGCTGCCCGTCCCCTGGGGCTGGGGTGGGGGCAGCCTGGTGCCCTCACACCACCCCCCTGTGCTTCCCCCTGCAGAATCAAGCACCCCAATATTGTGGCCTTGGATGATATCTACGAGAGCGGCACTCACCTCTACCTCATCATGCAGCTGTGAGTGAAGTTGTGGGGCTCCAGAGGGGTGGGAGGGCCATGCTGACAAGTGCTGCCCATCCCTGCAGGGTCTCAGGGGGGGAACTCTTTGACCGCATTGTGGAGAAGGGCTTCTACACTGAGCGGGATGCCAGCGCCCTGATCCGGCAGATCCTCGATGCTGTCAAATACCTGCATGATATGGGTATCGTCCACCGTGACCTGAAGGTGAGCAGTTGAGGGGGGACATGCACAGCACTGTCATGGTGGTGGCGAGAGGAGACCCCAGCGTCACCCCTCCCTCTTCCCTCCTCTCCTCAAAGCCCGAGAACCTGCTCTATTACAGCATGGATGAGGACTCCAAGATCATGATCAGCGACTTCGGGCTGTCGAAGATCGAGGGCTGTGGCAGTGTCATGTCCACAGCCTGTGGCACCCCTGGCTATGTGGGTGAGCGCCTGCCATGGGCTGCCACCACCCTAGGTGTGGGGTTGGGATCCCCCCACGGGTTGGGGTCCCCCCTCACTGCTGCCATCCCCCCCAGCCCCTGAGGTGCTAGCACAGAAACCCTACAGCAAAGCAGTGGATTGCTGGTCCATCGGAGTCATCGCCTACATCCTGTATGTATTCCCCTTCCCACTCTCTTACCCTCCTGGGGGCTTGGCACCTTGGGGTTGCCTGGGACCACCAGCTTCCTCCCCACTGCCCCCCTAGGCTCTGTGGTTACCCCCCTTTCTATGATGAGAACGATGCCAAGCTCTTTGAGCAGATCCTGCAGGCCGAGTATGAGTTCGACTCACCATACTGGGATGATATCTCGGACTCAGGTGAGCTGGGACCACCAGGGCAGTGAGGCCTGTGAGCCTGGCACAGCTTCACAGTACCCAGAGGAATGGTAGACATAGGCACTCAGAGCTGTTCCATGCTCTGTCCCAGCCAAGGACTTTATCCAGCACCTGATGGAGAAGGACCCTAGCAAGCGATTCACCTGTGAGCAAGCCCTGCAGCATCCCTGGTAATGGGGAGACCTTTTGCTGTCTGCCCCCGTCTCCAGCTCACCCCACAGCAGCCATGGGATAGGGGAGCCCCTGCTGACTTCTGTCTTGCTCCAGGATTGCTGGGGACACAGCCCTGGACAAGAACATCCACCAGTCAGTGAGTGAGCAGATCAAGAAGAATTTCGCAAAGAGCAAGTGGAAGGTGAGTGTGGGGTGGTGGTGGGTGTTTGGGGGTGCAGCAGCCCCTTAGGCACTCTATACCAGCTGACATACACTGTGGGGTCAGTAGCAAGCTTTCAATGCCACGGCGGTGGTGAGACACATGAGAAAGCTGCAGCTGGGAACCAGCCAGGACATCCCTGGGCAGACAACTCCCACCAGCCCTGGTGAACGATTAGTCGGGGGGACCAGCAATGGTGAGCTCTGAATCCCCTATCCCCATCCCACACCCCTCGAGGCTGCCACCAGGATTTCACCTTGTTCCTCCTTGCAGGGTCAGAGTGTGGGCGCCTACCCACAAGCAGAGCTCAGCGTGTCCCACCAGACTGAGCATGGCCCCAGATAGCTGCCTCCAAGTGGGCCCAGGGGAATCCAGCCCCCCATGGGCACCATGTGGGGTGGGGGTCTCTGCAGTGCAGGAGCAGGGGAGATAGTGCTCGTCTTGTCCTGGCTATATGGAGCTGCCCCCACTGCAGCCTCACAGCAGAGTTCTGCATCGGGGCAGGAACACACCACAGAACCCCCCAGCTTGGGGCTTTGTCCCGGGCCCCTTCCCATACCCCTTCCCTCCTTCCACACCTGGCCTGGCACTGTCCCACACCTCCAACCCCAGCATGTTCAAGGACAATTTTCCAAATGGATGTTTCTATTTTATTGCTTCTAATAAAGGCAAGAGGCCAAAGGTGGTTGGCTCAGCTCTGCACTGAAGGAGCTGGACACAGCCTTGACCCCCCCCAGCTTCATTGCCCAGGGCAGCAGCTTCCCCATGCACACAGTGGGCAGGTGACAGGCAGCTGCCCACACCCCTCCATCCAGGGCTGGCAGCAGCTGCAGTGTCCCACTGAAGTCACTGTTCCTCCTGGGGTGTCTCTAGAGGGCCCATCTCCATAGCTGTCCCAGCCTCAGGTCTCCCAGGCCTGATGCTGGCTGCTGGCCGGCTTCTGGCCCTTGCGGAGATCGGCACAGAACAGGACCTGGAGTGGGGAGATAATGGGGTGGGCGTGGCAGGGGTGGGGGGCAAGAGTGCCAGGAAGGGGGGTACTCGGGGGTACTCACTGCCTGCGCCCAGCCAGCATGAGGGCCCCACAGACCCCGGAAGAAGTCGCCTATGGAGAGAGTGTGAACGCCAGTTTGGAGGTATATTTGCACCATCCACCATCCCTGAGGGTCCCACGTCAGGATCCAGCCCTGCCCTCACCGATCTCCTGGTAGGTCCGGGGGGTGAGGCTCTTGCCACCCAGTGCCACGCCGTAGCGCTGCCGTGCGATGTGCCAGACGTGGGTGTCTACCGGCACCGCCTCCGCCTTGTCCAGGGACAACAGGCAGACACAGTCCGCCACCTGTCACCAGCAGCACCCAGTCAGCCCCCAGTGCCGGTCTCTGCTCCCTGTCCCACCCCCGTCCTGGCACCCACCTTGGCACCTACGCCAGGCAGGGCACACAGCACCCTCCTGGCCTCGGCATAGGGCGCGGTGCGGAGCTGGCACAGCCCTTCGGTGCCGAGCCCCTCGGCGATGGCCCGCGCGCTCCCGCTGACAAACTTGGCCCGGTACCCAAAACCCAGCGCCCGCAGCCGGGCCTCGGCATCAGCGCCTGCGGGGGCACAGCAGAGGGACGTGAGTGGGCTCAGGTGAGGGCGCGGCAAGGTGCGGCAAGCGGCAGTAGCGGAGTGGTGGTGGACCTGTGAGTGCCGAGAGGGATGGGAAGGCATGGAAGGGCCGAGAATCGAGGCAGCAGAGGCGGCGGCCGAAGGCCTGGCAGAGGCGCTCGATCATGGCAGTGATGCGGGAAATGTGGTTGTTGGAGGTGCAGATGAAAGAGAAGAGGCACTCGACGGGGTCCTGCCGCAGCACCCGCACTCCTGGAGGCAGGATGCGGTGAGAGGACGCCGGACAGGTGCTATGGCCATCCCTTGTAGCTCCGTGGGGCCACCTCACCTGGAAAGTCCTTGGCCACAGTGCGGAAGAGGGGGTCGGCCGCCCCCCAGGCACGGTACAGGGCCGACAGCCCCACATCCAGCTGGAAGTAGTCACGCAGGATCCGGTCCGTTTCTGCAGCATCCAGCTTGGCTGCTTTGGCGACGCACCCATCCCGGTCCTCCTCCTCCTCCTCGTACACCGTGTACCAGAGGCGATCCCCGTCCTGCCGTAGTGTCCAGACGCGGCCCCCTAGCACACCCGTCCAGGCCCCCGGGCTGCTTTCCCACCACCTGCCGCACAGGGGGGGGTCGGGGCCGGTTCGGACGCGCTGGGCCGGGCCGGGGGACACGCGAGACCCCCAGGCTGGCTCACCGGAAGCTCTGTCCAGAGGAGAGCACAAGGTCCAGGCGCAGCTCGGCCGGCGGGCAGGGCAGGCAGCGCCACAGGGACGGGCAGGCGGACGGGGCGTCCCGCAGCTTCATGGGGGTCGGGGAGCAACTGCACACCCCTGCCCGCGGGGGCGGCGGGGTCAAGGCACCACCCGGCGCTACGCCCTCGGCTGCCCCACAGCTCCGGCCCGGCCCCACACGTCCCCACAAGCCCCCAGCCAGTGCTCCCGGTCCTACAGCTCCTCGCCCGGCCCCGCCAGCTCCCACCATAGAGAAACCCGCGCAGGCGGAGCAGCCGCCGCTCCCCGCCCCAGTTCCGCTCGCGGCCGGAAGCGGGGCCGGCGCAGCCGCCGCACATGTCCGCCCCTGCCCCTGCTCCCGCCCCTCTCCCTTCCCCGCCCGCAGCGGCCGCGGCTCCGCAGCGGAGGTTTATTTTCTAAGAATCAATAGATTTTTTTTCTTCCTTCAAAATAAATACAAACAACGTCCGAGCGCGGGGCCGGCCAGGGGCTGGGCCCAGGGTTGGGGGGCAGCACGGGGTGCGGGGCGCGAGGGGCCGCCCGGGGGCACGGCGGCGGCCAGAACAGCATCCCCGGGAGCGGCTGGCTGGGGGGAGCGGGCACCGGGAATGGGAGAGGGGGGGGGGGGGCACGGGGGACCGGCCCCACCCCTCCCGGTTCTCCCGGTTCCCCCGGCCCCCCGTGAGTGCAGGCCAGCTGCACGGGGTGGGGGTCACCGAGCCCCGTTTGCCCTGAGATTCGGCGGGGGAGCGGCCGGCGGCACCGGCTCAGTCGCTCTCGCTGGAGTCGCTGCTCTGCTCGCCTTGCACCTTGTTGCGGTGCTGCATGGCGCGATGGTAGGCGATCTGCACCGACTTGCGGATGTTGGACTTGCGGCCCTCCAGCATCTTCTCTTTGTCCAGGTCTTGGTTCACCCCCAGAGGCACCAGCTTTGTCCGGGGCAACCACTGCCTGCGGAGAGCGGGGGGCCACCTCGTTTGAGGGTTACAATCGTCTCTGGGGAACCCCCCACCCAAAGCCCTCGGCACCCTGGCCTTACCAAGTGCGCTTGTTGTCGAAGAAGAGGACAAGGTAGAGGTGCTCGCGTGCTTCCTGAGTCATCTGCTCCCCCAACTTCAGCACCTCCAAGGGGGGCACGGGGATGGGAACACCATGGTGGAACATGCCTTCCCGCGGCATCTTGGGGTCAATGATCTGTGAAAAGAGCAGGGGAGGGCTGAAAGGAGAACAGGGACCCCAAGAGGCAGCCTGCAGGGAGGGGACACGGATTTCAGAGGCCCCGATGACAGGCAGTACTCACCAACGCCGGGTAGGACGGGTAACCCCGGCACTTAGCCCACACCAGGTCCAGGGCATCCAGGGAAGAATCCTCATCCTCAGACAGCCACCCTGCGCCACGTCCCATGCCCTTACGCACCACTGTACAGCAGGAGAGGAGAGTCAGCTGTGTCCCCCATAGGTGATAGTGCCAGCCAGGCACACAGGCTGCACAGCCATAGTACTTACTGCCATGCCCCACACCTCGTCCTGTGCCCACGGAGTAGGACTCGTTCTCTGTCCCTGATGTGTCCTCACTGCTGTCCTCTGGGAAGTTCACTCGGGAGAAGGAGGGTTTCCCTCTGCCCTGCTTGGAGGGAGTTGTGCTGCAGAGACAAGAAGCAGAGCCATCAGCAGGAGTCATGTTAAGCTTCCAGAAACGTTTTCAGAGGGCCAGGCTGGTAGGACACCAGGGCTTGTGGTCTCCAACTGCTGGCCTCGGGAAGGACTTGGCAGGGGTACCAGGCAGAAAGGTAAGATGGTGCTTCTGCCAGGGTGCAAGCCAGACCCTCACCCAGTTCCACCTGGGAGGACCAGAAGATGTGCCCTGATCCAAATTAGAGGCACAGGCAGGAACCTGCTGGTGCTGGCTGCTGGAAGGGCCAATAACAGAGCAGCCAATAGGGAATTCCCTAGTTCATGCTTCCTACTAGCACCTTGCTGCACATTTGCAACTTTAGGTTTTACATTAAAAAAGGCACAAACCCCACAGATTTCTAGGGATTAGCAGCTGAACTTCAGGATGAACGAAATGGGGATCACCAAACCGGGTGCTCATCCAGAAACTCAAGGCTGAGAGCTGCCCGCTGCCAGCCACCCTGGGAAGCACTGCTGTCAGCAGAGCTGGGCCAGGGGCAGTACCTGGTGCGGTCTGAGGCAGCGCTGCTGCTGCTGCTGCTGCTGGACTCCGAGTCAGAGCTGCTCCGGGGAAGATTGCAGTCATTGCGGTACACCAGGAAGCTCTTCTTCACGGGCTGGTTCCCGCTGCTGAAACCGTTGGCTGGCAGGTCTGAAAAACACCCCAACAAAGAGCATTACCACTGCACCAGAGCCTGCCACGCACTGCCAGTGGGGCCACAGCTGCCCAGCTGCACCCACCCATGGTAGCGTCCTCCGTGGACTTGTCACTGTCGCTGTCTGAGCTGGAACTGGGGCGCGGGCTTCGCCCCCGCTTCCTCTGCCGCTGGGAGGACCCCATTATTGGCAGCTGGGGAGGCCCAATGGGGCTGCTCCCATGCCCAGGAGTGATCTGGCTGTCTCGATTCTTTGGGGGGCGTCCTGGACGTTTTGGAGGGCCTGCAGTTTTAGGGTTCTTCTTGGAGAAAAGCACAGAGGTCCTCCTGCCAACTTCATGTGCTGGGGTAGAAGAAGAATTGGGACCCAAACCTGGAAGAGGGAGAAGGTGTCAGCTGCAGCTCTGATGACAGGGACTGCATGGCAGTGGTTTCAAGAAACAGCTTCGTTTCTGGGGAACATTATCTCAGAAGACCCTCCCCACTGTAGGAAGAACTTGCTTTTCCCAGTGATTAGGAGACAGGACTAGGATGCAGAGGTGGCAAACCCCCATGACACATGGCAACTCTGCCAGGAGCTTTTGCTGTGCTCCCCACAGAGCCCAGCTCGGCCTCTCCACTAACGGAGCTGGCATCTGGACAGTTTGACTCTCGGCCCTGGGAGAACATTTGGAGCTCAGCAGTCACTGCTCCTGCAACTCCCTCCCATGCCCTCCGACAGGAAGGGACACCAAAGGCACCCTGCTCCATAATGGCCCTAGAAACCAGGCAACATGGCCAAGCTGGCAGGTCCTGTCAGGAGGAAACAATCCACCTCATGCTCCGCATCACACAGCTGGAACAGCGTCCAGTTCCTCGACTGACAAGGAGATGAATTCACCAGGTGAGTGCTGACCACAGCTGTGAATACCAGCAACCTGCCAACCTTCCCCAGGGGCAAACACACACACCAGGCTGTGGCTGTTCCAGACACAGGATGTGGCCTCCTTCATCCAATTCCCCCTGCTTGGCTGGCACAGCTCACTACAAACTATCCAGTGAGCATGCTGGGAGGGAGCCTGGGGAGGCACAAATATACTCGGCACCCACCCCTAAGGGAGGCACTACAGGAAAGGAGGAGTCCCTGCAGGGGCATGTGGGATAAGGGACTGTCCCATGAAAGGCCACTTGCCTCATTCCCATGGAGGAGTGGAGGACTGTGGGGAGCTGCCCACACAGTCCTCCTGCCTCAGGATGCACCTGCCAGGGCAGCCTCTCCCCAGACACGCCTGTCCAGAAGCAGGTCTCCATTGGCTCCCCAGACTGGCAGTTCTGGAGGGAGCATTACCTTTGCCAGTCTCCTGGCTGCTGCTCTCCTCTGCAGCACTGTCTGTCTGCAGGTCCTTCTCACAGGGGTTGTGGGACTGCAGGGCTCCCCTGGCAGAGGAGCTGTGCCGCTCCAGCTCCCGGCCCAGGTCCCGTGGGTGTGCGAGCTTCCGCCGTAGGACTGTGATCTCCTTCTTGATCATCTTGGCCCGGCGGGACCGTCCTATGCTCTGCTTGCCTGCGTTGACCTCGTCCAGCCGCTCTAGCAGGATCTTTAGCTGCTCCTCCAAGGGCAGGTGTTTCTGATTCTCCGAGAGCAGCAGCCGCACATCTTCTGGGGAAACAAATAGGAGCAGATGGATGAAAGAAATCAGCTCACTGGAGTTCCTCTACCTGAATGGGCATGAGTCAATCTAGGTTCCCTGCAGGAAAGAAGGAGCTGACATGGCACCAAACACCTGTGAACCCTTTACAGAAGTTACCCTCAAAGACCAAGAGAAGGAGCCTTGTGGAAAGTCAGCCAGTTGGGATTACTGGGGAAAGCAGGCTGATGAGCAGTGTGGAGAATACCGGGGCTCACATATTCTGGAACAAGAATGCAACAGGAAAGAAAGGACACACAGACAAACCACTGCCTAGAACCAACCTAACAGGGCTGATAAATACCTGGCTAGCAAAACCACCAGCTGTCCAGGGAGTGAGGACACACAGCCTAGAATTCAACTTAACCTCCCAGAGGAGGCAGATCAGACTCCTGGGTGCCCTGACTCTGCCCAGGTTTTACCTCTGAGTTCCCTGAGGGAACAGGGAACGAGTACCCACCATCCTCAATGTCTTGGATCTGAGCCTCTTCCACCGTTACACAGTGTGGGAAGTGCATGCCTGTCTCAAAGTCAATGCCCATCTTCTCTGCCTGCCGGCGAGCCTGCCGGAGCACAGCACCTCCCTGCTCCCGCAGACGGATGGCTGCCCGGTAGAAGATCGTGTCTTTGGCATTGTATTTCAAACAGTTGTTAATAATCAGGTTGAAATCCTCCTCAAAGTCGTCGAAATTCAGATAGCGATAGGCTTCTAGATTTTGTTTCATTGTCTGAAAATCCATTGGCTTCTTGATGTGATCCAGGTAGTCTGGGACCTGCATGAGGAAAGAGTGGGAGTTAAGAGCCCAGGAGCCACAGTTAGTAGTACCTGCTCCAAGAAAACAGTTGTTAGAGGAATCAGGTATCACTCCCTGTGCTCTGCCCAAATGCACATCGGGGAATGCCGTCTGCTTTTGCAGTTTGAGGAACAGCAACGCCTCCAGACTAGGAAGCCCATGTGCTGTGCTCAACCTGTTAGAGCGGATATGCACTCCGAAGCATTTTTATGGCTCCAGCACACAAGCCAGCATCCTGTCCTCAACTCCTGTCTGCAGGCAGTTGGGATCCAGTATGCTACACTTTATTCCCTGGAGAGGGAGCTGCAAGTGCAGCCCCAGGGGTGAGGGTGAGTGCAGTAAGGTAAAACAGAGCCTTCCAGGTGGCAGCACTGGCTACAGGTAAGATGGTGCAGCCTTCCTCCCCATCTGCAAAGATGCCTCCAAGCTGACCTTCTGCCAGAACCTTGCAGAGAGGATGTGGACTTTCACCATATTCCCAGGCAGGGACTCAGTGACAGTCTCAGGAATTATCTCCTCTGCCTGCAGTCTAAGGGTTAAACCCATTAGACTGTGCTGTGCTCAGTCATCTACCAGAGGCCTTCACAAGAGGACAGGTAAGAGCATGCCAACTGCTAAGGGCTGGCAGTTTGCCTTTCCCAGTGAGAATCCCCAACTACCCACAGACCCTGGGGTGTCACCAGTAACACATGCAGAGGAAGAGCCAAGTGCTGTGCCCCAGCTGTCACCAGCTCAGCTGTTCTGCATTCGGCTCACCCAGGAGGGGCACTGCTGCACACCCCTCTCGGGTGAGTGAGTGGTGCATGAGACAGCACCATGCTGCTCAAGGATATTCTGGACCAGAGCACACTCTGAGCAGCCCTTGGCACGAGCAAGGGACAAGTTTGAGTGAAGTACAAATCTGGGGAGGGGGTTCTTACTTCGTAGATTTCTGTTACCTCAGACAGAGGGACCGGCTCACTGAAGATGTTGCCTGTGTCTTTCTCCTGCAGCTGCTCAAGTGTCTTGCGGAGGAGGATGAGGAAGGGAGTCAGCTGCATTTCCAGTGCCACCTGCTGCACTTTGATCTGAAACAAAGGGACAGAGCGGGGCTGAGCCCCTGGCGCCAGCCAGGCAGTGGGGACTGTCCCCAGGGAGCAGCAGTGCAGCCCTGCAGGACAGCAACCCCTATTCTCTCCTTGCTGAGGGGCAGGGACCGCCCCTCCCCCTGTTTCTGGGGGTGTAACAGAGGTGTAACACCGGCTCCAGCACCTGTGCGTCCCACCTGTGCCTTGCAGAGCAGCCACCTTTGCTCGGAGCCATCGGAGCAGGGCACAGCACAGCCGAGGGGACCCCGGCACACCTACAGCACTCTAAGGAGCCCCTGCTGACGCCCACCCCAGCGGCTCCCCAAGGAGGGGCAATTGTTACCGTCTCTCTCTTGAGCTTCTCCCGCTTGCGTATCAGCTCCACCAGCAAGCGTGCACGCTCAAGGTCATGGCGCAGGCGCTGCCATGACTTCAGCTGTTCCTTCAGGGCCCAGTTCTTATCCTCAGTGTCTCTCTGTGGGAACATCAGAGACCATGAGCTGATAGAAGATGTGCTCCCATCTCCACCTTCCTGGCTGTGTGCTGGGGCTCTTCCCTAGCAAAGGGAACCAGCATGCATGACCCGCTGGTGCAGCAAAAGTCACAGCTCCTTTCTTGTAACCTAGGCAAGTGATTCAGTCTCACCTCTGGTGAGAGCTAAATACCTGCGTCTTTGTCACCAAGCCATTAGGATGTCAGGAGGTGCACATCCTGAGCTTCTAGAAATATTCTTCCTAACATGACCGACTGACTGTCTGCAGCTGCCCAAGAGGTCTGTGCTGCTGCTCACAGCCCCGAAAACGTGCACCAAGTCAAAAAGGGAATGCAGCTCTGGTTGCTTTCATTTCTGGAGCACCAAAAAAATTAAAGCTTTTATCCTGCCATAGTCAAAACTGAGCAGAAGAAGTCTCAACTCTTCTCCAGCACAAATAATAAGAGCAGACAAAGGCAGAAGAAACCCCTGCCCAGTCACAGTCATCAAAGGGCTCAGAAAGAAAGATTTACAGCTCAGATGGGGAGCCAGAAGAAAAATCTTCCTCTCTGGCAGCAGACTTCACATCTGTGAAGTGCTGACTGTGGCCTGGAAGCAGCACCCGGAGGGAGCATTCCTGGAGCAGTATGAGGAACTGGAAGCAAGGCCTTGGTTTGTTCCAGACTATTTCTGGAGATCCCTGGCCATCTCTCTCAATACTGCCCGACAGAGCAGCCTCATACTAGAGTCATTTCCAACAGGTCTGCCATCACCACTGGCTAAATGCAAGCACAAGAAAGGAACTACCTTCAGCGTGGCAGCCTGAGAGGGAAGGATTCCCTTCTTGTGGCAGGCTGCCAGTGGAGTCGCTGCCTGACAATTCTCTGAACACTGAGAGTGGAGGAGAAAGTGAAGCAGCAAAAGCAGCTGGGGCTGCCCTTTCCTCATCTGAAAGCTCATACCCCTGACCCCCATGCTGCACCTGCAGGCATCACATGCAGCAAAGGCTCCGAGCCCACAGCTCCAAAGGCGCAGGAAGCACGCACACAGCCAGGGCTCCCTGCAGCCCCCCAACAAGCAGTCCTTACATGGTCGCAGTTTCTTTGTGACTGCAAGTGTGTCTGAAGGCGGCGGAGAAGGGGGACACCATTACGGGACTGTCTCTTCAGAGTCCAGTAGCTGTGCAGCCTCTGCATGAACTGGCTCTTCCTCTGGATGGTTAAACGGTTTGTAATCTTACTGAGCCTGAGGAAAGGAGAAAAACCATAGAGTCCATCAATGAGACAGGCCTGGCTGCTGCAGGAGAAGCCCTGGCTAGGCACATGTAGCAGCAAGGCCACCTGAGAGCAGCTGAGAAGCCCTGCAGTCAGAGAACATCCTTTTCTGTGGCAGGACTTTCTGTAACACCAAGATACACAGATTAGACACAACAGAGGATGCCAGGAAATGTGCAGCCTTGCCTCTCCATAACACACTGGAGTTCCTTTCTACTTCCTGTCAACTTTTGGGCAAAGCCTGGGGCAGCCTGGGTTGCAAGACAGCCACACTGGAGGCTGGACCTTTACCAGCTCCCATGGTCCCTGAGACCATGATTATTACGGTGTTACTACCCCAAAACCATTATTTACCTGGCTAAGGGACACTTGCTGCAACAGGGGTCTGGCCAAATGTTATCAGAGAAACTCAAACCCTGGAAAAGCACGAGGAGGGAGCAGGAGGCATGAGTACAACAGAGGTCTCATCCAAGGCTACCCGAAACAGCTCAAAACACACAAAAGGGATTGCTTACTTCCTACAACAGCAGATAGTCTGGAGGGGCTGGGACAGCCTCATTCAGCAGAGTTGGACAGGGATACCCTGCTAGTAGAGAGACAAAGGGATGAACGCTCGGCCTCTCCCCATCTCTCAGGGACAGCTCTTCCTAGGGGATGACCCAACCTGCATCAGCCTCAGCTGAAGAGACTGGGGACAGCAGCCTCATATGCCATCACTGGCCAAGCACAGCTCCCACACGAAACCATGTGGCATTCTGGCAACAGCCCCTGAAGAATAATTAATCCCAACAGGAAGGCCTGGGGAGAGGTTAACAGCTTCTAGCTCAGTGTGGGTTTCACTATGACCGTGATAGCAGCAAGACCCTACAAACTGCCTGCCAACATGTCCACACATAAGAAAAGAGACTCTTGGTATGGAGAGCAAGAATGAGCAAAAATGTAAGTTTGGAACACAGACCGTGGCAAAAAGCCAGCAGCCTTGTGGCAGACCTGCCTTCCCAAGTCACCAGAATGCTGCCCAGACAGCATAGCCCATGGCTTCCATGTGCTCCTTTCCAACTGCACAGGAGGTAAGTCTTGAGGGTCTGAGGGTCTTGACAGTGCTCTATGGTCACAGCCTCAGCATAGCTCCTGCCACAGGACGGAGGAGAGTTCAGCAGCTCAGGATTGGTGGCTCACCACCACAAAAGTAAACGCTTCCATACCCAACCTGTGCTTCAACTAGGTGTCACCTGCTGCAGGGTGACAGTGAGATCCAAAAACATCCTAAGATGCCCTTATGTGCTTTCACATGCTGCTGAGGACATCCAGAGTTATAAACTACACTACAAATTCTGGCAAGGCTCTTAGATGCTCTTGTTTTGGGATTTGCATGCCAGCCTAACAATCTAACAAGAGCAAAGCACAAAACAGTTTCAACTGTAACTACAGGGTGTTTGTACCTTCCCATGGAAGCAGAGATTTGGAATGTGACAGAAACACAACCCCTCAGGAGACCTCATGCTGGGGAGTCAGCCTTAGAACCTCGGTGTTCCTTGGCAGGCAGGAGCCCTGGTGCTCTCCAGCCACCCGTCCTCACAGACAGCTTTCAGCACCCGTGGCTGCCAGGCCCTGCTCCAACAGGCAGTGCCGAGAAGGAGCAGCTGCTGCTGTGCCTGGCAGAGAGCACTGAGGAAGCTCAGCAAAGAGTACGTGGCTGCTGGGATGGATGAGCTCTGCTCAGGGATCCCAACCTCTCTGCTCCAGAGCCAAAATAACCCCAGGGTTAGCCCATTTCCCAGGCTTGAATCACTCTCACACTTCTGTCTTTTGCCTGACACAGCCTCAGGAGAAAACCGTCATCGGCAGAAAAGAGCAGTTCCCTCCTCTCCGCCTCGTTTACTCCAGTGCCTGAGGTCAGCACAACAGGAAAGGAGTGCTGGGAACCTCCAGCTGCTTCCTGATGCATCCGGCCAAGTTTATTCTCTACTGTTAAACTAACAGCAGCTATTTCCTGCCCTGCCGAGGGCCCAGACACCTTTGTGGGGCAGTGCATGGCCCTGCCTCTCTGCAGGACTCCCAGAGGAAACCACCACAGCCCTCTGTGGCAACAAAGTGAGAAGTACCTGTGCAGAAAGTTAACGAGAGGAATAGGATAATGCCCACATGGAAAGCAGGACACAAAGCATGGAGGAAAAGAAAAATTTCTCCCCAGTCCAGGGAGGGCAGCAGGTCGTACCTGTGGGGGGGGATGCAGGGCACAGAAACCACTGGTGCTGCAGCTCGTTTCTCTGCCAGGATCTTCCTTGCCTTCTTCATCTTGATCCTAGACTTGGCCTTTGCTTTTTTGACTTTCTCAGAACTCCAGCCCTTCCCCTCCTCCTCTTCCTCCTCATCCTCCTCTTCTCCCTCGCTGTGGGACAGGGCGGGGAGCCTGCGCACAGACCCTGGCGGTGTGTGGATGTCGCAGTAGGCGGTTTTGCGCACACTGAAAGAGGTACCGTTGGCACCCGTCTCCCGGACGGGCTCCATCTTCATGTACAGCCCGGCCTGCTGGGCACAGGTGACATGGAAGGCAGTGTAGCAATTGGCTTTGTGACATTGGATGCAAGCCCCAGAGCCACGCTGCTTGCAAATGTAACAGGTCAGCTTCCAGCGTGCGGGCGGGATGTGCTCGATGCTGTCAATGGGCTCCAGGAAGACAGTGTTGGCAAAGCACACCTCCGGGATCCAGAGGGCACAGACCACATGTGCCCAGCGCCCATCGTCCGTCTGCTTGAATGCTCCCCCCTTGTTTGGGCAGAGGGCGCAGTCCACAGCACGTGAGGGTGACTGCAGGCACCGTCTGCAGAGCCACTGTCCCTCGGGGATGTAGGGCACCCCGTAGCACTCCTGGTGCACAGCCAGGTTGCACATATCGCAGAAGAGGATGACATTGCTGTTCTGACACTCCCCGTCGTTGCAGATGCAGCAGACAGCATCCTCATCCACCAAGGCGTTTGGGTCCCCCTTGTTGTGGCTCTCGAAGTAGGACTCCTTCTCTAGCCGGTCCATCAGGTACTCAAAGATCTCCTGGGGAATAGGACTCACGCCTTCGTTCTTCCGCCTCTCGTTCATGATGTCCAGCCAGATGTAATCCTCCTCATCCATGTCGTACTCCACCTCCTCATCCAGCTCCTCTGCCGATTTCTCAATGTACCTGGAAGGACAGCATGGGAAAGTAAGGGCAAGTTTGACACGGCTGGAGCTGCTGAGCCCCAACTCAAGGATTTGTTTGTGACTGAGGGAATGTTCAAACGCTGCAGCTGAGCCACAAGTCAAAATAAAGAAACAGGGACAAGGCAGGAATGTGCAAAAGCAGGAGATGCTGTTGCACTCTGACTAACACAGCAGCACAGCAGCAGCTTGAAGACAAAACAACTGGTCTAAGGAGCAAGGTCAGGCCTTGGAGACTCATCAGTGCAAGGAGGGGGCCTGCATGGGCCACTCAGCAAGTGCCAGTGCTCTGGAGGCAGCAGCCTCACAACCAAGACACGATAACCATGACTGGAGGTGCCATGCTTCATTAATTCCGGTTAGGGGGCTCTGTTAACTTCTGCCTGAGGTATTAACTGGGGCCACTGTATCCACCAAATCTCTCACAGAGTACTGTAGGATAACAATTAAGAATTATGACCATAAACAGACAGATCCTACAGGTACATCTTGGTGCTGATGGGCTCTGAAAATATCCCAGCATACCTCCAAAGAGCAGAATGAGAGGCAAAAGGACGCATTTGAGTTTTGATTTTACATGCTGTTCCAGCAAGGAAAGAGGGCCGCAATCAAACTGCTGGCAATGACCTAAGCAGCAACTGAGAGTTCTGTAGATGCACAGACCCCTCAGAACTGTGATGTGACACCAGGGAGAGCCCCAGGAGCTGAAGCCATGGAACAGCCAGTTGTGTGAGACCTGGGGGAGGCAAACAGAGACCATTTCCAGGAGCCACGGGCAAGCCACTTGAACAGAGTGGGGCCAACTCCACCTCCAAACCCAGAGCACGAGCCTAGGAGTCGCCTTGCACCCAGCCACGGACAATACCTGTAGTACGAAGTGGGACGAGGCGGGGCGTCAGGGGTGTCCTGCTCCAGCTCTCGGTACACCACCTCGGGCAGCTTGGGGGTAGTGCTGGCCGAGGCGTTGTGGTGATGGTGGTTGGAGTCCTTGCGTTTCTCCTTGTTCTTGTGCTTCCCAGATTTGGGCGGGACGCTCTGCGTCTCCGTGCTCTCCTTATTGCTCCCATTCTCGGGCACCTCCTCGGGAATATCCTCGTCCTCGGACACCACGTCGAGATTATCGAAGATGCTGATGCGGTGGACGCGGCCATGCAAGTCCACCTCCACCATGCGCTGGGCCTGGGCGTAGGTCATCACCTCTCGGCCGGGCGATTGGGAGGTCTCGGAGGGGCTGGGCGACTGCTTGTTGGCGGCTCGGGCCTGGCGCCCCTTCTTCTTGTGCTTGCGCAAGGGGGTGTGCTGGGGCAGGGGCGGGTTGTCGTGGTCATAGTGGTACAGGTGGTACTCGATCCCGCTGTAGCTCTTGTAGATCTTGCGGCAGGTGCCCACCGGGCACTCGTAGGGCGGCTTGGTGGCCCGCAGATTGTGGCAGAAGGTCTTCACGTCGAAGTCTACGCCCATGGCGGGGCCGCGGGGGGCCGAGGCCGGGCCGGGCCCTCCCCGGGCCCCGGCCGCCCTGCCCTGGCTCCCCGCTACCCGCTCCCTTCCTGCGGCGGCGCTCCCCGGCGCGGGGCCGCGCTCAGCGGGCGGGCGGCTCCATGGGCGGCGGCGGCGGCGGCGGCGGCGGGCCCGGGCCGGCCCCAACAATGGAGCTGCGGCGGCGCCTGGCGCGGGGCGGCCGCTGGGTAAAGCGCCGCGCCGCCCTTAGCAACCGCACTTTCGCCACGGCACCGCCGGGCAGCAGCACCGGCCGGCGGCGGCGGCAGCGAGGACGCAGGGGACGGGGAAGACGGCGGCAGCGGCGGCGACGGGGCGGGGAGGCCACGTGGGAGCGGCGGGGCCGGGCCGGGTCGCGCCGCGATGGCAGTGGCGAATCTGCCGTCTCGAATCACAGACCCCACTGCCGCCGCCCGGCCCCGCCCCACCCGGCCCCCCTCGCCCCTTCGGTCCTCCCCATCCCTCCGCAGCCGTCGGTCCCTCAGGTCACCTAATTTCCAAAGTCCTCCCGGTTCCCCCGGCCCGGCTACAAGCCCGTCGGAACCTTCAGCCCCCTGGCCTCCCTCACCCCATCGGTTCCTCCCGTCTCCCTTGGTTTCCCCGCTCCCCTTGGCCCAGCACGGCAGCAGACCCGGTTGAGCAGTTTATTTACAGTCGGTAACGCAGTAGAGACCCGCCTGCCCCCCGCCCCGGCAGCCCCCGGAGGCGAGAGCCCCGGCCGTGGGGCAGGGCACGAGGCAGGCCGGCCAGCCCGGGCTAGCAGAGCCGGAGGAGACGGCACAGGCAGGAGCGGGGTGCAGGCAGGAATGGGGCGCAGGCAGGAGCAGGGCGAGGCCGCTGACCCGAGGAGCAGCGGGGCTGAGACCCCCAGTAGGCACTCGGGGTCAGCCTTCCTCTGGGACAGACGCCAGGCTGCTCTCCGGGACACGCACACACTGTGTCCGCCGGTGCTGGCCCTGCCCGCACTGCCACGGTCGGGGGACAGTCCCGCCTTGCTGCTGGACATCGGGCAGAAGGAACAGGCACCCAAGGATGTCCAGCCCTGTGGTCTCACCGCGAGAAGCGGGTCCCAGCCCTGTTTTGACTAACCATAGCAACTGATTATCTCCCTAATTGGGGCCATATCTCCGTAGTTAAGCCCTGTCCACCGCCAGAAAAAAGGTGACATATCTTCGCCCCACCAGCCAGTCCCATGGCTCATGGAAGAGCTACTTGGGATCTGCCCGGAGGGGCTTGATGTCACGGGTCTTCATGTAAGAGAGCAGCTGCTCGGGGATCTCAGCCAGCACGTCCTTGGCCAGGCGGGCCATGCTCAGCACCTGGTTGCCTGAGTCGTCCACGTAATCCCGAAATGGCACAAACTTTGAGGGCAAGAAGTTTGCAGTCAGGCTGGAAACAACTCTGTTGCTGTGGGGTTCAACAAGGGGAACTGGGCATCTCTCACCCATGGCAGGTCTGGATTCAATGCCAGAGTTACCTGTACAATATCCCTCTCGGCATATCGTCCCCGGGAAGACAACCGTACCTCGTCACCGTCCAGCTCCTCCATGGCTGGGGGTGACAGCTGGTGTCACCAAGCCTCGGTAGGGTGAACACCGGGGATGGAAACACCAGCCCTTTGGATGCCTTTGGCATCCCAGAGGAAGGGATGATGTTTCCATCCCTCTTCCCTGGTGTCCCTAAGTCCCAACTCACCCTCAAACTCAGCTGGACCTACTCCCACGATGATGATGGACATGGGCAGGGAGGAAGCCTGTGGAGCAGATGCAGGGTGTCAGCCAGGATAGTGCCCATGTGAGGTGAACTCAGAGCAACAAGGGTGCGCTCACGGTGACAATGGCTTCCTTGGTCTGCAGCATGTCAGAGATCACACCGTCCGTGATGATGAGGAGGACATGGTATTGTGAGCCATCGGTCACCTGGGCGGCTGTCCTGTGGGGAAAAGGGATGGGGTCCCTCAAGCACCACACTGGTGTGGGGCAGTCAACCCTGCTGCGGGACAGATGGCATTTGGGGATGGCAAAGGGGACAGTGCCCCAGGTGCTCACCCAGCCACCTGGTTGATGACGGGAGCAAAGTTGGTAGGACCATAGAGCTGGACGGTGCGCAGGCTTTGGAGATAGGACTCCAGCACGCCTTCAATGCCAACACAGCTGGGGTTCTCCATGTTGTTGTTCTGGAGGACAGAGATAGGCACTTGGAGGAGCACCACAGTTCCTGATGTCCCCCAGGCTGTGGGATGCTGGGGCAGAATGTGGCCAGGGTGCTTCCTCTCCCCCAACAAGCTGCTGTAGGCACCCCAAGACCAGCTCTGCCCCACAGCCGGGGGACCTGGGTTCACTCTCGGCCCTGTCCCACAGGGAGGGCGCACCAGAGGAAACTGGTGGGAGATCTTGCCGTCAGGTGGAACTTTGGCACCAAAGCCATAGGCAGGGAAGAGCTTGTCACTGTCGTAGTCCTGGATGATTTCCCCCACTGCCTTCAGTGCCAAGGCATAGGCGCTCAGCTGGTAGGGGCTCGCATAGTGCAGCGAGGTGGGCTGTGATGGTAACCCTGCGGCACAGTGCTCATCAAACCCGCCCCATGGCCACCCCCACGGTGATGGGGACCCCCCAGACACCAGGTGAACTCACCATTGGAGGCCGTGAAGTCAATGGCAACAGTGAAATTCAGCTGCGTCCTTTAGGGGGAGAGCGAGGGAGGCTGCCAGCCCCACGGCACAGGGATACCATCTTCCAGCCCCATAGTGCCAGTGTTTCCCTGCCCAGACCCATTGCCTGGGCCCCTCTTCCCCAGCCAGCACCCCACAGTCCCATGCCACCCTTCTGCATCTACTTCCCATCCCCACGGCCCCCTTGTCACCCCCTCACTGAAGCTTCATGTCACCACTGTCCTTGCCCTGAGACCCTCAGCTATGGGGGATCTCGAGGAGCCAGGGAGCTCCCGGTCCCCCACTCACCCGCCCCGTATGTAGTCAACGAAGGTGAACTCAGACTCAACGGAGAAGGAGAGCAGTGTCACCTGTGGGCACAGGGGATCAAATCTGGAGCCTCCCCAACCTGGAACACACAGCAGGTGGAACAGCACCAGCTCCTGGCAGGCAGGAAACCCAGGAACTCCCTAGCCCTACTCACGGTGCCAGAATTCACGTATTTCTTCTTCTTGCATTTCTTCCTGGGATTCAGCACCTGCAGGCACAGAGGTGGGTCAGTCCCAGTGTGGAGTATACCCTGCCCTCACCCTGACCCACCATCCTACCTCATACACTGTAAACTGACTCTGTGCTCGAGAGAGCTCCCGGTAGCTGGTGGCAAATTCCCCAATGAAGTCGTGGCTGCAGAAGGAGCACAGGGTCAGTATGGCCAGGCACCTGGGTGAGAAGTGCCCTGGGAAGCTTCAGCAGCACCCTGATGCCTCTTCCCTCACCTCCCATCCCGGTCCCAGTCGTACACATCTATCTTCACCGTCCTGAAAGTGAAGGCACATAGTGGGTGAGCCACCAACTAGGCTGGCACAGCCCCTCCAGCCCCTGATTTGGGGACACGCAGCCCCACAGCCCAAACTGCAGTGAGCACCCTGCCCACCAGCTTCCAGTAGAGCCGCCCTGCCTGCCCAGCCTGCAACTCTGCCAGGAGGGAGCAGAAAATTTGGGTCATGGTGGGGGCCCTGTAAAGGAGGGGGATGCATTTATGTAATTTGGGTTGCAAAAGAGAAAAAAAACCAATCGGGACCCAATTCTGATCTGCCTGCCGCTGCGGGGCCAAGCCCACAAAGAACTGCTCATACCCTGCTCTGGCCCCGTGGCTGCCCCTGTCCCTGTCCCCATCCCCATTCCTGTACCGGTCGTAGTCGCCGTTGCAGAGGGCACGCACGGGGATGGTGAAGGGCTGCCACACCGGGTTGAGTGTGTTCTTCACCACCTCTGTCTTATGGCAGATAGTAAAGCTGAGGGGACAGGGCAGGGTTGGGCCATGCTGTCTGGTGACATTGGCACCCTGTCTGCCCCACTGGGTCCCTGTGCTCACGTGCCATCCTCATTGCTACGATAGAAGACGAGGAAAGGATCGGATTTTCCAAAGAAGTCCTTCTTATCCAGCTTGTTGGCACACAGCTGCATTGTGACAATGTCCTGGGGACAGGGACTGTCACTGCTGGCCACCTCCTCATCCGTGGCACCAGCAGCTTCTGTACTGAGGGACCATGTGGCCCTCTCCACACTGCAGCTGGGCACAGGTACTCACCCGGCAGTTGCTCAGCTCCTCAGCCAGCAGCAGGATAGTCCCACACCGCTTCCCTGGGACACCCCTGGAATCAGAGGTACACAGTCAGCTTGGGGACAAGGAGGAGAGTTCGGGGCAAGAAGTTAGGGTTGGGGCTTCTGTCCACAGCTGGTGGTGCTTGGCATTGTGACTAGAATCCCCAGCATAGGACATGCAGGGAGGGGTCTAGTGGGGCAGGTGGTCGAGACACAGTGTGGTACCCTCCCATCTCAGCTCACCACAGGGTGTGACTCACGTTAGGGGTCTTTCCAGGCGTCCCCGCTGGGACCCAATCACCTCTCCCAGTGCCACAAATGCCTGCCCCAGGAAGTCCTGTGGCCCAAACAAAGCACTGTGAAACCCTGGAGGGCTGTTGCCCCAGTCCCCCACCACTCACACCCACCACTTTCCCTCCCAATGCACCCATGGGACCTGTCACCAACTTGACTCTGGGCCACCTCAAGTTTCCTGAACCAACACTGTGACCCAAGAGCCACCTCGCAACCCAGGACCCATTGTGCATCCCTAGGACTACCCCAGGTGCCCCACTCCATGTGCCTTACACTCATTCTGTGCCACCAGGGCCAGCCCATATCCCTGGACCCATCCTGTGTCCCCCCGCAAACTGCCCTAAGTGCCCTGACCTGTCTGGGACCCCTTGGGCCACCCTAGACACACCCTCAACAGCCAAACCTATGGAGTGTCCTGGCCCTATCCTGCCCCACCAGGTACTCCCGTAAGGGCTGGGTTCCCAGAGCAGAGCAGGGGCTGGTGTGTGGCAGGCACCTACCTTCTGCCAGTCCCCATGGGGCACGGAGAGATGGAGAGCAGGTTAGAGCCCTCTGAGGGGCACTTGTTCCCCCCCACCCCGACAGCAGCCACACAGGGCACAGCCTCGGGGTATCCCAGCATGGCATCACACCGCGGCATCACTACGCGTCCCCCCAGCACACGCTGTGCTCACCTGCTTTAAAGCGGAGCAGCTCTTGGAGTCCACGTTGTAGCTGGCGTGGGAGAGCAGAGCCCTGAGCTGGTGCCTGCAGGGATGCTCCAGCACACAGCTCTGCTTCCCCACTCATCCGGGCTATTCGACACTGAATTCTTATTTATTATCCTTATTTATTACTGACTCGGTGCTTTGTTTCACCCTCATTTAGGCTAAGCCCTTCCCTGGCCACCCTACTCACACATCGAAGCGGAGGTTTTGCTTCTCCTCGAAGTAGTAGTCGAGGACGAACTTGCGGACAAAGTCGGGGTTCAGGGTGTTGTCGATCACCTCGGTGCGTCCGAACTGCAGGGAGAGGGGTGAAGGTGGCCCCCCCAGGACCCGTCCCCATCGCAGCTGCCTCGGCGCTAATCCCGGTGGGGGATTAGCGCTGCTGGCGTGGCCGGATCATTAGCGTGGACGGGGAGGGATCATTAGCGTGGACACGGGTGGCCATATGGGCCCGTTTAACCCAGCTGGGGATTAGCCAGGAGAGGGGGCCACGCTCACCTCCTTCCACTCGCTGCTCCCCGAGACCTGCACAAAGAGGACTACCACTGCGGAGAGAGGGAACAGAGCCAGGCTGCCGTGTCGTGCCGTGTCTGTGCCATGCCATGCCCTCTGCCCCGCTCCGCCACCCACCTGGGTCGGACTTGGAGAAGGTGTCCATGTCCAGCAGGTTCCTGGGGGAAGAGCCAGGCGTGAGCCACACTGAGCGCCACCCACCTGGCCCAGCAACGGGTCCTCATGTTCAACCTCCTCATCACAGGTCAGCACCACGCCAGAAGGCCGTGCTGGCACCCATGGATAAGAGCATCGGCACTCCCAAGGAGACACGCTGGCCCCCTCTGCAAGGTTCGGTGGGGCAGCAGGGCGAGCAGTGAGCAGCGTCTCCAGCGCTGATGATGATTGAACATGACAGGGAACCCATTTACAGGATGAAACCTTTCCCGGTGCCGCTGGCGCCGGCTGAGTGCCCGCTGCGCCCCGGCAGCAGGAGCTTGGCTAATGGCAGGGTGCAGAAATGAGAAGAAAGGAGACACTTGGAGCAGGGGCTGAGCAGCCAGTGGGCATACCCCGACACACCTACCGGCAGAACGATTGATCGTCGTCCTGTGCACGGTGTGACACCGGAGAGTGCCGGGGGATGCTACCGGCTCTGCTGGGATACTTCCCGCACGCCCGGGGTGGCAGCACAGGGCGGGCTGGGGCACGGCTGGGGGCTGCAGGGCTAAGCCAGCTCCCCTGGCCCCAGACGCAGGGGAGAGACCGCACCCTGCTCTGGGCTGGGTCCTGAGGCTGTGAAGCCAAAGGCTGCCCCTGCCCTGTGTTGTCTCCAGGTGTGACTCCCGGTTCCTGCTTGAAGCTGCCCGGTCCTGCGGCCCCACAGTCCCTCTGCCTGCCGTCCGGGAAGCTGGCAGCAGGGACCAGGGCTCAGCCGCGGGGAGAGGGCACGACAGCCCCCGGCCCGGCCCAGAGTTTGCATAGCTCGGGGATGTGCTGGAGGTACTCACCCTGGTCGGGGCGCTCCGTGCCACAGGACCCACGGCACGGAGACGCTACCCCCCAGCAGGACGCGGTTGCCTGTCCCTGCGAGCGGGACCCCCGGCCGCAAGCAGCGGTGTCTCCGACGGGCTATATTTAGCCGCCGGCAGACCGGCTCAACCACCGCCGCTTGACCGGCGGACCCTGGCCAGAAGCTGGGGCACAGAGCAGCCCCTCTCCCGCAGTCCCCATCCCGCTGCCACGTTCCCGGTCCTGCTGCCTTGCACCGAGCTCACCGAGCCGGGCAGCCACTCGCAGGCAGCACCAGCATCCCGCGCCCCGCTGGCATCACCCCGGCCCGCTGGCATCACCCACCTCCCACCAGCATCGCCCCGCGAGGGGACCATCCCGCGCCCCAGCCCCAGGTGAGGGTATTGGGTCGCTTCACGCAACCGTGCCAGGTGACAGCATTCCATGGGACCCCAAGAAGGGGACGGGACGGGTAGCAGCAGGGCAGAGGGACGCTGGGCATACACCCTGGCACCGAGAGCTACCCGGGGAGAGAGGAGGACGCGCAGCTCACAACGCCTCGAGCCAGGGGCTGAGCGGCGGGCAGCGGGACGCAGAGAGCATCCCCGCAGCGCATCCCGTGTCCCACCCGTGTCCACGGACGAGCCACCGCCCTCCCGCTCCCTCGCCTGGCTCCCGGCTCACCGGCAGGACACGGTGAGCTCCACCTTGGTGCCCGGCACGCTGCCGGCCGCCGGCTCCAGCGCTCCCGGAGCCGCCATCCCCGCCCGGGCGCCGCCGATGCTCCGCGCCGCCTCCTCCCGCGCCGCCGAGGAGGCGCGCCCGGGGGCGGGCACGGCACGGGCACGGCGCGGCACGGCTCAGCACATCTCGAGCACGACGGCCCTTCCCTGCCGGCAGCGGGGGCACCAACCCAGACACCAGGGGGTTCGGCTCCTGGGGCTCGGCTTCACCGGAACGTCCCGCCCGCGATTCCCAAGAGGGAGCTCAGCTCCCATCCCGCCCCGCCAGGGGCTTCCTCCCGGGTTCGGCTCGGTGTTATTTCGGTGCCGACTCTCGCGAAGAGTGGGCTGGGCTATTTATAGTGAGCGGCGCCCCCGGCAGCGCGGCTCCCCCGCGCCGCCCCCGCCCGCAGCCCAGAGAGGAGGCAGGAGAGGGCACAGCTCGGGTCATTTACTGCAGAGACTCGCCGAAGACCCCGCACCCCCCAGCCCCAGGCAGGGGGGGCTGGCGGCGGGCGCTAGGTGCAGCAGGTGCCCGCACCAAGAAGAGCGTCCCAGGACTCTGCTGGGGGACGCGCCAGCCCAAATTTTCCAGGCAGTGGTCTGGGAACACCGTGTTCAGAGGGTGCTGCTGCCTCTCAGTCCCACTCCCCGCACGAACTGCTCGAGGAGGCCACCGATGGCCCCTGAGGGGCTGGGGGGCACGGCCTTTAGGCCGATGGTCCGGCTGTAGCTCGCCAGAAAGGCAGAACGCACTTCCTCCAGACGAGACTCACGGTCACTCGCTGACACCAGTCTAGGAGAGAGAAGGGGAGGTCAGTGACTGCAGCCATCCCTCTGCAAAACCCAGCTCTCACTTCTAACATAGGGCTGTGATGCTCAACGGGCTGCAGTGGCTAAGGCAGTGCAAGTCCCAAAAGGCTCTGCCCACAGAGCTGGTGGCAGCTGGTGCCACTGCCTCATCCAACCCAACCCACAGAGCCACTTGCAGCCTGAGTCTCCTGCTCCCCCAGGGGTTTCCTCCTTCACACATTCCACTGCCCCCCGTTTCTCCCACCACCATGGTGCTCATAAGGCTGCAATTCATAAACAAAGTGGTGCTTTGGCCAAGTGGGTGCTGACATCAGTCCCTGCGCCAATTCCCTCCCTTCCTCACACAGATGAAGCCTGTCTATGTATACTGTGCCTGGACAGTGGCTTCCAACCTATTTGCAACCATCCCTCATTTACACCAGCCCCAGCCTCGTGTGCTTGTGCCAGCATAGACAGCTCTGTGGAAGTGGGGATGAGAGGGAGCAGACAAGGTGACAAAAGCCCCAAGGAACACTCCAACAACAGGAAGAGGAGAGCTGAGCAGCACTTTATTTCTGCTCCTCAGCATGGCTGCTCTCTGCAAACAGGAGCAGAGTAGGGCATGACTTCCCATGGGACCTGCTCTCCTCATCTGCTGATCCACACACCTGGTTAGGGGCAGGGGAAAACAGCAGAAGGAAGGCAAGACCAGCTGAGGGAGCAGGGGAAAGCAAGACTGGGACCCAGAGGCAGCTGTTCCAAGCTCTCCAGCCTAAAATGATCCTTGCTGTAGTGCCTCTGCGACATGCCAGTGGTTCCCAGAGAGATTAAGACATTCCTCAAAGGTCACTCCAAGGGCACAGTGCGAACTTTCCCCATAAAAAATTCTCTTTAATCTTCCAGCGCCTGGGCTGGCTATAAATTGGCACAGCTCATCTGAATGGAAGTGTTAACCACCCACAGCCAACAGCTTCGGTCCGGAAACAGCAGCAAGAGGATATGGTGGGAGGCCTATAAACAGCAAGTGATGCCGAGGCAGCCAACCAGGCCGCTGTTTACTGTGTCTGATAATAAAGAGAAGCCAGAGGGCAAAAAAAGGCAACAACATATCTAAACACATTAGCGATGCTTTTTGGCAACCTAATTAGGACGTGGAACTCGCAAACCTGCTAGCATTTAAAATAAACTCCGTGAGGGCAGGACTTACTTGCACCCGAGCACAGCGATCTCAGATGTCACGCGCAGAGGTAAGCGAGGGCGTGCAGCAGTTAGGTCCCGTGTCTTGTGGCTCTCACACCTCTTTACAGGGCAGATTTTGTATTTGGGTTTTTCGGTTTGTTTCAGGGAGTGAGACACTCCAAGGCACAGGGTCAAGCAGCCAGCCACTGCTCCACACCAAGCCCTGCAGACCGGCTGCAGCATTTCACCCTGAACGGTTCACCGCGGAGGCAGGTCGTGCTGCCTTGCCAAATCCACGGCACTCTGCCCCGCTACACTTCCTACAGCCTGCCCGCTTGCCTGCAGCTTGGGGTGCGGGATGAGAGGAGGCTGTCAAAGCCCCAGCTCGAAGTAAGCCCTGACAAGCCCCACACAAGCACAAGAAGTAGGCTGTGAAAAGCATACCTTCATCGAGCTGCTGCCAGTGAAGATGCAAAGTGGGAACTTAAATGGAATTAAAAGAAAAAAAAAATCATACTGTGTCGGGCTGCAAAAACAGGGAAAAAGCCACAATGGAGTCCTAAACAAACAGGGCTGATGCAGAGCAGAGAGGGGGTGGAGGCTCTGGGTTAAGCTCAATACAACACTGCTGGGAACTCTTCATCCTTTCAATGAAGTTCCTGGTCCCAGCACCTTTAGCTGAGTAGTCCCTAGCCCCCAAGCAACCCACAGCTTTAGGGAATAGCTGAACAGGGCAGAGCACCCACAGGAGAAGCACCACTACTGTTTTCCTTCTTTTGAATCCACTGCCCCAAGCAGTCACGCTCCAAACTGCATAAGCCTAAGGCCTATCAACTTTGATTCATGTTTCTCTACTGAATTCTCTATTCTGACATTGGATCCGACTCCAGGGGCAGAAACAACTTGCTGGTGATCATCAGTGAGCAAGTACAGCCAAGCTCAGGACACAGTGAAGCAGTCACTATTCAGATGCCCATCCTTCAGTCCCTTCCCACTTGCCCATCTCCAAACTACTGCAGGAGCAGCTCAGTATGTCCTCAGGAAAGGAGAACAAATCCTGGCCAGGCCACGTCCAACATCTCTTGCAATGTTTTGATCTGGCAATTCACGGATCTTGTAGCTTCACTGTAACTTGAAGGCAGCTGCTCTGCTCTGTTCAGCAGCACAGCACGCAGCCACACGAGACGCAGAACCAGGGCAGGCAGCCTGTCTCACAGGAGACACGGGTTTTCATGTTGCTTGCCCTCTGCCTCCAAAGCACGTACTCAGATCTCAGTAAGGGACTGAGCATCTGGCAGCACAGCTCTGGCATTGCTTGCTAGCAGCAGCCCCTGATCTGCCATTTCAGTTTCTTGATGGAGAGTCTGCAGCCTGAAGGCACAAACCAAGGTTCTCCTCTAACAGCAATTAAAGCGCATCTCCAGTCTTTCAAGCTTCCAGAGGTGTATTTCTATTTGGGGAGGAACATTTGCCTCTCAGCCATTTCACATGGCAGGATGTGGCAGGACACAGGGTCTCTGTGGCTCTGCACTGGCCAGGCACAGCACCTGCAAATGATGCTGCACAAGGCCAGACAAAATTTGGGTTACAGAAGGAAAGTCCTTCTCTTACTCCAGCAAGGATCTGACCCCAGTGGGGAGATGTAGGTGAGCAAAATCGAAAAGCAAGAAATCTGGGTTACCAGTCCTGTCCTGACAAACATGAATCCTCCACTGCACTCAATTATGCCCAAATTCAGCATCTTTGAGGAAGAAAGAAAAACCTCTTCTTCCTACAGAAAGCAAAGAGCTCCCCCATCATTAGAAAGAGAAAGTGCCATTTTCTTTCCGTGTTCAGCATAAGCAAAGAGTGCTCAGGGACTGAGTTTGTGGATAGAAAACATCGAGGCAGAGAAGATGGAACAGTTTGTTATGGGCTCCCAGGCTTCTCCGAAAGTGCCAGAGTGATAAAGTTGCAGTACTCGCAGGCAGCCAAGAGACCCAAGGAGAGATCCTGCGTTTGAGACACTTACAGGCAAGTGCTAGAGAACTCATCCGGGAAGCTGCAAGGGAGAGAGGCGTCTGCGTTCAGGATTGCCTGCTCCCGAATACTGCCACACCCTGTCACCATCTGCCAGCTGCCAAAGTCTGTGGAAACGGAAGATCCGGGCAGAGAATGGTCCGCCGATCTGGGGCAGAGAGAGAGGGAGACGGCGTGATCAGTCAGATCATTCAGCCACGTGCTTTTTACTGGTGCTACTGCCAGGGACCTGCCGGGCAGATGGCCAGCAGCGCCTGTGCCAGCACTGTTGACACTCAGGGACCAGGGTGCAACATGCAGCTCGGGCTGGGCCCCAGACCAAGCCTTTCCTTTGAAAGTGAAGAGAGAGCCAAGCTGGCTGGAGCCAATAAAGCAGCAGGAGCACACCAGAAGCTGGACAGGAGAGAGCGAGCATGAAGCAGATGGCCATGCAGAACTGAGAAATCCATTAGTGAGATGGAACAGCACATCCTGCCCTGAATCCTTCACAGATGTGAAAGCTGTGCTGTACAAGGGACATTCCCCTGTTGCTTGTTGTAGCTGTTAGCACTTTTCAGGGCAGCAGGGCAAGTCAAGGTTGTGACTTGGTTAGTGCTGGGAAAGACTTACAGATCATTGTCCTGGCAGCAGTTAGAAAGCAGAACACTCCTGAGCATTACCACCAGATCTGAACAGAGCCAACCAAGGCGTACTCAGGACACCTACCCCCAGCGCCTGAACATCTCTTCATTTCTGTGTTAAAGAAAGGGCTCTGCCAGAAACCAGGTGACAAATCATCTTTAGGACAGGCTAAATAGCCAAGGAAGGATAATTATTTGATGTATGCAATCTCTCAGCAGGAAAGAAAGAAGCATGAAACATGGTAAGTGAATCTGAGGAGTCCCTCCAAAATCTCAGAGAAGAGGGCACAATCACTTGAGACAAACCCAGAGCTCTTGGCTTCCAAGGGAGCAAGCAATTATTAAGCCTTGCTGCACAGCAGAGTGTACATAGCTGGAAGCACAGCCTGTGGCAGAGCTGCTCAATTACACACTACCAAGATCTTCTGGATAATTTATCTGAGTTCTGCTGGGCAGAGAGCAGTGCTCCAGCTCTGCTGGGCCAGGTACTTGCACGCTGTCTTCACAGCTAAGAATAGCAGTGGCGCACTGCAGCTGCTCCCCAAGGGACCAGAGAACAGCCAGAAAGGCAGGCTCTCCCACAGCAAGAAGGACCTGAGCTAGACTGGAAGGCAAAGGTGGGAAGAGATGCACAGCAGGAAACCTATTTGCAATCTCCATCTAATTCCAGGCCTGCCATTTAATTAGTTTGATCAATACAGCCAAGTTTGAGCAGTGTGAAATGTGGTCCTGAGCTGGCTGTGCAAGCACAGAAAGGGAATCACACAACTCCCTACATATCAGCTTCCCATCATAGCTGCAGTCTGAGGGTAACACCCCTGCCTGGCAGCTCAGGTTCATGACAGCAGAGATCAGGAAGAGCAGAGCTTCCCCTGTGTCACACAGATCTTGTTATATGGCTGCTCAATGAACTGAGGAGTAAGGGTCAGAGTATTGGAGGAACCCTGTCTTGGTGGCTTTTCCTGGGGTCCGTAATGCCCAAGTAAGAATGAGGGCACTTCACTGAAAGCAAAAGAGAAGCATATACTGTTAGAAAGACCTTCAGGAGATCAGATAGGGATAACCTTCCCTAGAAAGCAAGGAATTTGTAAGGGAAGGAGAGCAGCTGTTCAGTGACATCTACTTCTCTCCATGCCTTTGGAAGATAAAGTGGAGGAAGTCAGTGTGAAGGGGAGCAGGCAGTGTTTGGTGCCACAACACAAAGCCATAATGGAAGCGCAGTGGGAACAGTGCAGGATGCCAGGGAGAAGCATGGAGGAATGCTACTTCAGTGCAGAGTGAAGAGGAAGATGTCACCTCCCTGAGAGCCCAGCACAGGCAAACAGGAAAAACAGAAGTGTCACACATGGTGACATGAAATTGAGCTAAAGGAGTAAAGAGATCTGTAGGCAATAGGCTTGGGCTGAAAGTAGGCAGAGACAGGATTCTGCCAGAAAAAGTAATGAGTTGCTGAACAGAAGACAGGTTTGTGGCCAGACAGAAACAAAGGTTTGGAGAGGGCAAGCATGAATGGCAGAGGAGGGCCTGGACTCTAGCAGGATCTCCAGGTGAAGAGTTCTGAGAGCAGAGCTCTGCAGCTCTTGCAAAGGGAGAGTAGTATCTGGAGCCTGCTCAGGAGATTCTGCCCACATAGCAAGCCATGATCCAGGGCACCAGGGACAGGAAAAATGTCCCTTTGCTCAATATTATCAACTACACCAATCAGATAAGTCTGTGTCTAAAGAGAAAGTGAACAGAAAATAATTTTTTGCTTTGGGTGTGTGGTCCCAGCTTCCAGCTGCTGGTCACCTTCCATGATTGTCAGCTATGATTAGACTGATCTTACACCACCTCTTGGGATGGATCAAGTAATCTCTTGAATTCTGCCATGGACAGGCTGGTAAAAGCCCTGTGTATCATCCTGGGGTCCCCAACCCTGTCAAGCAGCTGTGCAAACTTAGTAAGGTTTCATCTAATGCAACAACACTGGGGTCTAGGAGTTCAAGGCAGTCAATTCTGTGTCTTGCCTCCAGGCAGCAGAACAAACACTTCTTGATTAATTAAATCAACTGATTGACTCTGCAATGAGTCTAAGTAATTTCTTTCCTGGCCCAGAGATCTGAGACTGGCCAGCAGAGCTAAGATATTGTGGCAGACCTTCCCTGCTATCCCCAAAGCCTTCTCGAGGGAGGCTCCTGTGGAAACGTCACAATCAATAAGCATCTTGAACAGCCTCAAGAGACAGCAGGGACCAAGCCTGGGAAGACACAGCATGGGAAATTTTGTGTTTGCACTGCAATGGCAGCAGAGCTTCTTAGAAGTTGAGTTTGGCTTGAGACCAAGACTAGAGTCTAGGCTGACTGCACCCCAATGCAATCCAATCAGTGCTAGAGGTGAAAGTCTTCCTGTAATTTCTACCCTGAATACTTCTTGTAAAGTCTTACTGGAGAGGCCTCAGAAGAGCTTCAGTGAGGCCCTTGGAACAAGCTGGAACTGCTGGGACAGCAGAACCCCTTCCCAAATCTTTAAGAACAGCATGCCTGCAATACATGACAGCCATGCCACAGGCTGGCTAGGAGCGAGGGCAGCACACAGTCTCGGGAAGCAGCCGGACAACCACAGCAAAGCTGACATGGTTAGAGGAGACGAGATACTGCCAGGCTTCAAATTGCTGTCTCTGCCACAGACATCTAATGGCAGACAGAAAAAGAATCAAAGTGAGCTTCACACACCCACCTCTTCAGGTCCACGAGTGGGAAGAAACTCCCTCAAAAGTGCAAGATTAACTAAATTAGATTAGCAAAACAGAGATGAGCTGCAAGCTGTTCCTTCACACAAGAAGGGACCTCTCGCAGGCCATAAACTGGCAGCTTCTAACCTGGAATGGTTCCTTTTAATTAGGTCAGTGCTTCCCATGCAACATGCTGCACAAGACAGAGTATTCCAGAGCACATGGACACTCATTTGCCTGCCAGAGAAGAGTCAATACTGGAGGCAGAGCAACAGTCAGGGATCCTTCCCTTTCTTAATATGTAACTGAGATGAGTGCTAAGTGCCAACAGCTAGGCTCCATCCTGCCCCATGCTGCCCCTGCTCACCTGACATATTTCCACACACCTGGGACTATTTGGGAAGCAGCTCATTTGCCAGCATATGCTCCTCCCTCAAACAGAAGCATTAAGTAAGTTCTGTATGTACAGGCAGACAGTGGCAACCTGGAGTAAAGGGCAGCCCTTCCCACCTTTGCGTGGGAAATGTTGGCAAGGAGTATGGCCCCCTGCCAAGAACTGTAAGCCCTGGCTGAATCCCAGACAGTTATCTATAGGCTGGGATAGTGCCCGAGCAGCCTGTTCTCTGTGAGCACCATTTCTGATTGCAGCACATTGTCATGTGCCAGCCAGCAAGTCCATTTTGTGGCATGGTCATGCAATAATTCCAGAAAACATTCCTGTAAACAATTCCTCTCCTGCTGTGGTCACTGCCCCAAGCTGTCAATTGAAGATATACCTTCTGAGAGAGGTCTTGTAAGGAGCAAGACACACAGTACACACACAGTCTTCTCACTACCAACAAAACACCCAAAGCCAAAGGGAAGCAGCTTCTCTGTCCCACTCTGCTCCCTCCAGACCCACAGCTGAGCCATCTGCAGCCCTTAAGTAAGGGAGTTCTCTGACTGCTGGTCAAAGCAGATCCTCTGCAATTTAACTCCTCCACATCTCGACTCTCTAGATCACAGTACTTTGGGTTTAGTTTAATTGACTTAGCAAAAGCACATTCAACCAAAGATTATCTAGCTGCTAATCCACATTAGTGCTATGTAGACACACGCTAAATCCCTCACACAGATACAGAATTTTTCTGCAGTGTCATGGGACGCTTAGACTGCTAGTGTCAAATGCAAATACAGGAAAAGGTTTGCAAACTGCAACCCTGTCACATGCAGGGGGTTCAATTTGAGGAATATTGACTGCCATACTCAGAGCTCTCTGTAGAACAAGCAGCACCTATTCCTACTCTGCAAACAGTCTATGTAAATATCTTCGTGTGTTTGTCCTCCACAGATGTGATCTTACCACCATGTTGGAATAAGCTAGAAAGACTGACAGGAATTGCCTTTGTACTGCTTTGCCTACCAAGGACCATCCTTGGATTTACACGTACCCAGGACCTCTGGATCAGACCTGGATTCACAAGATGGGCTGGTAATGTGACAGCAGCAGCCTGTTGACATTGCCTGGGCAGTAGAGGGGCTTGGCTCCTAATGTCTGACAGGGCATGTGTGACCCCTTCTTTTAGGACAGCCCAGTTCCCCCCTCCCAGGCCCTGCTCATGTCTCCTGCTGACTTGCCTTTCTGTTCCCTCCACAGCTCCCCTGCCTGCCAGCACCTGGATTGGGCTGTTGACTTGAACTACCTCAAGGATACCTGCTGGCATTTTACAAGCAACCATTTTAACCACTGCAGCAGCAGTTGAAGAAAGTGTTTTGTTGCTATGGCCACACAAACAGAGGATTAGGAAGTCAAGTACAGTGGTTTCTTCATTTCAAGAGCCTTGGGTGTTGACCTGCCAGCAGCACCACAGGAATAAAGGTATTTTTGGCATCCTGATCAGTCTCTGTGCTCTTGCTTTTCCATCTTAGTACCACAATTTTTCAGGAGGCGGAGAGACAATTTACCTCTTCCTTCCATCACAGTTCTCCACCCAAAATGGGACTCATTGTTTCTTTCAGGGTAGAAAATGGTGGCTGAAGGTACTGTGTTATCTACCAGACCAATTCAGACTAACATAGTTGAAGCAGGGAGACCGAAGGCCAAGTGGAATGACCTCTTTCAGGCGAAAACATACTATGCTTAGAACCCAGAAACTACAACACATGACAGTGTCTGATAAGGCAACCCTAACCCTCACTATGGTCCTCTTCTGCCTGCTCCTGTTTCTTCCCTTTGCTCCTGCAGAACAGTCTGCCTGAAGCATTACAAACTGCTTATTCCTGAACACTGCTGAAAGCTTGCTGCCAACAAGCACTGAGCAGCCTGTCAGACCTTGGGAATGGCATGGGACCACACACAGGAATTGTGGCACTACCATTGTGAACAAAGCAGCTCTCAAGACGTTTTCTTCTTGTATTTTGTTCTCGGGACATTCTTTTCATCTTACAAAAAATACAGAGGTTGGCCCCAGCAACAATTCAAACCCCTCCTATTGATGTCTTTCCCTGGGGAGAACAGTTAGTATCATTTATAAAAGCTGTCAGACACTGGGGTTTTTCTCTCGAACTGAGAGACACTTGTTAAGAAAGTCTTATAAATTTTCAATGCTTTACTTTTGTTTGTCATTTTATTTTCCATATGATGAGAGATTACTCAGATTTTGCTGGTGGCTGATTCAGAACCACTAGAAAAAAGAGTCATCAGAAAACCTGCAGAGGCTACACAAGCATTTGATGCTGTTAACAGCAACCTCTTATCTCAGAGTCTCTTTATTCAATGTTGGCCTACACACATGGTGTTTGCTCCACAGGCTCTGTTCTTTCCTCCCTAGGCCAGCTCACTGCTTGCCTCTGCCCTACTGCAGCATCAGATTCCAGGAGGGTGCCTTTGTTGTGGTGTGTGATTAGGCTCAGGTGCAGGGTCCCCATTCCCCAGCAGGAACACACAGCCTTCCAGGCAGAATCCTTTGTGCTGGCACAATACTTGCAGCTTGCTCCCAGCAGATTCCTACCTCTGCTTACCACCAGTACCCAGTTTTTTCCAACCTGCGTCATCAGGAGGGTCAGCAGGTGAAAAGGAGGACAGGATAGATGCAGAGTGAGGTCTGCTTGGTTTGAAAGCTTTCTTCCCCAAACACCACAGCCATTTCAAATCCTGGTGGATGCTTAGACAGAGAAAGTGCTGTGAGCTGCAAGCATGCAGGATGCAGAGATGCCAGAGCTCAGAGCTGAGGCATGCACTGAGGACAGGCACAAGACAGCAGCTGGCTGTTATCAGCACAGTTCCTCGCTCCTCTAGGGGCTCAGGCAGGAGCGTCTGGGTTTAACAGCCAGCACTTTCAGACAAGGTCAGACTAGAGAGGAACAGGCCTCCCAAGGTTTGTCCATAGATACAAACACAGGTACTCCAATGTTTCCAGAGTCACACAAGTGCAGCCCTGTTCTCCCTCTACCAGACACTCATTTTGCTGAGAAATGCCCTGCTCCATCCCATCTCACCTGGATCTGGGCACTTCTAGTGGGCTGCTTCCAATCCTCAGGAAGTTATCAGAATGGGTTGATGAGGAGGAGCTGGAGGACTTGACTTCAACCAACCCTGTGGAAGGCAGCCTGTCTTCAGACTGCTGTGCTCTGCTCCAGAGCACGGCCTGCGGTGACGATGCACAACTCTTCCTCCTGAGGGACAGAGGACGTGGGTGAGAAAAATTACTTTTCTATGTACTCCAACTAGGAAGCCTTTCCACCACAGGCTGGAGTTCAGCCCAGCAGCTACAAACTCTTGTTTCCACCGAACCCGCCCTCCTCCCTCCCAAGGAACCATGAGTCACGGGTAAACACTCAGGGAGGGGGTACACTGAGCTCAACCCATCTTAGCCCATTCTTTTATAGATCACCATCCACGTGACCTGGAAATCAGAGACGGGAGAATGCACCAGCCCACACACACACAGCGATTGCTTTGTTTAGTCTAGCAGCAAAAAATGCCTTGAGCAAGGGGCCTCCCAGCGGGGAAAGACCATTTCAATCTGCTCCAACTCCACAGTGTGTATCAGCCCAGGTGGGCGTTCGTGCACACACCACCAGTGTTATTTTCCCTTTTAGCAATTCCATTTGGGCACCACTGACCACACTTCTGACCATGTGCTTACAGCTGACAGTCACTCCAGATGTAGGTACGCTTCAGTTCTCTCCCTTTCTATGCTGATGGCCCAAACTGCTCTGGCTTCTTTCCTAGCCAGCACATTCAAACTCAGCCATAATTCACTGTCCATTGGTGCATCAGGCCTGAGCTCACAGTACCATCCAAACAAGTACTACATAGTACTATATGCCAAACAAGTACACATTTGGGACTAATTCACATCACTGCTGCTCCACGTTCAGGTTTTCCTTCTTATGTCAGTTGTTTGATTTTGTTTTTTTTTTTTTTCCCCTGGGAAGAGTCCCAAGAATTTCTCCCCTTCTGAGACCACACTGAATTGGACAAAGACCTCCCTATGTAAAAAAGTAAAAAGGAAAAATTCTAAAGCAAACATACTCAAGTGGAAAAAATGTTACTCTTCCCAAAACATAGATGGGTATCTCAGCTTTGAGATCTCAAGCACTGTCAGCAAGTGCAACTAAAGACAGGCTCATTGTATAGTGGAAAGTGCGATATCCTCTCTTCATTTCTTGAAGGGTGTCCACCCTCAAACATCACACCACAGCCTCTCTTAAGCTTTATTCATCTCATGTTATCATAACTGCCAACATCTCCAAGTACAGCCTGCAGAAACAGGTCTGAACAGCTAAAAATCAAATGCCTCTCCCTGCACAGAGACTGTGAGGCCACCTGTTTTCACGGCATGCTCTCATGCTATGCACAGCCCAGCTCATCCAGGTTGTAGCAAGCTCTGTGTATTCTCTGGACTACAGAGCCACAACAGCCTGCAGTAAAACATCCATGACCAGTCTCCTCACTGAGCACTCATGGCAAGGCTCACAACCTTCCCCTTTCTCAAGCTCATGCCCCTCAGGCATGGCCCAAACCATCCCTGTGGAGCAGCTGCTAGCCCCAACACAGCCTGATGCCTCCCACAGAAATAAAAGCAACCCAGAGCTAGGAAACACATTGCAATATCGAGCCCTGATCCACACAAGTGCAGCTATCTCCTCCAGCATGCTCTGGTCACTTCACATCTTGTACAAAGTGCACATAGGTTCTGTGCAGCAGAATCAAGTCTGTGTGTCCTGAGCACTCAGAGCAACATAAATGCTTTCAGTTCACTATTTTGCAGCCCTGCAAGTGGAAAGTTGTTCTCTACTTGATGCAGTTGCTTTGATGTGGATAGGTAGGCTCTGTGTATTAGAGGACTCCGTGTTGCTCACTTGGCAGAGTTTGGGACTCTCCATCTCCATTTTGTGATTCTGCAGGGATATTCTCCTTTCCCTTCTCAGCACTTTAAATTGAATACACAATGTGCTTTAGAAAGGCTGCTGCCACTAGCATGGCTGCAAGCTCAGTCCCAGAGGATTTCAAATGCCTCCAGCACAACCCAGATTTAATTTAAAATAATTGCAATATAAAATAGCATCTTCACATGTGCTGAGGGAGAGGAGAGAAAAATTAAACTGAGAGGGGCAACTCTACAGCAAGGCTCTGAAATCCCCAAACAGCACCAGAAACTCCACAAGCAAGTCCAACACCTGTCCCAGAGCAGGAGAGTTGCCAGACACCTTCCCTGCTTCCAGACAGCCACCTGCATCCCCAGGCAAGTCCTGTGTGACTCCCTGTCAAGAGGCACTACTGAAAATTCTGTATTCTCCCCTGGAAATGTCTCTAAGCAATGCTGCAGGCAGGAACCTGCTTTCAGCTCAAATGCCTCATGCTGGTAGAGAAGCTAAAATTTAGAGGGAATTCTTGGCCACCCAGCCCAACTCTCACTAACTGCAGACACTCCCCATGTATAATGTCTTTCCTAAACTCTGATTAAGCTTCATTTTAGGCAGCTAAACCATCTCCACTTTTCCCTGGGGAGGCTGCTGTCAAATGTAATTTTTTTGGTAGTTGGGAACCATCTTTTAAAAATAATGAAATCCTTTGTGGATGAAATTTAACAGTGAAACTAGTGAAAATGAAACAAATGTGCTTTACTCTCATCTATGTACAAACTTAGAAGCATCCCTGCAGAAGCCTGACAGCCTCTTAAAATGGGGTGGCCTCCAATTTTTGGTGCAGAAGCTCTGGAGTACAAGTTGTAGCAAAGCTTCTGACAGCCAAATTCCTCCCTCCACTGTAAGGAATCTATTCTATAGAAAGCAGACCTGAAAGGCAAGACACTTCAGAAATATTTTTTCTGTCAGGCCCAGAGCCAGCCCCTTTTGTTCAGCCCACCAAGTGGTTATGTCCTCACCACGCTGCTTGAGCCTGTGCTCCTGCTGGCATCAGCTCCACTGCTTCATAGGTAAAGCTCCCAGCTGCTCCAGGGGAACTTTCCATCCCCAGGGAGAAGTCACTGCTCAGGCTTGTGGTGCTGCCTCGGTCTTTCTGCTCTAGAGAGAAGAAAACAGAGCTACCTGAATACCAGCTCTGAATACAGAGCTACCTGAATACTACCTGAATACCTTTAAGCAATACACTTCCCCGTGCCCTGTGCTCTTGCAAGGTCCCAGAGGCCGCACACCCATTTGGGGTTATCCTGAAGCTGGGAATCTAAGCCCACAAGCAATGAACCATTAACAGCACCCAGGGGCACTGATGCTTGACAGCAGCACTCACTGAGCATGCAGATCTCTTCCAGGGTGAAGCCAGGTGGCAAACTCTTCCTTCTGGGGAAGGAAAGACAAAGTTACCTCAGGCATACTTCAGAGCAGTGGAGGCTGGCCATAGCCAGGTCTCTGTTACACACAGCACATCAGAGTAGTGGGGTTTAGCTATACAGGAGTAGAAGGGAGAGGTTGGGCCACTGTCTGACTCCTAACAGTCCCAACCCAAACTCCCTATGCTTTGAGAAGATGGCAACAGGCAACACTGCACATGATGTGCTTATTCAGAGCATCCAGGGTGGGTTTTGCTACTTGCTGTCCCTCCTGAAATAAGAAGGGCTTATGCTGAGTAGTCCATTAAAAACCAGCCACCCCTCTGTGCCCACCAGTGCCTGATGGAGCTTGCTGTGCAGTCTGCTTGAGCCAGAGCACTCATCTCTGGGTTCATCCGTGCTAGAGCAGCCACAGACAGTCATTAAGCAGAAGGCACATTTCAGCATGGACAGTTTTTCAGAGCACAACGTGGCACCTCACAAGCCTCGGCCCCGTTTTGCAGCCTTCAGAGTGCAGAATAAATTAAAGAAAACTGGGCCAGGACACCAGGGCTTCTATCTCCCCAAAGAAGCAGCACTAACAAGCTCCCTGGCTCTGTAGCCCATGCAGCAGCAAGCACAGGCTCCTTACCTCTGTGACTTCAGAGCAGAGAACTCCTCAGAGGTGATGTGCTTCAGAAAATTGAAGCAGAAAAAGAAAATCTGAGCAAAGGGAAAGAAAAGAGCGGTTCAGGAATGAACCCGAGGCTCCATGCAGCCTCTTATCTTGGTGAGGAGGTGCTGGCAGGAAGGAGATAGCAAAAAATGTGCAGCTACCAGCCTCCAGTGTGCCATGGGCTGCCACCATCCCATCCTGGGCCTTCTCTTCCATGCAAACTGCCCCTCTGCTCCCTGCCACGGGGAGGCCCACAAAGGAAGGGAAACAAGAAGTCTCCTTATCAATGCCTTGCACACATGCTGCAAGCCCACAGCAGGTACTTAGGCCATCGGTGCAGAATGGAACCGAGATGGCAGCAGCTGCTTATACACCAGGTAAGCAGCAAACCCAGCAGGACTTGCATGGTTAGAACCACATGCTCCACCTCAGCAGCAGACCTGTACCACATCTGGAAGCATGAGGTACCTACAGCATTTGTGGCCCCAAGCTTGTGCCTTGCCACACCCCAGTCTGCTCGGCATCATTCACCCCACTGCGCCTCTGCCACCTCACCCACCCAGAGCAGAGCTGTGCCCTTTTCCTGGGAGAAGTGGGGAGCAGAGAGTGCCAGAGGCAGCCAGGTACCCCCTCTCCTGCTGCAGCTACTGATTCCACCCATGACCAAGCAGGCACCAGAGCAGAGCTCTCAGGTTTGAGCCAGTAGAAGTCCAGGAAAGAAATGAATAGGAGCAATGATACTAAATCTTTCAGGGGATTCTGTACCCCTGAAAGATGGAAAAGAGGCCAGGGTCCTGTCTCTGCTGTTTGAAGGCCGAAGATTCCTTAGTAAGGTGAGAGTTTGAGGAGGAGGGGAATAGCAACAGGGTTAGGTACACACCCCACCTCTTTTCCATTCAGAAATGATAGTGTACTCTACTGCAACTACAGTCAGAGCAATCTTTTTTTTGCTGCTAAACAGTGAAAGATTTTGAAGATAATTACTTCCACTAATTTTAAGTGCGTCGCAGACCCATATGTGCACCCACAGTCACATCCCACCAAATTCACACACTGGAACCAGCACAACCAGGACAAGTTGCTCCATGAGCCTGTGATGGCATGCAAGCCACATGCAGCTGTAGCACCCAGGCAGGAGGGCTGGCACTCAGGACAAGCACACAAGACTATCCAGCTTTATTTTCAAGAAATCACACACCTTAAGCATCCTTTCTCACTGCTGAGCTGAACAGCAAGTCCTAGAACCCTCTATTGTGGGGCCTGAACACTAATGGCACAGGAGAGAAACTGGCAGGAGTGACACCTCCCAACAAAACTATAGCCTGAGAGAGAAGTGACCCCACAACTTATGCATCACAAAGTGACAAGGCAAGGCTCTTACCTCATATTTCCAGCATCTGAAAAATCTTTTTAGAGTCCAGCCACTGGGCTCCACTGATACTCCACACCACTGATACTACCAGGAGCAGGCAGTGAATGCTGCCACCATAAACAGATACCATGAGAACACAAAGCAGTGTTCAGTCACTGTCCCATATCCAACACTCACCTCTTCTCCTTTACTGAGTCGATCGACTAACATGTGCCTGGAAAGAGAGCAAGGGAAGCTCAGTCACATGCCACAATCAGCAGAAGAGTACAAGCTGTCAAGAACAGCCAGATGCCTGAGTCCTCAGGTAAAAAAAAAAAGGCACTGGCCCTTCTTGTCCCAGGTCACTGAGAGCTGCTCAGGCATCAATCTTTGGCTGTGAACAAACATCAAAGATGACCCCTCAAGGCTTCTCCCTGTTGCACAGGGATGCACATGCGAGTAAAACTTATCATGCCTACCCAAAGAGAAACCAGTCATAGGCCACTGTCAGGTAGAGGATCTCAGATGGCTCCAGGGACGTGTGGATCAGCCCATCCTGCAAAGCAAATGACACAGCCTTCAGGCAGAAGCCCTGGGGACTAAACTTGGGAATTCATGATCTGCTAAAAACTGTCACAGTGATCCAGGGTGCCCCTCTTCCTCTTCCTGCCTGTGACAGCACGTCCGAAGGAACATTAGTAGCTCCACCATCACTTCCCTCCAAGCAATCAGCCCCAGAAACAGAGGAGACCAGCCAGGTACTCACAGCCCATAAGGAGAGGCGCAGTAAGGAGATGAAGAGAGGCGTTCGATCCCAGCCTGATATACAGTGCACCAGGAGCCCGCTGTCATCTGTTCCAGGGGTGGAAGAAGGAAAAAAAAGGATGTTGAGACAAGAGGAATGACTTCTTTATGGTAAATCTGTAGAGACAAGCTACTCTCTGTATCCACAGCCCAGGCTCAAGAGAAGAGCTCAGCCAGAACATTCTGTCTTAAATACAGCAGCCAACAAATTGCTCAGAGTGTCCTGAGTTGTCAGCAGCACCAGCTGATGTGCTATCCTAGTCCTGACAGCTGCTCAGGACACAGAGTCATTAGGTATGAACATCACTTTACTATCCTGAATATGCACCTACCCAGCTGTAACCCACTATCATAATCTATTCCTATATTGGTGAGAAAACAGCTCCAACTGAACATTTTTTCAGTCTCACTAACCTTCCTGCTGCACATTGAGTAGAGGCACACATAAGGCACAAATCCTACACCCTATAGAAAACCTACGGTGTGCCCCAACACAGCTACTACAGGAGAGTATAGCTGGCCATGCCATCAGAGCCAGCCATGGCTCCATCCATCAGTGCTAGGTCACAGTGCTCAGAGGGAATGGGATGCCACACAGGGCAACAGACCCTCTTCAAAGAGTTGGAGTGCCTGTAATCAAAGGGAGTGGAAGGGGCTCTTAAATGAGATCCTTTGTTGGGGAGACAAAACACAGGTAAACAGCAAAACAAGAGTAAGAGTCAAAAAGCAAGGACACAATGTTCCTTCTCTTCAGGTTTAAAGTAGTAAAACAATAGACTAAGTTTTAAGACATCCCTTCATGTTCAGGAAGAAAGGGTTTTCAAGGAATCAGCAAGTCTCTCTCTAAGAGGGGAGCTGAAGTTCTGAGATGCTAGGACCATCACCCTGTTTTGAAGGGAGAGAATTAAAAGTGACTTCTGTATTGGGAGTTGATCCACAGTGGTACTAATACCATCAGCTGTGTGTCCTGCTGAGAGCAAGGAATTTGCCTTACCATCACTATTGATAATGGAGATCAGCAGCTTCAGGTAGTTCTGTGTCTGTTGCACAAGGTCCCAGCTCTGCAGAAAGAGGAATGCTAATAGTAAAGGTCTGCCCATAGCAAAATACTGCTCTGGAGTTCACAGATTCTCTATCCAGAACAGCAGCGAAACAGATAAAACCATGTGGTCATTCCTCAAAGTGGCAGACTTCCCCTTTGTATCAATCCCCCCATTCTCTGCAAAAGGCACTCTGGCAGAAGATACCAGGTAGGCAGATAAAACAGTAAAAGGCCATCTCTATCTCTTCCTGGCTGTTAGAGGAGCTGATTTGCCTGCAGCCCCAAAGCTCCAAGCAGCCCATGCTCAGAGAGGCAGCAAACACCTGCAGAGCACTGACCCAGTTCTGCACATGTGCACTTTAGCAAGAGGAAGAGCCACATTCCAGCCATGTGTGCAACGCCAGCAGCACGATGGGATGTGCAGGCCAAGGCCAGCGGCTTGTTCCCACAACCCAAGCACTTTGTTCAAAACTCTGTGGTCCTTGAAAATGTCCTCAGCAGGCTGCTGGCACAGGGCTGACCCTCACCCACCCTCCAGACAGGCACTGCACTTCTTCAGTAACCCCCAAGTAGCACCAGAACTATAGAAGGGCTCTGAACTCAGAGAACTCCAGTACTACAGGACATAGAGGTGAAGAACTTCAAAACAAGCCCAAGCTTGTCACTTGACTATCATATCACAAGCAGATGCAGGATATTTCAGTGGTTTGATCAGAATCAGGACTATCTCAAGAGAAGTAAGATAGCACTGGCAAGGAAAAAGCAGAGTGGGACACATTTCATGGCAGAAGTGTTAGTGGTAGGAGTGACACGTGACCACAAGCAATAGAACAATCGTTGTGTGCTTGCATATGTGCACATCTGTGTGTAACCACACTGAAGACTAGTGTCAGACAAATAACGTATTGCTCAGCTGTGAAGCCTGCAGAGCCACAAAACAGTAGGGAAACGGGGAACAGAGTCAGCCTGCAGCAGAAAAACACATAATTACAAAATCTTTTATCTGCCCAATTCAATCCATCTTCTGCTTATTTTAGAAGGCATCATCCAATTATCCAGTCTGATCTCTCTGCATCATGAAGAAGAAAGTTTTCTTCAGTTGCCCCAAGTAAAGCCTGAAGCTTGCACTTAGCAACAGTTTTGCCCAGAGAAGCATCTCAAATAGGGGTGACAGCTCATTACTCCTTTGGCAGCATGTTCCAGCAGATTATCCTCAAAAATAACATCCAAGACTGCTTTTCCTTATCTGAAGGCCTGATTTCAGATGCAGATATTGCTTCCTGTGCAGCTCTTCTTCCCCAGATTGAAGAGTACTTTAGAATTACTATTTTCTCCCTACAAATGTAGTTACACATTAATCAAGTCAACCCTCCATCACCTTAGTGATTAGCTAAACAGACAGAGTTTTGAGTGAACCATGTTCTCCAGGCCTCAAATTATTTCTGCATCTATTTATTACACCTTCTTCAATTTTTAATATCCTTTTAAAAATACTGGCTGCTCAGTATTCTAGTGAACAAGTTTCTAGTCATACACAAGCTATAGTTCTATTAGTTCTGCTTCAATTTTTCTGTGATTCTCCTTATGCTGGCACTTAAACAGTATTTATATCGCTGACAACACTAGCCCAGCACAGGGAGCTCTGCTGATTCTGTGGTGCTTCCAGCCACAGGACACAATAACGTGACATGCTCCAGCACAGTCAATCCCCACAAAATCTGGTAGATCCACTGATGTGTGAAATGGAGCATACTAATCACTAATATAAGGTGATACTCCCTGGTGAGAACAAAGGTAGACTGTGAAGCTTGAACAAACAGAAGAGTTCAATTACGGTTTGCCATGCTGTCCATAATAAGGAGTGGAGACCTGCCATGGTCAGTTATGATTCCTTGCTCCTCTCCCATAGGAAGGCACCCTGCATACCCATGAAGAAGGTGCTCAGTCCCTTGGCTCTGATCACAGAGGAGAAGGCTGACCTCTCTCAAGACTTGTCACAGCCAAGGCAGTCTGCTCAGGGCAGGCTCATGTTCAGCTGAGACTGAGAACAGGTAATACTGCTTTCTGTTTCCTGTCTTGTTCCTTACCTTCGTTAGCAACCTATCTCCCTAATGGATTGCAAATTTTCAAAAGCTACAGAAGAAGGTTTGACTTTACAGTCAGCTGCCTCGGGGCACAGCAAGCCACGGAGTTTTTGGGTACAGGATTTCCACTGCTGTTCTGAACTGTCAAGCAGCCTCGCCCCCACTGGGATGCTATGAAGTGAACCAGATTACAGCAATAGGAGCAAGTCAGATTTCAAATATCTCCTGATCCTTCTTGAATATATCCCTGACCTCCCACAGAGACATCCACTTTGCTCACCTGGTACTCGCTCCAATCAATATTCAGAGATTGGGTCAGAGAGACTGGAATACTTAATGGGGCATCTACATAGTCCTGTAAAAAACCCAAACACAATTGGTCAGAGAAAAGTCATGACTTGAAGGGAGTGAGTTCAAGAAAAAAACAAGAGAACAAATGCCAAATGGTGCATGAGAAGAAAACATCTCAGCAAAGCATCTTTGGATGAAAAAATCCTGAAAACATAAGAATAAACTCAGACTCTTGGAAGGACTAATGGACAAGAAGAGCTTTTATGTGCTCCCAACAGTGAAAGCTGGGCATCTTAGTCTGAATTTCTGTAAGACTGGGCCACTCAACCATCCCCTTAGCAGAAGACAGAATATGAAGAAAGAACTGAGAACCAAGGCTATCAATAAGGTCAGAATTCAAATCTGGGAGCAACCTATACCTTCCACGAGAGGTCAAGTATCCTAGACGTCAGGATAATGATTCATTTATTTTACATATGAATTTTACAATCAATAATTTAGTACATTCCCTATTTGTTTTGTTTGTCCGGCTGATTTCCTCCTTGTGATCAGAAATAGGCACATGACATAGACACCATCACTGAGGAACTGGGAGGCAAGACTTAAGCCCAGTAAAACAGACAGCTCTCCACTTTGTAACATCCATGTACCTGTTTCCAGTTAAATATGAGACCTTCAGCTGTATAATCCCGGTCTTTGTAGTCCTTAAAAAATTCACAGCCTGCAAGAAAAGAATATAATGAACAACGATTCAGCTAACTGGTATCTAACAAGTGAAGTGCCCTGTGGGACTAGGAGTGCTGGCAGCCCCAGGCTCCAGAAATCCAAACCAATCAAAACTGCTGCCTTTGGGAAGAGAAGAATAGTAATCCTCAGTACACTGTGTAGCACAGCCTCCAGCAACAACAGCCCAGGGCACTTAGCAGTACAGACACTCACACAGCAAAGGGCAAACTCCAAATACAGCAAATGGGGAGCTTGAGGGACTGATTTAATTTTTTTCCTGAACAAAAGGTTTCACCAAGGAGCTATGTTTTGCAGGGCCATGGACTTTTGCACAGATCTAAGGCACCAGCTTGACAGGCTGAGTGAGAAGGAACCACCAAAGAAGGAGTTGGCAGAGCCCCGGGGAAAGCCAACTTTCACAGGGCATCTGCTGCAGGTAACAAGAAAGGGCTGTCAGAGGTGGCTTCATTTCTCTCACATTTAAGTCTTCTCTTTCCTCATCTGAAGGAAGGGGGTACATAACCACTTCCAAGCTGTCCCCCAAGCCCTCCCATCCTGAAGTGTGTCCTTTGGCTCAGCTCTTCTCAAACAACTATTTGAAGTCTCTGCTGCAAGCTGCAGGCACTTAGTCACAGCCGAGCAGCACCATTAGCACTGCGGCTGCCTGCAGGCTACATAAAACACCTCTCCCAGTGTGCTGTGTACACCTCAGCAGTGCCACAGTGCCCACACCACCCTAACACCCTTGTGCCAGGCACACAAGATGGAGAGATTCCCACCTCGCAAATCACAAGTAACTTCAATTAAAAAAAAAAAACAAGAAAAGAATATTTGTGCAAGGACAGGACTAATCCTCAAATATGCAGTCAGGACACAGTCTGTCAGCTGAAATTTAATTCAAATTAAACAACAACTTCATCCCAAGAATGGGAGATTATGGCATTAAGTGTTGGCATCCACAAATACCAAAAGCTTATACAGTTTCTACCCCATTTTAACCCAAGTCTTTCACTCCAGACAGTTTTTACTCTTTGCTTGGTAAAATCTGTCTGGATGGCTGAGCCCAAAGAGTGGTGGTAAATGGAGTTAAATCCATTTGGTGTGTGGTCCCCAGGTTTTGTGGTGTTCCCCAGGGTTCAGTATTGGGGTCAGACCTGTTTAATATCTTCACTGATGATCTGGATGAGGAGATCAAGTCCACCCTCAGCAAGGAGTAGAGTCAAAAGACAGGCAGATGTGGCACCCAGGGACATGGTTTAGCGGGGGACTGGGCAGCACTGAGTTAATGATTGGACTCAATGATCTTAAAGGTCTTTTCCAACCAATTCTATGACTCTGTTTGGACACTGCCTTGCTCACCTAAGGCGACAGGATCTCAGAATAACTTCAGAAACAAATTACAAAACAGAAATTCTTTCAGTGCAACCCTGGAAACATCAGTAAGAATGTATCACGCTATTTGGCCAGTCACTAGAGGGGTTGCTGATCCTTAGATGTGTAAGTCTTAGACTTAACAGAATGACAACATTCCCCCATGGACCAGCACTGCTGAAATCAGGCAACATCTGCAGGGAATATTTGCAGTTTCATAAGGTTTATCTCTAGCGTGGCAGTGAAGAGCTGCTAAAAGAAAGCAGCTGTCCCGGAGGGCAGAAGAGGTGGGACATCACTGAATAATATTGCTTACCATATGCAGATCCCCATACAGAAACAACTCTGCAGCTTAACTCTATAGAGTCACTTCTTCTTCATTCCTTTCAGCCCTACAGAAGACCTGTGTACACAGTTCATGTTCCAAGTCTGGTGATATGTGCAGCAGCAATATATACCTGTGCTACGTACTACAGAAACCAGTAATATGCTTATTTCTGTACACTTTGGCAACCTGCCTGGCAAACTCAATGTAAATTTTCATGCAGCTTCTCTGAATTGTCATGAATTTCTGTATAAAAGGAAATACACCTTTTAAAAGTGTTTAAGAGCAACATGTAGCAATCAAGGAAAAGTCTGGGTTTGGATCATCCACCAGAGTTTTGCTGGGTTTTGATTTTTTCTCCTCTCTCTTTCCTTGTGCACTAGGGAGAAAGAAGAGTCTGCAGACAGACCTCAAACACAGCAGCCTCGCATCTGATCCTGTCGCCAAGCCTGACATCAGCAGGCAGGCAGGAATATTCAGTTCATCTGTAAGAGTGCAAGTGACCCAGCAGTGGTTGCTAGGCACAGGGATGGATATAGCCAGGGAGACAGGCTGCAAAGGGCTGCCTCTGTCATACACTGCAGGCTCAGGTGAACTGCTCTGCAAGCACTGAGGATTTCTTACAGTGGAGTTCTGTAACACTAGACTAGAAATTACCCTTAAGAATTGGGATTTTCCATAACAGAGAACAAGATACATATTTTGCATCAAGTAGTAGTTTGGAGTTGCAGAGATGTCAAAGGCCATCTTAACCAGCTCCACCTCTGGGACTTTTCCTTGAATTAATAAGGACTGCTGGGTAATTATTTTGCCACCTCAAAAAGTGCCTAATGCTGACTCACACTGCTAGAACATCCAGGTTCATTGCACTGTTCTCAGTTTAAAGGAGTTTTTCTCCAGAGGGAACACAGGAAACATTCAGCAAGTCATATTCATCTACATATACACACACACAGAGTTATTCCACACACACACAGTTATTTCCCAGTTCCCAGAAACGGATTGTCACCTGTCCCTTGTGAATCCCTCTGGACATCATTCCCGTACCTGGATATGGGATGGAGAGAAGTGTGAAATCAGCGTAACGTTGAGCTTTGTCCACCTTCTCAGAAGACGTCACACTGCACAGGATGAGAGGAGAACAGCAGATATTTACAGTGTTTTTCACGCAGACACCAGCACCCAAAAAACTACCTGTTGCATCTCCCTGTGCTATGACTTGACTCAGCTGTGAGCAGGAGCAGAACTTACTCAACACATCGACATAAATCCAAAGGTCCAAAATCAAAAGGTTTTCTCTGAGGTAAGTAGGAGAAACATCTCCCTCTGCTCCTATGCACAGAGGGCTCCTTTGCTGTCTCCCTTCTGAAGTGACTGTCTCATTACTGTAAGCTCTACATGGAAAAAGCCACCCAGACTGCAGAGGACAGATGAAAGCAGTTATGTTGCCCATTGATACAGTTTTTTGTGGCCTAAAACCTTGGGGTTTTCTTTACAACCTCAACTAAGCTATCCTGCTGTAGGATTCTTCCAGGGACTGCTCCCGGGATGCTGAGCGCACACCTGACAGCAGTTCATATGTAAGCAATTCACTCACTGCAAACCAAAGCCTGCACAAAAACAAATGAACAAAGACTCACTTCAAGCCAAATTTCACCTTCTTGTTTTCCACCATCAGGTCACAGATGTATCGGACAGACAGGTATCGAAGCAGCTTGATGTCATGCCCTCTGACCTTGTCAAACAGCTGGGTATCTGCATTTCTGCAAGACAGAACGAGGCAAGCACGGTGAGCATGGAAGACTGACCAAGTTGAGAGTCTGATTCTTCCCAGCTGAGCCACAGTTCTTCCCTGAACCACTTCTAGCCATAAGCAGCAGAGCACGAGCCTTGTCTCCACTGGTCTGAGACAGACTCTGCAAACTGACACTGCCAGCTTTGTGCTCATCATCCCTTCCCACATCTCACTCCGTTTTGCAACAAACACATAAGATACAACACCATTTCTACAGCCTGGAGATGTACTTTTTGATGAAGCAAACACAGTCTTATCCTTCAAATACCTTTTTTAATGGTTCTACATATTCCTGTCTCCAGCCCTTCCCTCTGGCAACAGATTAGCAGGCTTCAGCTACACTAGGTTCAGCCAGCCATTAATACTCAAGAGTCTTTTCCAAAAGCAAGGAAAATAAGACCCTGAGCCTGGTGATGGGTCTAAAGCCTAAGTCCAAAACCCAAACTAGAAAAGAGCAGAACTAAGAGCCTGAGCCAGTCAACTTATGTCCAAACTCCCTTCTCCTCATCCCAATGATGCATACAAACCTAAGTGCAGAGTCTTCCTCGGAAATGTCTTCTGCATCTGCCCAAGCATCATCAGAACCTCCTGCAAGAAAGGCATTGAGAACTGAAGCTTTTGTAAACAAACTCGATCTCCAATCTGACAAGGGCTTTTTTTTTTTGCACATAAACAAAAAGGTCATGGTTTGGTGCCTTCTCTTCACACTTCAGTGTGGTTTTCCACATTTCCACTTCCTGAAAATTTTGTTTTCTAATGTAGCCCACTCTTTCCTTGTCATTGCAAACTACCTGGCAGGTAAAACCCATGACTGACAGTCAGAGGACACCTCAAAAATGGCATGCAGTGCTTTTTTAAGCCAAGCTTCAGCTCCCACACTACAGGCCCCCCTAAAGAGCTTTCCCTGGAGTCCAGTATATCTCACCATTAGCAGCACTGATTCCCAATGATTAGTCAAGCAACAGCAAGTTCTAATCCTCTTTCCTCCATTATTCCCATCCCCAGTGTTTGGGAATTGGTAGCTTGAATCCTTTGGGATGCCTTTATTTTCCTATATGTTTCCTGTAACTCCCTCTTCAACCTCAAGTTCTTTTGTCACTGAGGTTCTTATGAGCTGTGGCACTGTCCCGTAGTACAGTGCTTGGAAACAGGACAAGAGGTTTCAGCCTTCACTCTGTTATGCTAAGTCTGATACAAGCAGCCCATGCTAGAGCTCCCACTGGTCTTGGAAAGAGCTTGGCCTCGTGTAGGTCTCTGTCCCAGCACTGACCAGCCTTACCATGTAGACAGTGACAAATGGCTCCTCACTCACCAGAGAAGATATAGTTGTAGCCAGTGCGCCCATAGAGCTCTCCCCAGCCAGCCAGTGTTGCTGATCTGCAAATATGCTGGAGGAAAATTTTTTATTAATCACACAGGCTCCAGGAGTCTTTCCCTTATCATGCCTGTTTGCTGTCAGGTTACATAGAAAGGGTTGGTACCTACAGCTATCACCTCTCAGCTGTCTGCCCTGCAACCCTGGTCCAGACTGAGTTCTCCAAACACAGCAAACTCCCAAGTGCCTTTATCTGTAGCTAGTTTTTAAATCATATTTTCATCTCCAGTTCTCCAATGCATTAATACAGTCAGTTCCTGCCAAGTTAGCAACACATGCTCTATTAATACCCTGCTTGAGCCTTATTTCCACATTCCTCTGAGATTATAGATGGTCCCAAGACGACTCTGGGCAGTTCAGTCCTGCAGAAAAAGGTCAGCAGATGCAGTCCATGATGGCTTCAGTCAAGATAGATTAAAATTGTCACAGGTATGATTTTGCTATTCATACAGTGTTTCTAAATTCAGCTAAGAAATCAGAATTAAACTACTTAAATTCTAAATTAGACTATTCCTACAGGACTTCAACACAGTTTAAGTAATTCACATAAAAATGAATCTAATTTCACTTTCTTACAGATCCCCTTGCAGACAAGCCCACACATTCATAAGACCATTTATGCAATCTTGCCTCTCGAGGGAACAGACAAAGGAAACTTCTCTGGAGAGAGGAAAGTTACCCAAAGGGAGCTGCTGGGAAGAGTAAGGGACAAACAGGGACAATAATTATCTTTCCCTTCTGAAATGCAAAATATCTTAAGGACTTTAGAAGGGACATAAATAGGAGAGAAAAAAGATAGTTAGCTCTTTGATGCAAGGCTCATGACTTGGTGGGGGAGAACAGCCTGAAGTGCCCACAGACAACTTACGCAGCCTAGATAGCAAATGCTACCTGCTGTTACAGGCTGCCTGCTTGTACCTAAGCACAGATTTTTACACCATTTGGAAAAGTGACAAGTGACTGGAGATGTGGCTGCACAGTTCAAATGGCAGAGAGAAAGGTCATTTTCTCAGTAAAGACAGATAACCCATGAAGCTTTACCTTTCCCTTGTACAGAATGACTGGGCAAACAAAGCGTCCTCTACACCTGGCCATCTTACTCCGGTTGATGAGGTCCTGCAGTTTGCCAACCTGCACATTGCTCTCATACCTAGTGAGCAGAGACTTAGGTCAGTACACAAAATATATTCTCACACTTCTTTCAGCAAAGCCACCACAGACACCTTGGGCTGCAATCCCATTCCCTTCCCTGGAAGTCAGCTCTGAAGTTAATAAGCATGAAAACATTTCCTTGAGAATTGCTTCCGCTGCTGTACAACACATTTGGGCACTTTTCTGACTCCTTTTCTTTATTTTGAAATATCAGTGCACAGTATGTGACAGCACTTTCAGGAACTGGCAATATGAGCACAATCAGTAGGGTCTGCCACAGACTAACATGTGGATTACTAGGGAAGGACAGTCAGTGTCTACAAAAATAAATGTTGTTTTCTTCCCTATCACCTTTCCATTCAAAAGCAGCTCAACACTACCATCACAGTGAATTCACTATCAGAATGATAGCTTTACAAGAAAAAATGAAATATAATAGAAAATCAAATCTTGAACACTCCATGATCCTCAAGCATTTGTGTTGCCAGGTAATTAAACAACTAAATCAGCTAGTGGGTTGAGCAGAGTACTTAGATTAATGTCAGCTGCATCTGCAGAACTTAATTTTGTTTGGTTTTCCTGTTGAAGTTAAAATGGAGTTCTGTTTCATAATGGGAGACATTTTGGAAACATGTTAAAATTGCTCCAGTTTGTCCAAGTATCGGCTCACATTTGACAGGAATCCAATCCTACACAGACCTCCAGGAGAATCTGTTGACCCAGAGAGGACTAGAGGTAGAATTAGAGAAGCATCCAGAGTGATATATTAGAAACCAGGTGAAGTCTGGACATACAAAACTGCATGGCCATGCACCTGGAGGTGATTAATAAGAATTTCTAGTTAGCCCTTTCAAGTAATGGAGCACAGAGGAAGAGCCAGATAAACTGCCTGATCTCTGGATGTTAATACATTATCAACATGGTAAATCAGAAAAAGGGGAAAAATAAGATCATGGGAAATTCCCTAGAGGGATGTATAAGTACCAGCATTATCGTGCAGAGCACAGGCTCACAGCTGAGATAAAGCACCTGATTCTAGTGCCCCACCACTGCCTGAAAAGGCACAGGAAGATGAGTAGGATGGCCAATGGACAGTCTATGCTACAAAAGAAACCACCAGGGTCTGATGGGAAGAGAAGATGAAGATGAGCAGATGCACAGCAGTACGTGCATCAGGGTGAAGGAGAGTACAATGGAGGAAGAGGAGAACTCAAACCTGAAGGACAACACTGGCCTAAGAACAAATTAATATCTTTACAATGGAAGTTAATGAAAGTTGCTAAACTCCAGAATCACTGAGAGTGTGGAGCAAAGTACCAGCAGCTGCCCTTCTAAGAAGGATTTAAAAAATTAATCTATTATTAAAATGGAAATTGATCTGTTTATGGAAAATATTATACAGGGTGGTGCCAGTGGAAGCAGGGAAACAGAAAACAAAACTTTCAAATCCCTTTTTTTTTCTTTAAAGAAGGATTTGGTTCTCAGAATTCATAGTGGTGGTTTAAATTTTTTCATGTTTTCCTTCATATACAATTATTTTGTTATCCAGCTCTGAAGACCTTTGACATATACCAGAATTTAAAGAACAAAACCCCAAGCTAATCTTCTTTAAAGTACATGAACATCAGAGTGCTAATTGGAAAGACAGGAAAATGTGAGCAAGCGTGAGAAGAGATGCCTTCGTGCATAATTCCCAACACCAAACTATTTTGAAACTCAAAAGATTCTGATGCGCAGATTTGGTTGTGGGGCTGTTTTTATATGAATGCATGCAATTAAGAGATATATCATAACCTGCACTCTGCTCCAGTTTCCTTTATGCTTCCTTTGCAAAAGAAAATATGGAGGGAAACAAGAATTTAAATGCAGTGTTACCAAAACAGCTCAATGACACTGCTTTCAAGTCCAGAAGGTGAGAATCAGCAGAAATGAAATACCTGAAGGATCAGAAATCATAAGAGAAGGACCTCTCTGGGAGCTGAGACAAGACAACAGGTTTCACTCACTGCACTTCCCTGGAGAGGTTTATGCAGCACTTGGGAATGAGACTGAGCAGCTTGGCAGGAGCCCAGGACATGGAGTGAGCAGGAAGCCCAGCACCCCACTGGGGACAGGGAAGGATAAGCCCCTCTCCCAGACACACCATGCCTGCTCCTTGGGAAACCTGCACACACTCTGGACAGATCTGCTCTGCCATCAGTCACATCTGCCACAGTGGCTGTGCTACAAATAAGGCTCTCAAATCTTCTCATCTCAATAACCAACCTCAGTAATGCAACAGATGAACATGGTAAGTAAACAAACACAGTTGTAGCAAGACTCCTGTTGCAAGGGGGAAGCTGCTCTGAAGAACAGGAACTAAATTAAATACAGCATAAATTGGAGTAAAATCTACAGAAAAAGGTTCAAAACACTTAGAATTCCTCCTGCACCTCCCTGGATTTCAGAGTACTGCTAGCAAACTTTGATCAAGCAACGTCCTTTCTCCCCCAAGCTGCCCAACTACAGAATGAACTGACTTGCGTTAAAAATACCAATTTTTTGCTGTTTCCCCACAAGGCTCCAAAAGCAGCTGTACTGGCAGAAATTATGGTAGAGCAAAGAAGTTGTACATGTGAAAACTGCTTCCAAAGCACCTCAGTATTCTTGGAGGTGTGAAGCTTCAAGTAGAACTTACCAGCTGATTGAAAACATTACAAAGACTAAAACAGAAGCATTCAAGGCCAGGTTGGATGGGGCCCTCAGCAATCTGATCCAGTGGAAGTTATCCCTGCCCATGGCAGTGGGGGTCAGAACTGGATGATCTTTAAGGTCCCTTCCAACTCAAATCATTCTGTGGTTCCAGAAGAGGCAGCCAAATAGACTTCGTCCTAGATGGAGCGTTCTGCTCACTGGAAGAGGTTCTTGCCTTCCATAACAGAAGAGGTGCAACCGTCTCTATTCCATAATTATTCCATAGGAATAAAATTATAAACTAAAGCCTGCATTTGTCTAAAAATCACTTGGCAGCTTTTACAAAAATCATCACCCTGCAACCAGGAGAGTGACAATGGAGTGTAGTCTGTTTTTGTGACTCTCTTTGGGACAGTAAATTAAAACTCGGTAAGAATCAGTATAAATACAGTTAATTGTCACTGCTAGCTTGCAAAGGTCACAGAAGAAAATGGGGCACCAAATGTAATACTCTTGTTTTGAATACCTGTCAGAAAAATTTAAGCATCCTTTCCTCTTGCAAGAGCAGGAAAAGCAGAAGCATTCAGTTTCTCTTCCTTAAAGCTTCCCCTAGTTACATTTAACAGCTTCAAACTTCAGTTTCCTGTTTTTTTGCAGCAAAGGGTTTAATCTTTTCTAATCTCATCCAACTGCTAGGCAGAAACTCTCCCACCTGGCAGTCAGTTGTGGCTGGTTTCCAAAGACCCCCTTCTATAACACCCAGCCTACATGCCACCAGAGCAGCTGATAGTTTTCCTTCCTCAGGCAAAGCAGCTGGACATGTGAGAAGGACTTGTTGACCCTCCTTTTGAACACATTACTCTTGTCATGGACATACAGTCAAGACTGCAAAACTACATTATGTTTTGTTGAAAGAAAAAGTAAAAATGAGAGGCTGTGGCTGGAGCTGGAATTAGCAGCTCATACTCAGCCAGAAGCAAGACAAAGGTGATCCTGAACTTGTGGGTCAAAGTCCAGAGATGTGTTGGCTCAGATGTGCACCAAACTGAACAAGCATTTCCCATTAGCTCACTAACCCTCAGCACCCACTGACCTGTCCACCACGGTGGGGAGAGACGAAATAACCTGGAATGACACAAGTATCTGTCTAAAGTGTCTCGTCCCTATCAGACCCCCTGCCCCAAGATGATTGACAGACTAGAATTTCCCACATCAGAGGCCTTTCTTCAAGACCACAGGGACTTCATCAAGACAGGGACAGCATCACACAGGCTTGCTCCTAACCCTGAGCCTCCGGGCAAGCTGCAACCCAACAATCACCAGGAACCAATGCTCTGCTCATGTTTACTCCAGGGCCACATGCAGCGGAGCTGGTGCTGCCCCGGAGCACCTTCGTTTCCTTCACACCCTCGAGTAACAGGCTCAGCTTGGCAGCTTTCACCAAGGCAGCCCAAGAGCCCTGGAAGGAGCCCCACGGGAGCTCGGCAACCCCAGCAGGCAGCGAGGGGAGTCCCGGGAGCGGGTGACACCACCGGCTATAATTAGCGCAGCGCAGCCCGCAGGGCTTTCCCCGGCCGGCAGGAGCCTCGGAGCGCCGGGTGCGGAAGCTCCTCAGGACAGTAACTCCGCCGGGCGTCAGCTGCACGGGACGGGACACGGGAACCGGGGGCCTTACGAGTCACGGCTGGCGCCGGCGTCGCGCTCCAGGAAGACGATGTGCCGCGGGTAGTGGGCGCAGATCTCGCCGTGCACGTTGGGGATCACGCTGTAGCGATAATCGCGGCCGAAGAGCTCCAAGCACCGCCGCTCGATCCGCTCCACCTGCGCAGAGCCAGCTCTCAATGCCCGCCGCGCCAGTCCCCGCTCCCGCGTCCCCCGAGCCCCGGTGCCCTCACCTTGGCAGCGGCGGCACCGCCGCCGTCCTTGGCGCGGTACTGTGCCCGGGAGAACTCCAGCAGCAACTCGGCCAGGGCGCGGTCCCCGGAGCCCGCCGGGGGGCAGCCGCGGGCCGCCGCCGCCGCCATGGCCGCGCCGCTCACCGCCGCCTCGGGCCCATCGTCCCGCCCGCCGCTTCCGCCCGACCGCGACGCGCCCCTTCCGCCCGCTCCCGGCGTCATCGGGGCGCGCCGCGCTCCGTCCCGGGTACCGAACCCCGCTCCGGGGGTACCGGGCTCTGCTCCGGCCCCGCCTTTGGCCTGCAGAGAGACGCGGCAAACGCTGTCAGGCTTCGCCGAGTGGGTCCGACCGTGGCGCTGGCCGCCGTGCCCAGGGCGCTGCCCTAAAGAAGGAGTCCCGAGACGGGTTTTAATTAAAGAAGCCCCTTCGGGAGTGTGGTCGCTCGCACTGAGCCGGTGGCAGAGGAGCTGTGGGGTGAGCGGTATCGCTGCCCCGAACACAGCTGCGGGCGGCACTGGCTCATGTGCCCGGGCAGTGTCACGGAGCCAGCTCGGGCTGTGCGTGCCGAGGGTGACGGGCTTGCCCCGCCGGAGGCACACGGCTCCGTAGCTCTTGCAGGGGAGCACAATGTGTTTTTCATCTGCATTTGTCTGATTTGCAAATCAGCTATGAATCTTAACAAGCATTTAATGACAGCCGAGTTCAGCTGCAGCTGACGTGGTGCATCTCGCTGCCTGAGAATGAAACTGGCCCGACATGGTTTGGTCTCTGCTGGGTTTGGGACCGGTGTGAGGCTGACGGGGCGGTGGCAGGATTTCGCAATGGGAACCTGCCGGCATACAAGTGACACTGACAGCCTGTGTGACACTACTGGCATAGCCGTTTACCCCAGCCCAGTCATCCACCACACTACCGTGGCACACGTCGTGTGCCCCAGCCCTGTCACATCTGACCTGGCACAGCCGTGGACCTGGCCTCGCTCTGTCAGAGGTTTTGGGTCGACTCCTGCTGCCCTAGAGCAAGCGCAGCAACTTACTTGCTCCGTCCCCGCCAAGAGGGTGGGGAAGGGCTGCTGCCCGTCCGGGGGGCTACGCCGACAACCCGCGGACTCGTGAAGGGTGCGGGAGGATGGACGCTCTCCTTTGCGGGCGTACTCCGGCCAAAGGCACCCACGCGGAGATCTTCCAGCACTTACCGGAGCCATGCCCCGGCGCTGCCCCGGGCGGGGTCAGTCCGGGGAACGGCCCTGTCGGAACGGGGGAGAGGAATGGGCCCGACCCGAGCCAAGTTGAGTGGATCTGAGCCGAACCGAGACAAGCCCGTCGCGAGGCAATCCCAGCTCGGCCGAGCCCGACGCGAGCGTAGCCCTAGGCGGCGGAGGGGTCCGATCCCCGGGGGGCGGGCTCGGAGGGTCTCGGTTCGGCTCGGGCTCAGCTGGGCTCTGGCTGTGCTGGGCTGGACGGGACTGGACTGGGCTCGGCTGGGCTGGACCGGGGCTCGGCTGGGCTCGGCTCCGCAGTGGCGGGGGGGCGCACGGCCGCGCGCGCGCGGCGGGAGCGCGCGGGGCGCAGAGGCGGCAGCCAAGATGGCGGCGCGGGTGTCGCAGGGCCCGGCAGCCCGCGGGCGCTCTTAGGCCGCGGCCCCCCCGCCCCGCCGACCCCGGGCGGGCTCCCCGCCGCCCCGGCCCCTCCCGCCCTCCGGCAGCGGCGGCCGGCAGGATGCTGCCCTCGCAGGAAGCCTCCAAGCTGTACCATGACAACTACGTGCGGAACTCGCGCGCCATCGGCGTGCTCTGGGCCATCTTCACCATCTGCTTCGCCATCATCAACGTGGTGGTCTTCATCCAGCCCTACTGGGTGGGCGACAGCGTTAACACGCCCAAGCCCGGGTACTTCGGGCTGTTCCACTACTGCGTGGGCAGCGGGCTGGCGGGCCGGGAGCTGTCGTGCCGCGGCTCCTTCACCGACTTCAGCACCATCCCCTCGGGCGCCTTTCAGGCGGCCGCGTTCTTCGTGCTGCTCTCCATGGTGCTGACGCTGGGCTGCATCACCTGCTTCGCCCTGTTCTTCTTCTGCAACACCGCCACCGTCTACAAGATCTGCGCCTGGATGCAGCTGCTGGCAGGTACACACCGGCACCGGGAACCACCGGCACCGGGAACACCGGCCTGCCCCGGGCCTGGCGGCGGGGGACGGGTGGGGAGGATGCGGACAGCGCTGAGCGTGCGGCACCCCGGGAGCCCCCGGCAGTGGTAGGGGAGTCCCTGGCTACAGGGAACACCAAGGTTGCTCAAGGAAGCTGGGCTGAGTCCAAACACTGCAGAGCCGTGGTTCCAGGATCCAGCCCCACAATTTCTTGGGACACCTAGGCCAAGTGCTGGTGCTGACAGATTAGCAGGAACGGGCACCAGTTTGGAATACTGGCACCCAGGGCTCTGTGGTATCCCCTGGCCACAAGGAACACAAGGGCTGCTCGGAAAAGCTGGGCTGGGTACAGGTACTGTGTATCCATAGGGCATCCCAGCCAGGAGCTGGCCCTATGACATCCCAGGACTTCCTGGGACAAGCAGGCCGGGCACTGGCACTGAGAGAGCACCACAAACAGGTGCTGGCTCCCTGAGACACTGCCAGAGAGCTGGATCAGGGACCCACCTCAGGCGATCCCAGAACAGGCACTGACCCTGGGACATCTGGACAGTCTGGAGCACCTCAGGACGTCCTGGGCTAGGGACCCACCTTGGGGCACCTCAGTACACCCCAGTCAAGGACCAGCATTGGGACACCCTACTACAGGGACTGTTGCACAAAGGCAAGGACCAAGTGCAAGGTGGTCTAGGACACGCTGGATCAGCTCCCCTGAATCCCTGGGGATTCAGACACCCCAGCACACTCCACATCAGGGACTAGCCTCCCTGTCAACCCCAGAGACATAGGGTTGTCCCCAAGAGATTCTCACTTTAGGGGAACACTCCCCAAAGGGACTCCACCACTGGAAGTAGCATGCATGGATCCCCCACCCCTGTAAAAGCACTCTTCAGCTCCCCCTTAAAGACATATTGTACCCAGGCTCCCTCTCTTCTGCATCATGAAAGGGCTGTAAGGACAGACATCTCCCAGCTCTCTCCAGTGCTTCCCACAGGGGAGCACCATACATTTACCTCGATGTCTCCCCAGACATGACCACTGAAGCTCAGTAATTAACCCTTCCAAAAGTGACCCTGTCTATAGATCCTCCTTAACTCCCTCCACAAATGAAACCCCACTGTAGATGTACCCAAGACCCTGACAGACTCACTCCTCAAAGTGACACTGTACAATAACCCAAACCTTTCCCCAGAAGGGGACCTGATGCCTATATTGAGAAAGATCCCAAGTATCCCCTTATGCACAGACTTCCAAGGTGTCCAAGGGTCTCTATCCTTCTGGGAGAAAGATCCTGAGGAATGATGTTGAGCTTCCACTGGTAGTAAGATCCTTAACTTCCTCTCTGCCCAGTTTTACCAGGTGTGGACAAACACTTATTCTCCACTGCATACTGAATGTGAGTAGATCCGGAGTTTCCACTGGAAGGATCTACAGTGCCCCTTATTCCAAATGAAAGGACCCCATTCATCCCCTCTGTGAGAAGGGCCCCAGTCCTTGATGTGGAAGGATACAGCCCCTCTGTGTGAGGGCTGGAAAGCCTGACCTCCCCTTACCCAGATCAGGACCACAGCCAGACCTGGAGCTGCCTTGGCTTATCAGGAAATTCCCTCATCTTTAATTTTCCCCATCCTGAAGATTTATCAGTTTAATGCAAGCTCAGAGCCCAAATCCTACCGATTGTCGGCAGCTTAATCAAGTGGCTTGGAGTGCCCAGCTGCTACTGCTGCACAGGGAGCTGTGTGGCAGAGGGCACTGCACTGGAGGCAGCCCTGGGTCTTCTCCCCTGTGCCTCCTGTCCTGTCCTGGCTCAGGTTTGGGTGGCCATGACAGTACTTTGTTGTTGTCACCTCTGGGTACCCTTCACCTTGCCTTGGGGTTTGTTCTTGTAGTTGTAATTTGCACCTTGTAATTACATGTGTTACTCACAATTGCACTTGTGAGAACCCTCGTGCTCAGCTCAGTTGGCTTGGAGCTCTCCCAGAGCAGCACAGCTCCATGGCTTCTCTGTCAGGGAGAGTCCAAGGCAGCATTAACAGAGACTGGCACTCCACCCTGCCCTGAGACAGGACAGCATGAGAGAACTGGACAGGACAGGCTACAGGACAGGCTGATGTTCCTGTCAGAGAGAGCCTAGATGCAGAGGTGGTGGTGTGATGTGACCCAGCAAGAGAGAGTCTTGTCTGGCAGGGATCAGGCAAGGCTGAACTTCCCTGAGCACATCTGAGGCAGCCACAGGTGGATGTGTTAATTTGTGCATGGAGAAGGAGCTGCCATGAGCTATGGAGAATATCACAGGCCAGATCTTATGGGTAGGGCAGGGACACAGCCTGGTGCAGGCTCTGGCACATGACCATGGCAAACTTCAGAGATTCACCTGGCTGGGAGGTTGGTGGATTCTGCCAGAGCAGAGAGCTTGGAGGAACAGAGAAGGAAAGGACATTACTTCTGCCTCAGTGAGGGTTTAGCTGAAGAAGGACTTGCACTACTATGGCAGAAGCAACTATGAGGCCCAAAGTCTCTTGGTCTCACTGGTGAAAGCCAGGTGAGGCAGGTGATGGGCGAGAGATGGGGCAGAGGTATCCTCACCCCATCCTTGTGGGATGGCCAGTGCAGATTAAAGTGCTGCTGATTGTGGGCATGGATGGGCTCCTTAGAGGAGAAAAACCAAGTGCAGGAATGTGGGGGGAGGAGGATGAGGAATTCAGGATCTCTTTCAAAAAAAACCTAAAAAACAACCGACTTTAAATTATCGATGTCTAATTAGTGGACAACAATCAAGGCAGGGTTTAATTAGAGCTTGACAGAAAGCTCCAGCTCAAAAGCCACTGCCCCCCTCAGGAGGCAACTGGATCTAATTAAGAGGAAAGAGTCTGCTTTATCAGAAATAGAAATCTGGCCATCTGCCCTGTTCAAAATCCCAGTAACGCAAAACTGGAGATTTTGCTAAATCCTTCTGTTACAAAACCAGAGATAGGCCCTTAACATGAGCATGTCAACAACTATATGACTGAGAGCACCCCAGTACTCCAAATTACTGGAGGAAAGCCTTCAGAAAGTTCCATGGGATGATGCTTACTTGAAGAGAAATGGGTTGTGAGGGTGATCCCCTTTGGGATTCATCTGCAGGAAAGCAGAGCATAGGAATACACCACCACCAGGCCACCCAGGAGTCTGAGCATTTCCTCTGATTCCCCAACACTCTGCTCTAGCATAACACAGTCACCTTGTGAGGTAACTCTGAGCTTTGAACAAAGTTGTCCTGGTGCCCAGCATTAATGCCCTTGCAAGCCCAGCCACCTGTGTGTGACACTGCATCCATGTGCCTCCCAGCAGGATGATTACCTCAAGTAGGTCCAGGGTTGTTTCCAGAGGGTCTTTGGTTTTATACTTGGAGTCTGTTGAGGGTCAATAGAGACAGCCAGCTGAGCACACCATCCTGCTTGCATGGAGGAATTGACTGGCCACATTTTAAGGTGTTTCCCTGTGCTCCAGGTCTAGCAGTCAGTGTGGTGAGACCTTCACACTCCCTCCTTTAGGAATACACAACACATGGGGTGCCTTCCCACCTGGGGCCATGCTCTTGGGCTTTGGGCTGGGCTTTGTCCTTATCAGTGGCATTTTGGCATTGATCATGCCATATCCAGCCACCTTGCCTGATGGAGAATGTGATACATATCCATCTGAGCTCTTTTTTCCTTCAGGAGACTGCCTTCAGAGCTACACTCATCTCTTGGATGGACCCTTCCAAGGCCTGAGAGCAGAGGCAGATCCCTAAGCAGGGCTTTATCATCTGCACCTCAGTTGTGTTTGCCACTATCTGAGTGGGGACCCCTTGCATGACATGGTTTTGGCATATCCATGGAGAGGAATAGGGAGGGAATTGTTGCCAGCTGCTGCTCCATGGTGGAGCTGTGTGGTAGTGTGGCCTCAGCTCTAAGGGTAAGCAGGATCTGGCATGAGTGAGCACTACAGTCCCAAAACCCTCCCTAGTTCTGGCAGCAATGCAGCGGCTCTACTGAACCACATCAGGACAGGCTCATCTTCCTGACTGTGACTTGCTGGGGACCCAATTCCTTTCAGAGACTTTGAAGATTCAAAGTATTGTTTTCATGGATATAAAAGTCATTAACTGAAATTCTTAATGAAAAAAATATTAGGCAGATACCACTGCTACAAACCGGCTTGGAGTGTAACTGAGAAGCTGCTGAGCATGAGACTGCCCAGGGAGGTGGTGGAGTCTCTGTCTCTGGAGTCATTCAAAACCCATCTGGACATGTTCCTGTATCACTTGCTCTAGGTAACCCTTGGCAAGAGGGTTGGACTAAATGATCTCCAGAAGTCCCTTCCAACTGTAACTGTCCTGTGACTCTGCAGTTTATCCTAAAGCCCTTTCTTTCTCTGTCAAAGGAAGAAATATTTCCCGTATATGAACCACTTCCACCTGCTGACCTTGCAGCAAAAATAACAACACTGCAAAAACCCTCAGCATTTGCTGAATTACTGTCTTCTGGACCCCCAAACAAGCTTTCCTGAAGATGCCCTTCTTCTTCCCCTACTCAGGTCTTGCAAAGGGGCCAGGAGCCGGGCTGCAGCCCATCCCTTGCACCCGTGCAGCGCCGTGTGCTCCGCAGCAGCAGCAGCCGCGGGCTTTGCGCGGCAGCGCAGCCCTCCCGTCGCGGCTGTTAATGTGCCTGTGTACTCGCGGGGAGGGGCTGAGCTCGTGTCCTGGAGCTTACATCCCTTAACTGTTGTTCCAGATAAAGTAACTGTCAGTTCTGATTCATACAAACTCATAACTCTATTCTGAATCCTGCTGATTTTTTGGCACAGAAACAGCCTGTGGAGCAAAACGCCTAAAGGGAGCTCGTGTCTGTGTAAATGGCCGGTGCTTGCCGTCCTGAGCACGCTGCCCTTAGTGTTGATTTATTTTTGAGGGATTTCAGTTTTTAGGGGGAGGAAAGGGGACTCTGTTTGTCCCCTTTCCTCTTGGTGCTCAGCTCTCAGGAGGTTTTCTAGTGAGAAGCAGCCACCCTAGACCCGACAACACAGCCCAGCCCCTGTTCCCTGGAGTTTTTGGATGTGCTGTCTCCACTCCAGGTTTAAAAAGCCATTTTGGACCCAGTGATTGCTGGTTTTCACCCCATTACCCCCCATCTTCCTGTTTGTGTGTTCTGTGGCAGTGTGATGCTCTGGGGTGGGTCACAGCTGCAGGGCTCATCCTGAGCTCCTTCTACCCATGGCAGGCAAGAGCAGGAAAAGGCAGTTTTCATTCACACCTGCAGACTAAACTAGTCAGAAAAAGGAATATAAAAAATCACATTTTAATCCTGCAGGCACAGCTGCTCAGGACAGGGGCAGTAGTACTCAGCAAAGATGGGGGTTACTCAGACAGTCCAAATTAGCTAAATGCACCTTGTACCAGGAGATGTTACTTTGCCAGGAGAAGCCTCCTCTTTCTTCTCAAATCTCACTCCAAGGTTGCAGCCTGAGTCATAACATTGCATTTCTTTTGATTAATTTCTTTTGTGAGGGTATCAAAAGCCCTTGAGATGCCCATGTTGTTTCTAATGGACCTTGACAAAAGAGCACTGAGGAGTGAGAAGCCATGAACCAGTTGTAAAACCAAGCCAAGAGATGCCAGCTTTATGGGACCAGAGTCCCAGCAGGATCATCCTCCCTCCACATACACCTTGTCCCTGTGATCACTGAAATTCCTGCTCTCAAAACTGGCTTAACAACTGGGATAACTCTAGAATAGGGAGTTGGAGCCCAAGGCCTAGGGGAAGGATGGCAGCTATGGGATGTGACAGACCAGCCAGCCATTCTTGGGTCCTCTGATAGTGAGAACTGTCACCACCCTCTCAGAAGAACAGGAATTAAAAGCAAAATGGACAAGAATTTAAGTTATTTTTTCCTCTTTAATAGTGGTTCTTCATAGGAGTCATCACCTGGTGCTTTTCTTGTGTTTGCAAGGCATAGAAATAGGCTACTGTAAACAAAACCCAAGATTTTCCTGCAGGTCTGCAAGGGGTCTTGGGGCATTCGGAGGTAGGTGCTGGCAGAACAGGCAGAGCCCTGACCCCATATCCCTCAGACCTGTTGGACAGGGCAATTCTGAGGCCTGGGGACTGTGTGGGGATCCCCTCCTTGTTCTTGCTCTGCTCTCAAAGTCACTCCTTGCTCCAGGCACAGAAAGGTGTTTCCAGGACATTGCACTGCCTAGGGACATGCAGGAAAAGGAATTGCTTGTGACAGAGCAGAGGACTCGGCTTGCTGCTGGGAACACGTGGGGCAGATAGGAAGAAGAGAGCACTGAGCTGCTCTTCACCAGGGGAGGACCTGCCTTCAGTAGCACAGCCCCACCTCAGCCACTTCCCAGGGAGCTGTGGAGTAGTGAGGGGGTTTTGGGAAGAGGCCAGTCACCCTCAGGCACAGACATTTGGGTACATGTGGTGACTTGTGCACATGTATGTCTCTGCCCAGTAGTAAATTTGTTGTTTAATTCTGTCAAATGGGCTGTGAGGGCTTGGGCAGAGATCGTGCAGCTGCTTGGTGGGACAGGGCACAGACTCCCTTTGCCCTGGTGCAGTACAGAGCAGGCACATGGGGATGAGAGGGATCAGAACAAGCAGACACAGGCTGGAGCCAGGTAGTGTCCTGACAATGGCCATCACTGCCTGTCCCCTGTGACTGTGCTGTGACAACCCACTGCACGAGTGTCTCCCATATCTATTTTAGCCATCCTACTTTTGCTTTAAACTCTGTCTCTCATGTCCTCCATGAGTACCGTGGCTCTCCAGCATATTAATCCACTGCTTCATGCATCACTGCTTGTCCTGCCATGTTTGGGGCATGCAGATGTCCTGGGAGACCCTCACACCTGTGGTGTTTTCAGAGCAGTGAGCTCTTGGCAGGCTTCTGCTTTACCTGGGCAGCTGGGCCCACCTGGACCCTGAATAATAGCTTAGAAATGCAGAGGACATACAATGCCTGAAGAGTCCAAGGACAGACCCAGGGGCTGCTGTTCTGCTCCTGTGACTGAGGGCTGTACACAAAGGCTGGGAGCCTGCCCAAGCCCTTGCTGGTGCAGATAAAACTGGTGCCTGATTTTTTTAACTCGTATTTGCCTACCAGAGCCCTGTTCTCCTTTGGGCCCAGAGTGGCTGTTGCTGAGGCCTGATGCTTTCTGTGCTTTCCCTGAGCCTCCCTTTGTACCTGTGATCCTTTTCTCCTCCTCAGTGATTTCAGCAGATCTCTTACAACCATTTCCAGGTTGGGTTGTGCCAGCCTGAGCAGTGCTGTGGGGGAAACCCACCCCCTTGCTGGGGATTGCCACAGTGCACCTTAGCTTGTTTCACAGCTGCACTGCACTGGGAGCTCAGAGGATCCTTAAATCCTCTTAGCATCTCTGCTTTCACAGGAACGGTCACTGGCTCAGGTCTGCTGCACCTGATCCCCTTTAATTCAGGCTCTCAGCTGAATTAATGCCGTCCTATTCCAAGGTGCACAGGTCAGCAGCAGGCCAGGCTGCTCCTCACCATTTACCATACAGTGCATGGTATTGGTGCTGTTTGCGTTTCCTTGCAGAGGTTTGGTTTTGGGTTGGCCCAGTCCCAGTGAGCAGGAGCTCCCGCAGACAGGCTGTGCTTGGCTGGGAGTCCCTGGTGACGATGTGCTGGAGACACCAGCTTGGCTCTGTGCAGCCGTGTGGTGCTGGGGTGGCACCAGGGCTGTGCATTGCAGTAATCAGTATGCAAGGCTTGCCACTGTCCACAAAGACACTTTTACCAAGAGCTTTGCTATATGGATGGAGGAATCAGAGACCAGGCAGCAGCTGCTGCAAAACAGCGTCCCTATCCTTTCCTGGGTGCAGCTCTTTGTGATTCAAGAGCTGTACCTACTCTTGGTGTGATGCCCTGCAGGCACTTCCCTCCCTCCTGGGATTTCCCTTCCCCAGAGTAGTTCAAAACACATGCCAGCACCCAGAAAGCTCATGTCAGACTGCCAACTGCCAGTTTGCAGGGTGTTTGCTGTAAGGGATGAGAGATAGCTTCTTACTGGTGTGGGCACAAGCCTCTTGTTTCTTCCTTAACTCAGGGGAAAAGAACCTTCAGGGCACCACAGCCAACATCATTATTATTTTTAGCCTTTCCAGCTGATATGGGGTGAGGAGCATTTGTACTTGTAGTCAGAAAAAGTCACATCCTTACCTTGACAGTCACGGGCTTTGTCTTGGTATTTCCATCCCTGTGTTCCCTGATATCTCCTTGCTCAGCACAGTGTGCTGGGTGGAGGCCTGCTGGGAAGGTGACCCCTCTGGGAGTGGTGCTGGGTGGTAGTCAGGTGTGGGGGCTCCTGGGGATGCCAGTTCTCTCCACAGGCAGCATCCCTGCCTGCTGTGCACCTGTAGCTCCTGCCCACATGCAGGGAGTTTGTGGTGATGAGGAAAGCCTGTGGCTGATGCTGGTAGAAACCAAGAGCCTGAAGTCCCTATTTGTGTGTCAGCCAGGTTTGGGCCAGCCAAAAATGCAGTCTCTGGAGCTCCTGAGGCAGTGGTGGCTGTCGTGGGGCCAAGGTAGGCTCTGTGCCAGACATGGGCTGCACTCGTGTACTGACTGGGGGTCAGCACCCAGCACTGCCACTCACTCCATTGTCTCTGATGCTTCCCCCTCCTCTCCCCCTTGCAGCGCTCTGCCTGGTGCTGGGCTGCATGATCTTTCCCGATGGCTGGGATGCAGAGACCATACGGGACATGTGCGGGGAGAAGACAGGGAAGTACTCCCTGGGCGACTGCTCCGTACGCTGGGCTTATATCCTGGCCATCATCGGCATCCTCAACGCCCTTATCCTCTCCTTCCTGGCCTTTGTTCTCGGCAACCGGCAGAACGACCTGCTGCACGAGGAGCTCAAGACAGAGAGCAAAGGTGAGCACCATGCTACTGGGGGGATCCTGGGTGGGAACAGCCTGGCAAGGATCCTGGGGGCTTAACTGCCACCTACTAGGCAAGCCAGGCTGGGCAGGGTGGGAAGGAGCTGCTGATTCTCTGCCCTGCTTGACCTCTCTCTCTTCTGCTTCCACAGATTTTGTTGGCACTGCGGTAAGCCTTGAGTGTCACTCTCCTGTCCCCTGTCCCTCTGTGGTGTCTGGGTGTGACTGTGCTGGGTGTCTGCATGACATGACATGGGATGGGATGGGGGACCTTGGCTGTGCAGGCAGCAGGGTTGGGGGCAATGGGGAAGGGAGGCAGCAGAGACAGAGTGGCAGGGATGGGGACAGGCATATGCCTGGCACATGCAAGTAGCATGATGGTGCAGTAAGACCTGCCCGACACCATCCCCAACCTGCTGTGCTTTCCCCGCAGAGGATATAAGGCCGACCATCCGCAGCAGGACCCTCTTCCCATGGCCGGCAGCCTGGGCGCTCCCTCCCTGTCCTGCCCTTCATTTGCTGCCAGCGGCCACACAGCGTCCCGCGCCGCCCTCCGGGCCCCGGCGCTCGTGCCAGGGATGCGCCAGCCGCCCGCCGCATCCACGGCCACCTCCATGTCCACGCCGGCACCACCATCCCACGCCCCCTGCCAGCTCCGTACCCACCGCTGCCTGCGGGCCGCCGCCGGGGGAGGATGCCTCAAACCCGCTTTGTTCAAGAACAGAATCCGGCTGCGGTTTTGTTTCAAAGAAAAAACAGTCTTGGAGTTTTTAACAGATTTCTACATCCCCAGGACTCCTGACCTGCTGCCTCCCACCCGAACGCGCACCCAGTGACGCCCCGTGCCGGCTGCTCCGGGTCCCGGACCCCTCCCCGCTCCATTTTGTACAGCTCCGTGATCCTGTCTCCACAGCCAGGGGACTCGGTGGCCGGGATGGGGCCCAACCCCTACTTTTACATGTAAATTCATATTCTCTAAACAGGGTAAAGTGACTCGAGCCCCCTCTCCCCCCGGCCCCGGGAGTCCAGCCCAGGACATGGTGTTTCTGGTGCGTGGCCGGGGCCGCAGGCTGCTCGCTCCCCTCAGCACGGGGACCGCAGGGGCCCTGCTGCTGCCGGCCGTGGGACACCCGACTCGCGCCGCCGTTGAATGTAAGCCCTGGTAAGTGGGAGCAGCTGAACATGCAAAACCCCCGGGCGGGCACAGGAGGATTCCCCCGCCAAGACCCCGAGCCGGCCGCGGGCTGTTGCCAAACGCCTTCCCTCCCCATGCCCATACGGTGCTTTATCTCCACTGGTGACAGCAAGGCTTTCCCTGCCACACGGCATGGCCGGGTGTACCCGAGCACTCCTGTACCCACCCGGCCTCCTGGCTGTACCTGTGATGGCGTGCGGGGAGTCGGTGGCTGCTGCCCGGCGCAGCGCTGAGCGGGGCGGCCTCCAAGGCCACACACAGCAGCCGAGAGCCGACACTCCGGCACGGGCGGCTGCAGCCTGGCTGTGCCTCTGCTGTGTGTGCGTGGGCTTCTCCTGGCCACGGAGGCTTGGGTCACCACAGCCCTCGCAATGCAATAAAATCCTCAGCACTGGCCGTGTCTCAGTGCGAGCAGCTGGGGCTCCTTGCAGGGCCCAGGGCAGGGCCCCCAGGGGCTTTGTGGGGGCCCTGGCAGGGCTGGACCCAGGCACTGGGCAAGGCCAGGGAGCAGGGCGAGTGGGAGCAGGGAGCAGAGTGGGACCACGGTCCTGGGATGGGGCCACGGAGCGTGGAGGCTGCTGGGGGATGGCAGTGAGGGGCTCTGCAGGACCCAGCGCCGCACCAGGCACCAGGGGCTGGCTGGAGCAGGTAAGTGGTGCCCTGAGGCCCTGCGGGGTGGTGGTGGGGGATGGAGCTGTGCCAAAACACCATCTGGGAGCCAAAGCCACCCGGGATGGAGTGGGTGCCAGCACTCCTGCCAGTGCCCTCTGCCAGCCATGAGCCCAGCGGTGCCCACATCCCTCTGACAGCTGCCCCCCAGAATGAGGTCCACAGGAACCCACAGCGCCCGGGTCTTGCCAGCTTGCGAGTGCTGTTGCCAGCTGAATTGGAAAAACAAACCAAGAAAATCAGTGGAGAAAGGAATACAGTAGCTGTAATATATCTGTATTTTAGTACAAAGTTTGATACAGTGTTTCACAAAACCTTATTGAAAAATATAATTCAAACCAGATGAGCTTGGAGCCCTGTGTTGTGAGGAGGGTTGGGATGGGTTTTTCCTGGCCATCACCAAAAGAGGTGGTCTGCAAGGAGGATAAAGAAGCCCCTGTGAATGTCTCGAGCTGTGATGGGAAGCACACCCTGCAGCCTGAGGAGCTGAGTCTCCACCCGCATGGGTTGGCATCCAAAGAGGGGCTCTGGCCAGAGGGAGTCCCCAGAGAAAGGGTCTGTCCCATTGGCAAAGCGGGGGGGTGGCCAGGGATCCCATTCATCCCTAGGACTCTTTGAACTCGTCCCTTCTGCCTGTCCACAGTGCACAACGTGTGGTCTGTCAGCTCACTGACTAACACAGACTGATAGGAACTTCCTGAAATTCATCAAGTTCCAGTGTCTTGATGGAAAAAAACTACATAGCCAGTCGGTCTAGTGGCATGCTCTGGTAGAGGAGTGGGGAGAGCATTCCAGGCTGTGTGAGGGCAGCAGCATGGGGAAGCTCTGGGACTTGCAGAGAGCTTTGGCCAGGTCTAGCTCCCCCTCACAGCCCAGGTGAGCCCTGCAGATGGCAGAAGAGTGGAGTTGGTGCTACCCACAGTTGCTTTCAGGAAGGAGTAGTGGAGATGGAGCCACTTTTTGGAAGATGCAGAAGGACAGAATGAACCATGACAGATGCTCTCCCACAGTGTCAGGGGGATCATTCTCACAGTGAAGGCAGTCGAAGACCAGAAGCCATGGGCACCTCAAAACAGCATTTGCAGACACACCTGGCAGGCCCCACGCCAGGCTTCCTAAGGAAGAGGCAAGCAGTATGAAAACCCTGGATACCAGGTTCTGGCACAGCAGAAAACAGGTTTTAAAGCAGGTGCAGTGGTGCAGGGCACATACTCTATTATCCATGCCCTCCCCAAATGAGCTTGGTCTAGAAGAACAGCAGCAGCAGAACCAAAAATCAGCCCCAGTCAGAAGCTCAGAGAATTTCCTAAGGAACAGCAGCTCCCACAGCAGCACCTAGCTTCACCTGGCAGAAGGCAGGAGGGAGGTCTGCAAAGCTGCTCCCGCAAGGATTTGCTTACCCTGCAGGAGACAGGGAAGAGAGACTAACATGCCCTCACCCCCTTGCTCTATGTCCTGGGCACCAGTGCTCAAGGTGGTAAGAAATGCAACAATACTACTTTTCAAGTTAAGTATTTTTATTATCAAAATTATTACATCTCTTGTGAAAGTTCAAATGTTACAGCATGGTGTAAAAACTCCACTAGAGTAAGAAGCTACAGCCCCCACCTTTCCTAGAGCTTTCCAGGGTCCCTCCCTCCTGCCCCCCCTGCTGCGCCCGAAGGTGCTGGAGCCTCTGGGCAGGGCCTCCCTGGACCCTCCCTCCACCTGGCAGGGCAGAGCCCGCCTGCCCCGTGCTGCTCAGAGCACGAAAGGGGAGGCTGCACCTCCAGGGCTAAGCCAAGTGAAGTTTACACCTATTTTATACAGTATACAGACACCCAACGGTGGGGTGACAAGTTCCATCCCAACACGCTCACAGCCAGACAGTGTGAGAAAGTTACTCTTTGTTTCAATATTTTAAAAGTCTCCCCTAGGCTGAACAAACACCTGATTTCAATTGTGAATTAGAGAAATCTGTAACAGTCCTAAAAAAAGAGGAAGAAGACTGTGCATCTGCAAGGAGAGGGGAGACAGACTCACAGCATTATGTTATCCAAGAGAAAGGAGAAGTTCCACTGCAGCACCAGGGATGACACCTGTCATATATTAGCTAACCTACTATGGTTATAACTGAATATAAAATTAGATAAATAAAAACACGCCCGATATTACAGTAAACAAGTGAGAAAGAAGCTGGCAATCGTATGGAATTGAACACACAGCGCACTGTGTCTGGGCTGGCTCTCCTGCCACGCTCAGCGGGTGACAGTGGCTGGGAAAGACCCCACATGGCACTGCCTGGAGAGCCTCTGGCTCGGCACAGACCGGGGTGCCCACCCAGCACTGCCCCTTGCAGCGCCCCCGCTCCTCTGCCTGCAGCCCCCCGTGTGCTGCAGCATCACTTGACTGATCAGGCCCCTGGCCATCCCCTGTGCATTGACACCAGCAGCCAGAGAGCCCCGGCGCGGCAGCACGTGGCAGCACGGCCCCAGCCGTGCTCCTGTTCACAGATTCCTTAGGCGACCTTAAAAACACTCATTCACGACAGACCTGCAATGAAGCAGCACACGACAGCGCACCCCGGATCCTCTGCAGCCACGGGCACACGCTCCAAACCCCTCTCGTGCTGTTTGCATTTGCAGAGGCTCTGTTGTCCTGGAAAAAGCTTTGACAGCGGCAGTGGCGACCCAAGCCCAAAGGCAGCCGTGTGCGCTCGTCTGCTTGTGACTGGAATGATCTGGATTAAAGCCCTCCCCAGAACGCACTGAGAACCTGACCTATAAAGAGATTGGAGTTAACTTCCCCCAACATTTCTTTTAAACTGCTTTTGAATTCAGAACTGTGTCCGTGCTGCATGAGTGACTGTGGCCATGGGCACGGACCAGAGACAGAGGCTGTGCCACAGTCATTGCACTTGAACCATTTGCTTTTTTTTTCCTTTTTTTTTTCTCTTTTTTTTTTTTTTTTTTTTTTTTTTTTTTTTTTTTTTTTTTTTTTTTTTTTTTGTTTGTTTGTTTCTTTTTGTTTTCGCAATGTACCCACATGTCAGGGAACTGCTTTGCTACAGTCTCTGCCTCAGAGAAATCTGTTCTCCTACCAGGCCAGAGGCCAATACTGCTCACAAATCTCACCCGTGCATTTTCGACCTCAGCCTCTGACCCCTGGTACCCCAGCATCAGGTGCAAGCTCCCAACACTGGCCCAGGAGCCACTTCCAGAGGTGACTGGAAGGAGCTATGGGCAGTTTTGTCCTCCTGAAGTCCAGGCAGCCCTAGGAAAGTCCTGTTTGAGTCTTTACTCCAGAACCCTGGAGCTGCTGCAGTCTATACTGATGGACACTGCCTCCCCCGCGGTGCGGATAGTGTTGTGCATTGGAAATCACAGCGCCCCGGGAGCCCTGGTAGAGAACAGACTGCCCAGAGTTCGGCAGGCTCATAGTCCGCAAGTCTGACTGTAGTGACCGAGCACTTTGGGGAGCGGAGGAAGAGCCCGACACGCCTGTGCAGGGCTGGGAGCCCGACTCCGAGGAGAGAGAGTCCACAGCTGTCTGCTGTGCCGGGCTGGCAGCCGCAGGGCAGCTCTTCCTCAGGAGGCTGCTGCTGACGCTGCCAGAGTGCTGCTGGCTGCTGAAATACCCCGAATTCCCTGCAAACAGGGCAGAGGAGTCTGTGGAGACTGAGTGGGCAGGGCTGGAATATGAGGTGGAGGAGAGGGATGTTTCCGAGGAACCATGGGACAGGCTGTGTCCTGTCCTCTGTGCTGCTGCTCGGTAGCTGTATCCAGGAGACGGAGCGAGGTGCCCTCGGTACGGGGAGGAGCTCTGCTGGAGCAGGGTCTGTGATTCTGCCTGGGGACTGTCAGACTGCAGCAGCTGAACAAGGCATGCAGAAAAAAAGGAAAAGGCATGTCAGTCTGACTTCCCTGTTTCCTACCAGTTTCTCATCCTAAGGTGCTTAGTACAGCACTGTAAACAATGGCAGCTAAGCACTGTTCCCCTCCTTATAAAAGCTTTCTTTCAGAATGGGCAGATGAGATATGAAAGCATTTACCTGGTAGCTGTATCGAGAAGGACTGTAAACTGCTGGTCCTTTGTGGGCTTCTGGAGTGTCTCCTTCTGCTGCATCTGCAATGTACAGGCAAGATGTTAAACCTCACCCCACGGACTAAGGTGACAGCAGCTCCCTCTCAAATGACATTGCATGGTCCAGCCGTTGTGTTCTGCATTCAGCACCAGCTGGGATCAGAGCAGCCTCCCCAGCAACCAGCATTTCAGAAACTGAGCAACTCAGCAAAAAGCAATTGGGAAACCTTAACATGTGTCAGCAGCCACATGTGTAAGGGTGGCTGCTCCCCTCACACCACTGTGCTCTAGTTTATCACAAAGCCCACCTGCCTTGGACCAGTCTGTCTGAACGACCACACCTGGAGATAATGCACAGACACAGCCAGGTCTTCCCTGGCTCTTCACTAGGATATGAGAAGCAGAAGATGATTTGGCCATTTCTCACACAGTCTTGGTTATAGGAATCCACACTGGATACAGGATACAGTTACAGCTCAGGAGACAAAACTGCCCTTCTTCAGAGGGCTCTCAGCAGGATCCTGTGGTGTGTTTTCCTCAAAGGCAGATCCAGATGCTTCCAAAGACAGACATTCTGTGCTGCCATTTTGGGGACTATGGTTTACAAAGCCAACTGAGCTGCTTCAGAGATACTCCTTGAACTCAGAAATGCCTGCTTTTCTAACAGGCCAAGATGATGAAAATGCTTTGAGGTTTGAAGGACACTGGCAGCATACATCACACACTGATCCACCTCAGATATGTGAGAGACCAAGAGGAATAAAATATTTCCTGAGAGAGTAAGCCTTTCTTGTACTTCAAGGATGGGTGAGCTTCTTGTCCTACCATATCACTGAACTTGACCTGGGGTAGGCAAGAAGTTCTTATTGCAGTGACACAGCCACTGTGCCACCTGTGTTCTTCAGCTGCTACCCCTGTAACGTGGCTGGTGATCCTGCTTTCTGCAGGAGGGGTGAAGCTGCTAGGACTAGATGATTTCACATCAGAGTTCTCCTGCAGACTAATGAGACAGAACTATTTATCTGCAGCATCTCAGGGATTCTCAGCAGTCATATTTGAAATGCCTTGGTGAAACAGTGTTGGTATTAGTATCAAATTTATATGACAGATGTGTCTCAGTCATGAAACAGGACACGCTGCCTCAGTCTGCTCTGTACTTCTGCCAGACATGCCTGGCTTTGCCCCAGCTGCACTGGCACAAGCATCAGTGCCAGTAGTGCCCGTGGTTCTGCTGCCATTGTCCTCTCTGTGCTACACCACAGTGCTGGCTTAGCTAACATGGATCTGGATGTAGCTCTTCTCTGTTCTTGAAGCTCAGACATTCCTTCAGGGCACAGGCCTGTACAGAGACTGGGGAGTGAAGCTTCCAGCATGTGTCCTGTGCCACCTTCCATTTCTGAAATGCCATTGATGCAGCAAGGGGCTGTTTGGTGACATTCCAAATACTGCAGAATGGCAAAATTCAGACGTTTAGGGCATGTCTTGTTAAAATGTCACGCACAGAAAAGCTGTTTAATCCACAGATCAGTGTGATTAACAGAAGTTGAGTATGAGAATCACAGGAAATCTAAAAATTTCTGCAAGAAACTGTTTCTTAAAAGGCTGGGCACACCAGTAGGGCTGCACAATTTACTGGCACTGCCTGTTCCAAAAAGAAACCTTGACAAGTTAAAGGCTACTGAAAGACTAAATTACAAAGGGTAAATAAACTGTGACCTTCCTGAATTTGCTTTATGTAAACTTAAGAGCTAGGCCAACATCTTCCTCCCCCATTCTCAATACCTGCACAAAGGAAGGACATGAATAACTGCTTTTCTTGGCTGTACTGGCCTGTGCCAACCTAAAGCATATATGAAGTGACAGGTTTTGCTGAGAGCAGCTGCAGTTCTCAGAAGCGTGCAATGCACACAAATTCCATTTCATTGCTACTTGCCTCCTCAGCAAACCCTCTAACTTTGGGATTTTTTACTTCCTGTTAATATTATCTGCTATAACATGAAGTGAAAATGTGCATCTTTGTAACTCCTCCAGGTGCTACCAGGAACAGCAGGGACTCAGCCACCCATTTGTTTCACTAAGAAGCAGAGCAGCAACTGGGGAGGGGAGATGGCTCAAAGAATCTAAACAAGCTGCTGAAGAAATTGCCAGAGCAAGCAAAAGAAGAAAAAATGTACTTTGCTGTGCTAGGATGAAGGAGACAAGATGACTTTTGTCAGCTGCAGCATTAGGTTTTCACAACTCAGAATGGGATGGGGTTTATGTAACAAGAAAGAATTTATCACTGCAGATGAAAGTTTAACTCCATCCTAATTCTTGGGTAATATTGAAGAGCCAGAGCTGTACAGGCTGCATTGGCAAAGACCTGTTACAAGAGCCTGGATTTTGCTTACCCTTCTAAAAAATAACCAAGAAATCCACTTCCACTGGTATGGGAAAGACAGAGAAAAGACTCCCAGTGGGGTCCCATGAAACTGTGACAAATCTGATAGGCAAGAGGACTTCCTCTCAAGACTAGATGAAGAAAAAGCACTGAAAAAATGTGCTTAGGTGTACAAAACCAGGAGAACTCCAAATGAGAAGTCAATTTTTAAAGCTGGTCTCAAACACACCTTACTGCAGTTGGGGGAAAGTCTGATTTGGAATGAAGGAAATACATACTTGCCCTAAACTGCTCAGAAACAAGGTAATACACATGTCTGAATTCACCCAATGACCATTAAATGACAGCTTTTTCAGAGCATAGCAGGTGCTAACCCATCTGTCCAAGGATAAAGAAGCTGTCCCTGTCAGAGTCAAGGTGCAGGCATCCTGAATTCAATCCCTGGAAAAGATCTAGAGGTCTTCCAGGTCTAACAGAAGAGGGACACAGGCTCAAGCAATGTATGAGTAACAGTAAAGTTTGGTTTACAGAAGGCAGCTTTGATAATGTTAATGAAGGTACAGCTAACCAACTTAGACAGACAAATTGGCAAAGTTATCCAAGCACATAACTTCCCACCAGGCAAATGTCCTAAAGTTTCACCATCCTACCTGCATCTCTCTCAAGAGCACTGTCGTGGGTAGGGGAGGATTCGTGTCTCTGGGACACCTTTGCACCGCTCCGCAGAACCTTCTCCAGCATCCCCCGGCCCTCCCGCAGCCTCTCCACTGACGTCGGGACCATCCTGCAACAAAAACCCAGGAACAGCTCAGCATTGCTGTGACATAGCAACATGACCAATGCACAGAGGATCAGAGACCACCAGCTCTTTAGATAGATGAGGAACAAACTTCTGAACTGCTTTTGCCATGTAAAAAACCTCCAGTGGGATTTCAGACCGCTGGTCTCAGCTATCAAGATGTCACTGCCCTCAGAAGACCAAGTCTTTAATCAAAAACATGGTATAATCATCCAGTTCAGTTAATCACCTTGTTGCAGAAAAATTGTTTTGAGATTTAACACCTTTTTGAAAATCCTGGTATTGGCTTAAGATTAACTGCAGTTATTTTGCATAATTATGTTCATCCAAACTAAGCAGAAGCAAACTCAGTATCTTTATGATAATACAGTGCCAAGACAGTATAGCTGGATACTGCAATATTCCTGAGTAGAGCTAGCTGGGCCATTTTGCCCACTAATGCCACTTTGTCTTGTTTATTTTGTAGTGTGAAAACTCTCCACTCAAGATTAATGCTAGATATTGTTCCATTTTATAGGTGTCTTGTCTAAGGGTGACAAAGAGATGAAATGGCTTTCCTAAAGCCAAACTGTTGAAGAAAAACAGAGCTACAGACAAACCCCAGGCTCCTGGCTCAACATTCCATCTACCACACACAGGACCATCCAAATTTCTTTGGAAAATGTCTTTTAACCTATAGACAGCATCATCACGACCAGGGATTTACAATGCCTTTACTCTGAACACTGATGAATCTGTGCCTTAAAAATGCCTGAATTTAAATATTTAGATTATATTAAATGCATTGCATATGATGCAAGCATGCAGATTAACTGCATATTGACTGATTTCTATATTTAATTTTTGTTAAGATATATTGAAAACTGTGTTTTCCACTAGGATTTTTTTATTATTTTGTTTGCTTGGAGACTTGTTTTCTGCAAGGCTGGGTTTACTGGGCAGCAGCACATTATGATGGCTTTACCCTGGCAACTGAAAGAGACAAACTATTTTTTTTAAAAGAAAGCTATTCTCAATTATTGCAGTATTCTGCAAAAATCTGGAAAACTCTACACATTAAGGCATAGAATTTTAGTTCCCATCAATTTCTTCTGTTCCTAATATTATTGTGAATGTCTGGAAATGTATCTGATATATAAGCACATGGAGTAAAAGATGAAACTGGGTCACTTTACCTCAGTAACAGGTTCTAAGAGATTTTTTAAAAGTAGAAGGTGAGTGTACATTGTCAGCTGAGCCCATTAAAACACAGAAACCCAAGAATTTTAAAGGCAGCAAGTCTGCTTAAACCCACTTCAAAATGTATCAGCATGGTTTCAGCTTTAAATCCAGTGTCCCGTAACAATAGGATCTTTATTCTCACACAATTCTTACTCCTGAAAGCACGTGGGAAACTGAAGCCAGAGCAGGACCTACTGAGGGAGCAGCAGATGAAGCTCACAGAACACAAAAGATGGTACTAAAACAAGGATGCCATGCTGACACCTCACCCTGAACTAGTTTTAGTTCATTCAGCTGGTTGGCTTTTTTCCTACTCTTTTACAGGCAGAAGGAAGTAGCACAGGAGGAGAACAACATGGGCTATTACCACTTTTATACAATATTTGAAAATAAAATAATGATGATAAACTAATCATTAGCAGACTGCCTCAGCTGTGGCCAGTCCCAATATCTGGCAGAAGGTCATGTGGTAGACAGAAAATGGTCTGAGAGGTAAAAGACAAATTGCTTCTATTAAACTCTGCTTGAAAAGTGATGGAAAAAGGAAGGAAACAGATCTATTACTCCTCCAAATTCACCCAAGTGCTTTCAACACAACTTCATACTTCTCACTGCCCTCAGCACTGCTTTGAATCTCTCCTCATGCCACCACCCTGCCATTACCCAAGCAGTGACCCAACCATGTATGTGGAGATCAGCATGAGGAAAGGGGGGGCGTGTGTCTGTGTGTGCCTTCCTGCTGGTGGTGTGCACGACCAGAACCTGACTCCAGAGCAGCAGCGCCAGTGCCCTACATAGCCCCAGTCAGCAGAACCTCCCAGCCATCACTGGCACTGTAATACCACACGTGGCAGTTCAGTGTACTACTTCATGTTTTGGACCATGTTCAAACGTGTTTGAAGACTTTCCCTTTACCAAACCTTCTCATGGTAACCATGATAAAGGTGCTTCGTCAATGCCTTAGGCATTGCCACTGCCGGAGTCTGGTAAATCTGCAAAGCTGGAGTTTTTGCACAGTCCCTGTTTCTCAAATGTGAAGCTACAGAGCCTGTGAGCTTTCCTTCAGAACAGGAGTGGACTGAGTACCACTCATGTCCAAAAAGAGTGAAGGTTCAGCAAAAAAAGACCTGGATTAGACTTACATTGCCTGGGCAGGACCTTACAATCCCAGACCTCAAAAGGGAACTGGTGGAAGAGCAACAACTGCTTAAGTTTGTTTAGTAATTATGAAAGAGAACAATGCCAAGAGACTCAAACGAATCCATCTCACTGCATATATTTTTAAGGATCTGCTCCCTGGGAAGTTTGGTCCTTCCCTGTGGAAGGGAAGGCTTGTTTGGAAGGGTAACACTCACCACCTACTGCTGATGCTCTCCTGGGATTTACTGAGCGATGATGAGGAACTACAGCCCCTCGAGTCTGGTGGGCTGATGTCCTCTATGTGAGGCAGGGAGGGATGAGAAGGGGAGAAGCCACTCTGTGGGGAGGACGGAGTTCGTGCTGCAGAGCCTGGCAGGCCGTTCCCATCCCCGTCAGTCCCGGAGCCGCCGCTGCCCTGCCGGGTGGGGGTCCCTGCGCCGCGCCCGGAATCGCCGCCCTCCTTGGCCTCCTGTTTCCGCTTGCGGTACTCCAGGAGAGATACCTGGGGAGAAAATACAGCCCTGAGGCAGGGAACACGGAGGACAGGGGGAGGAACTGCCACACAGCGTCCAAGAAATCTTCTGGGTTTGCAGGTAAAACTTGAAAAGGCATATTGGGATTATCAACTCTTACTGGATCTGCAGGCACTCCAGAGAAGAGCTAAGTGGTGCAAATTCAGACTGCCATGATCACCCATCTTTTACTTTTTATGACCAATAAATCAGCAGAAATATCCAGCTCATTTATTTCTCTAACCACCTGGATTTTCACTTTACTTCAGGAGATGCATATTCAAGCAACAATCTTCTATAACCTCCCTCCTCTCAAAACCCTCCATACACTCTCTCTGGTTCATGACATTATGTAATTTTTTTTTAGTATCTGCACATCCCCAAAACAGGCAACAAGAGTCTTCTTCACAGAACTGGTATCTTCAGTGCCCAATTCATCTGTACTAGTTCAGCCACATTAACACTAAAAGCTTGGTGAAGCCTTGCCCAGAGTTTTAACTTGCTTAGAGGAGGTTTCCGCTATGGAGGCATTGCAAACCTCCAGCACTACCACCAAAACAAACTGCTTGTAGCCAAGGTAGAATGTGTTTTGGACAAAGCAGTCTCAGATTTGTCAAAGACACCAACCAAAGATAAAGCAGCCTTGGAAGACAAAGTCAACAGAACCAAAAAGACACAAATATTTCCAGCTGAGCACTTACCTTTCAGCGAGCCTTCCCTCAGAGTTATTATGAGGTAAGGAGCCACAAAGGACTCACAGAAGGCAGCTCTGCTGAAGAATTTATCAGCTATGCCCGTACAGAAGGCTTTATGATGTTAAAATATTGAGCAGGGTATTTCCAAAAGTAACTCAACATATGAAGGTTTTAAGTAAAGTGTAATTTTAAAAGAAAAACCAAAGGAAAAAAAATCAAAGGACTCCAGAAATGGAAAGGAAATAAGATATTTCATGCATCTGGACCCTTATACAAGTGATCTGAGTTACCACACTTGCCATAAAAAAGATCCAAGCACAGGAAAAAGCAATGATATTTGTCCCATGAGTACCCAATTTTATCACAGCACTACCTTGACTTAACATTTTACCTCAGTTTTAGTCTCATGAGAGTCACTGGCCTGCTGTAAGAAACAAGTATGTATTCTGCTTTTGTTAAACTATGTTCATGTGTCTTCAGTTTCAAAGAGCTAAAATTTAAATAACCTTCATCTTACTTATGTTGCAATGTTATGGAAATGTTCTAATATGTTCTAGTAAACAGCCTATGTTTTCTTTTGAAACATTACACCCTCTTTCCCAGTAAGGACCCTTTTCATCCTGATAAATAACACCTCCCCCAGCTGTACAGCTGCACTGTGTTATTGCTCTGGGTCTTGTCTCAGTTTAACAACTGTTAATGAAAGCTGCCAGCATCCTGCTCATTTTTCTGTGATCCCAGAAGATGTTGTTTGCACTATGGTGTCTTTTTTTTCCACTTCTCACATCAAAACCTTGCCTAAAGGGTAGCTCTCTCTCTTGTAACAACTGTTTTCACCCAGGCACTGGATGCCTGGATAACCTGCCCAGACTCTCTCTGTTCTCCTTGTAAGTCTTTGCAGTTACCTGAGTGGGAACTGTAAACATCATGGCAATCTAAGAATTTCTTTTACAGGAGTACTTGCCTTCTTCCTTTGTGGCGGATTCTGGGGAGCAGCTCTGGTGCCTTCAGAAGCCCTCTCGCTGCAGGGGGACATGGATCCATGCACTGTCTCTTTGAGCAGCCCTGACTCGTGTCTGCTGAAATACCCTTCTGCAGGAGAGCTGCAGCATCCTGCTTCTGAATTCACTGGCTTCCTCTCTCCCAAAGGAGGAGACCCCTGCAACAACCCATCCACACGTGGCATAGCGTTCAGTGGGGAGAAGGCATACATTAAATTAAACTCTGTCCGAAAAGCCTGATCAGAGCTTCGTAGCAGCATCTGTGCTTCCCCACTTTTCCCTGGGAAGTTCATCTCTGAAGTAGAGTTTATGGAGGATTGTGGAGCCACATCAGAGGATGCAAAGCTGAGCAGCGACGGCCGTTCCTGGCAGGTGTTTGCACTGGGATCCAGGTACCCACCCTTCAAATCCAGGTCGGATCGGAGGCAGACCTGGAAAATCCGAGAAGGATATAGGAGGGGGGTGGGTAGTCAAGAAAAGGGTCAAGCAAGGGTAGGGACAGAAATTTAAGTCAGAAAACCTTCTGTACAATGCTACCTTCCTGTTTCCCCGTTCCTTTCTGATTACCCCTTTGGTTCTTTCCTGCACTGCTCTGCTCGTTCCACAGGGGAATGACTGAGACTAAACAATGATCAGTTCAGCTGTCCAATATGGGATGCCCTTTCCTCTTCAGCAGTCCTTCTGCAGCAAGAGGATAAAGCTCAACACTATCCCCAGGCAGTTAATGAATTAAACTCAGCATTTTCAATTGCCTCATACATCCCCAAGTTGATGTTAACACAGAGCAGTAGCCAGGAGAGAATAGAACAGACCTGCTGTCCTTCTGCTGTTTTATTAGCCAAGTTCTTGCCTGTCCCAAGTCAGCCACTACTAACTTCCTAACAATAGAATACCCAGGACCTCTAAGCCATTTGTTTTCACTTATTGTGAGCTTTGGAAATCTCTAACAATAGTACATTCATTTAATTTTTACTGCATTTTTACATTTTAACATTTCCAACAAAACCACAATGGCATCATCTTTGCGCTGTCAGAGTTTGTGGAGCACTAGGCAACGATACAACAGTATATTAATTTATCTACTTAAAGTGCCAAAAACCCTCCAGGGCAGCAGAATAATCATCTCCTTCACCACATTAATATGTCAGGATCTCAGACAATGAGTATAACTGACAAGATTTCATCCTCTTTGCAGGACTACAGTGCACCAGGCACCAACTCTGCTCTCCTGCTGTTGCTGAGAACATTTCCCCTGCTGTATTACAGCTCCAAGTAATCCACCACATTGGAGATGAGCACATATTTTCTACTATGAAACAGTCACTGAGCAAAGTAGTTAATCTCATCTTTTACAACAGGTCAGGATAAGCAAAATACTACTGTCTACCATCTCCTCAGCATTTTCAGTCTGCAAGTGAGTAGGTGGTAAGTCAAGGCTGAAGAGAGCAGGTCAGGTGTACCACTGTGTGCTTGTGAGTCAAAACTATGGTGAATGCTTTCCCTCCCCAGCAGCCATTTGGCCACTACTCAGTACATTTCACAGACCACTCATAGGCTGGGCTGAGTCTGAAATTGGTGCTGGTAATTCCAGGGTCCCCAAATCTCTTGCCTGCACCTCAGCAGCTGTGACATACTGAGTCTTTGCACTGTCTGTTTCCCACCAGGGCCAACAAGCCCTAATTCCAGTCTTCAATTTGTTTGTTTTGTTGTGATAACCCTGAAAACTCTCCTCAGCCTATTGTGATTAAAGCTCCACCCTTATTCCCAGTGCCTGCACCCTCCTCCCTCCCCTCCCCTCCCCACCACACACACAGCCCACATGCTCAGGTGCCATAACTACCTCAGGTGACATGGACTCGGGCCTATGCGCAGGGGAGCTCTCGGGGGAGGATACGTTCTAGAGGAGGGAAAAGCATCTAGTTATTCATCTACTTCCAAAGTCAAGAGGCAATTACAACGTACAAAAGCACACAGGTTAGCAATGGCGATTCTAAACAACTATTCCAACAACTGGTCCCAGCCTGTACAGCATCATGGTTGGTTAAGTAGTTTCTAAAGCTTCCTAGAAGCACAAATAGGACTGGGTTACTGCATCTCATGATGCAACTTAGTACCCAAAACAGCACATGAATGTTAGGAAAAGCAGCAGCTAACTCTTTAGATTTCTGATGCTGCCAGACAGATTTTGCACCATGAAGTATAGAGAAAGACACTTTTGGTTTTTAGTCTGAGAACATGGGAGAGAAGAACAGCTGGTTTAGCCCAGGAAGTAAACTAAGATCCCCAAAGACTTAAGGTGACCTTTCATAGACATATACTATAAAACAAACGTGTCTCTTTCAATCCACTGTGGGCTACCTTTCCAGCTCAAGTCAAGAGAAGAGGTGTGAGCAGGCAGCTTTATGAAATGTTGTATCATCCGAGCACCTCTCAGTGAAGGCAGTGTATGCATGTGACAGCACAGTTAAGGGCTCTCCCCAGGCACTTCCCTTTCCATGCTACTGAGCAGGCCTAAAACAGAATCAGAGCAGCAGGATTCCCAGAGCTATGTTGCTATCAGAGAAATGTAGCAAGAGAGTCGCTGTTTTCTGCAATGTAGAAAACCTCAGAAAACTGAGGAATCTCAGAAATTTCTTAACAAAAAGTTTTGACAAACTCCACAAAAATAGCAGAGGCATGTCATCATGCTTCTGGCCACTCTTATGAATATGGAGGGGCCAAGCATCCTCTAAATTGTTTCCAATCTAAAAAGATCACAAAACTGAGTCTGAAAAACCTTAATCTGTAAAAACCTGACAAACAGAGCTTCAGAAGCTTGTGATACAAGTTTTATAGAGAGCAGCTAGGAAATCAGTCAAGAAGGAAGTTTCTTAAAAAATGTATTTCCTAGCAAGACAAGATGGCAAGTCACAACTTCTGCTTGCTTGAGGAAACTTGTGAACTGATGGAAGAATTTTTCTGTTGCTCTCTTCACAGGTTTATACTTGGAGAAATGCATTCACTCATTCAAACTTTGGTCCAGTGAGTTGTTACAGTATTTCAAGAGGAAAAAAGGTAAAAGGCAAGTAAGTTATAGATAACTATCAAAATCAGGGCCAATTAACACCAAAGTAGAAAGGAATGATTAGACTGTGGAGGGTCATGGCAATAGTGCCCTGATCTGTCACCTCAACCACTTTCCACCTGAAACAGTCTTTCATCTCTCTCCTCAATGCTCCACAATCTTCGCTGCTAAACTTTACAGACCTGCCTCTCAAACAGCTTACAAGAAAGGGCTCTCAACCAAAATCATCAAAGCACACTAAGCTGAAAGTACCAGGAAGGAATATTTGCCCTGTTGCAAAGAGATGAGGGATTCCTGCAGGATAGTCAGTCCCTGGTATGGAGCAGGCCACCACTGCACCATTTTTTAAAATGGTTTTGACTGGCAGAGTATGAGCAGCCGTCCTGAAGTCTTCCATGAGGCTTTTTAAATGAAAATATGCAATACTAAAAAATAAAACTAAACCTGCTAACAGCATGATCCGTATTCACAGGCATAGAATGGATTGTCCTGACTGGATGAATACTGGTAACTCTCCCACAGAGTTCAGAGCTATGGAAACCACCTACACAGCCTGCTCATTAATTCTGCTAATTTTTGCAGAAGGAAACTATCAAGAAATCCATAGTATTAAGGCAATTTCCTTCTACCTAGTCCACCTAAAGAAAACCAGAGAATATAGTGGAAGATGACATGAAGTATTGCTACCATACTTGGGGTTACTGAAAGCAGTTTGGGGAAAGAGGAGCCATGGATGTCTTACAGTCTCTGAGAAATGGAACAGTTGTACTCTTTGGAAGCAGCAAGGATTGAAAACCCCATTGGCACAGAGATCTGAAGTGGGGGAGATGATTAAAGATCACAGAGATCTGAAGTGGGGGAGATGATTAAAGATCACTGAAAAACCTAAGACATTTAGGAGCTACTCTGCAGAAATAAAGGTAAGACTAATGTTACTGATAGCTACAAAGTGAGGGGAGGCTGAGCTGTAGCAAAGTTTGACTTTTCACAGAGCAGGGGATCTACCCAGAAGTGAAGTAGAAGAGAAAGGCAGCAGTGCTCTTGAGGCTAAGACTGTGATGCTGCTCAGGAATACATACTCAAAAAGGAAGGCGTCCCTAGTTCCACCTCGCCTACAAATATTGCTGCTCTTTTCCCTTGAGCACACCCAGCCCCGGGCAGATTTACCTCGAACTGTAGTGGAGTATTGCAGCGGCTGGCAGCCAGAGAGGGGATGGGTGAGAACATGATGCCGTAACCATTGCGAGTCTCCTCCTCCCCGGGCAGCGACGAGCAGGGCGTGGCCAGCTGCGGGCTCGCTGCGCCGGGGACCGAAGGGACGGGAGGAGGGGGCGTGACAGGAGACAGCGGCCGCAGCAGCTTCTTAACGTTTTGCTCCATCAAGTAGCGAGACTTCCATTTCTTCAGGGGACTCAGCAAGTCTGAAAGACAAACTGAGCTGAGGACACGGCTGAAACACTGACCATGAGCAAATCGCATGTTGTCTTCTTCCCCCTACTCTCAGCCCAAATGAAGCCCAGGAGTCTTCAATGCAACTACAAAAGACTCCTAAAAACGAAGCACCTCTGAATTACTTCTACATCAATTTCTAGATACTGGTAACAGAACAATACATCATTAGGAACGTGCAGTGAACAAGGAAAGCAAATACTTCAACTAGAAGCAAGCACAAGAGGGAGCTAGGGAAAAGGGAGACAGGAAAGGTTAAAAAGAGGACAGGAGACAATAGAGAAGTCAGAGGACATGTCATTGTGATTCTTACAAACAAATCAGAGGCAGCTCAGTTATCATTACCTGAACCTAATAGTTTCCTATAAGCTACATCAATACAGCCCAAGCACAAAAGAATAAAGCCTTTCCCTCAGGCCTGCCTCTCTTCAAAATAATAATCTCTTTTAATGCTTAGTTTAAAAAAGAACAAAAACAATTCACCAGTAAATTCTACAGGTTAGGTCTTGCTCGAGAAGTGCATTTATTGGTTCTGGCATTCTGTTTAATTCCTATTCATCTAACCTTTCAACAATCAAATTTGTATTATCTGTGTGATGTCTAGCTTCCTGTCTGTTATCCTTGGAAAACTGATCCCTGACTGGGCTGATCTTCACTCTCCTTCTCTGTAAATTCAGACATAATATTAAAGCATTCTGCTTCTTTACTTACAGATTTTAGCTTCTCCATCCTTGAGATTTAGTAATTTATTACACATGTGCCTGTAAGATTTTGCTACACTTTCCTACAATCAGTGCTTAGTTGTCCTTTTAACAGCATCTTGCTGAAAAGAGATGATCCTGGGTTCTCTTCCCTCTACCCCCTCCCTTCCATTGCACAAGACATCCCTCAGCACTGAGATTGATAATGCAATATTAAGTAATTATCTTTTCACAGGAAAATACTGAGAAACTTTACAGATGCTCAAGCTAGAACGGGTCTGCAGAAATTTGAATGAACGGCAAAGCAACATTCTCACCTACCCATAAACTGTGCCATCATGCAGCAGGACACATTAAGATGTCACTTGTACAGCTGCCTTTAATATTCAGCACCTTCTCCCAGCCTGACTCCAGTGCCCAAGCTGCCCTGATGGTGCTGAGCACTTACCTGTGTCATCTTTGCAGATGCTGGAGGAGCTGCTGTTCTCGTTGCTTTGGTATAGACACTGGGTTCTGTTCTCTTGTGGAGCTGGTGAGGTCTGAGTCATCCCCTCTTCCAGGGCTTGTTTGATCCAGCGCTGAAACAGAACGAGACTGCATAAACGTGAAACTCCTCGAGTACTTTCTCTGCAATCCTGCAGGAATCACTCCAACTCCTACACTCGTGTGGAGCAGGGCAGGCTGCTTAGCAGCGTGGTGTTACCTCGCTGGTGTGCATTAGAACACGGCTGTCAGCACTGAGCCCACCATCTACTGTGGTGGGGCTGGGCCCTTCCTGACATGGGTTCTGGGAGCAGTTATCATCAGCAGTACAGTAGCAGAGATATATAAACAGCAAATTATAAATATAAAAATGCAGAACGGTGGCACCTAAAACTATTAAAACAACAATAATTTAAAAGAAAAGGGACACAAATATAATGAACTATCTACAACCACTGATTTTTGCAAAAAATCTGTTTCTTGCCTAGGAGAGCAAATTTGAGCAAAAAAAATATGATTAAAATGCAAGCAGCAGTTTTCAAGGAGGGTAAACCAAGAAAAAATAATAAAAGCAAGTCTTTTCTTCAGCTACTAATAAAAAAGATAAGTCACTGCAGTCTTCTGAACATGGACAACTGAGGATGTTTCACATCTCACACAAGCGAACATGAACTGAAGCCTCAGCAAATCAGCTGCTGCAGTGGGTGTGCTAGCCCTGTATCTTGATGCAAACGGATTCCTGATGGCAGGCAGGAATCTCTGCTTATTCTACTATAAAGGTAACTGCCACAACAGAAGGGAAAACACACAGGTGATCCAGTGAAATGATGGCAAACTGCAGGAAAAAAGCAAACAGCAATTTTCATTGGTGTAGTTTACCCACGGGACTCACTTTATGAGACTCTTCTTGTCCTAGAGAGGTTTAAAATTGTACTTTTACCTTTCAGCAATCCACAGTTCATCTGCATGCCAGCAATGTGTATCCCATTAGAGATACACGTGTGTGTCTTATGATTCCTCAAAGCTATCAGGAAAGTACATCACAAACTCAGTGGCCACAATCCTCAAAGTGAAAACGTCAATGCGAGGATGAAGAGCAGGTGACAGGATCTATTTTGATGGCCTTCGCTACTGTACTGCAGACGCTTCTTCTCTGTTCAAATGGAACTCAAAGGATTCCACTGTGGCCGCCAGCAAAAGGGAGAAGTGCCAGCCAGTCTGGAGCACCTCTACCTCAAACGTGGCATCTGATCTGACAGCCAAGTCACTGCACAGTGTGTGATTAACGTGAGAGCAGCTTACAGTTCAGTTTCCTTGCGAGGTTCAGACACTGCCATGCTTTGGATGCAAACTGACATCATCAGCTGAGTTTTTGGCACAGTTCTCAGTAGTTTAAGGATGAGGCCTGCTGACAATCCAAGAAAATACGTGATCTATTTCAACAGCCTTTATAAATCAACCTCCTTGGCTGAGTAGTCAAAAGTAGACAAGACACAGATCAGGTCTTGAGAGAGCGTATCATCAAGTTCTGGACCATTTCTAGACCTCAGCTGGCTGAAAAGGAGGTGTTCCCTGTGGGTTTTCTAAACATTCCTGAACATGAGGAGATTTCTACATCTCCAGACTCTTAAGTCATAAAACCACCAAATGCTAAAAAGCATTTTCCAAGAAAAAGCCAGGGATCTCCTACGAAATGGATGAAACCCCTCACTGGAACAGTTAACAATTACTTACATCAAAAAGTAGAAATCTAATTATTTCTGCAACATCTGTTCTGGACACAGCAACTTTCAGTACTTTATTAACTATTTAATGGAATTGGCACCGTATTTAAGTTTTCAGATTAAGAAATAAGAATGCCACCATTAATAATTTTCCTACTAAATTGGAAAATGGACAGAGAAAAACACGACACAGCTTAGCACAGGCTAGAACAAACAATTCTACAATTCTACAGGCTATAAAACTAATGGGTTGTTCTAACAAACATACAAAATCACAAACTGAACATAAGTTTAAATCAACCTGTCAAAGAAAACTCAAGTCATACTGGGATGCACAAAATGGGTACAGGTTAGAAGACACAAAGCAACTTTTCTGCTCTGAAAATGTCCAAGCTGCAACACAACATCTAGTCTTGGAGACAACTTCAAGGAAGGTGTGGACTAAATGGAAATCATCCATAGTGAGACAAGTCCACTCCCTATCCAGCAGTGAGAATTATCATCTGACTAGAAAAGAGTCAAATGCAACAGACTGGAAGACTTGTTCCATGAGAATAGTTTTCCCTCAATTTTGAGCTTGCTGGCCAGTTGTATGGCAACTGCACTGAGCACAGTGAGCACAAATAACTCTGCCAGCTTTGCTCTGGATGGTTCTCTCTTCCCTGGAGTTCAAAGACACTGTTAAGGTTCAAAAGAAGCTCAAACCTTGCAGCTCTCAGCTTAAAGATGCATGAGGGAGGTTGCCCAGGCACACAGAAACAGACAAGGTGTTGTCATACATCTATATACGAACCATGAAGAGCTTTACCTATGAAGGAAATACTGAAGAGACTGTTAGGGCATGACAACGAATTGGCTGAAGGTGGAAAACAGTGAAGTCCAAAGATTCTTTCTGGAAAAACACCCTCAAACAAAGAAACCAGGACATGGTACCTGAAAGCCACCAAGACAGGGAGAGCAGAAAAGATTTCTGTATAATTGTTCTCAGGTAATCACACAGTAACTGGAAAGTCTCTGAGCAAAACCAACAGGGAAGATGGATTTCGATACAACTCTCACTGAGTGAACTACCCTGCCTTCCCTGCAGATGGGTAAATACTGGCATTTACTGGTCATCTCTGGAGGAACTAAATCCTTAGCTGGGCCTGGTTCAGGCTTCCTGCATGGCCTCAAGTATCTGTTGCAGATAGGCAGTCTGTGATGCAAAAACAAAGAGCTGTGGACTTGTTCTTGTGAACAGAAAAACTCAAAGGTTTTAAACCACAAAGGCTCTCCAAAGACAATAGATCTTAACTGAGGCACTGGATTCTAGAGGTCCTCTGCAACACAGTCCTATCCCCACAATGCCAACCATCCTCTGTGAACGTAGTAACATAAAACTTTCTAAGGGAAGTAATCAACACTCTTTGAATTGTGTATGCTGGATAATAAACAGCCACTGCTGATCCGAAAGTACATGTTTCTAAAAGGGCAGACACAGGACAGTTGTTCTACCATGGTAAAAGGCAAGGATGAAAACTGAACTCTGGCAAGGAGGCCAGCAGTCATAGCCTGGACACTCTATCAGCACATAAGCTCAGCAGGAATACACGGAAATTAACTCCAAAAGGACACAACAGCTTTACAAGGGGGCCAGTAAGATGAGTGTACACTGTGTAAAGGTAAGACACAAGGAAACATACCTTCTTACAGGAGCTGTAAATGCCATCCAACAGAAAGGGTCTTCGACGTCTCTCAGGGTTGAAAGGTGAACCAAAGCGAATGTAGTGTTTAGGTGTGGTACAAATCAGCGGGGAGTGCACGAGACCTGGCAACATATTTAGGGTAGTTGCCAAAACTGTTGGGTCTGTAGTAATGCGCAGAGGACACTCAATTGGACACTCCTGCTTTTCTGCCTTGTCGTTCAGCCATTCTGTAACAAGGTACTGAAGGAGAAAACACACATCAGTGCAACCAGCACAGGTGAAAGAAGAAAGGCAATATGGCAAAATGGTGTATGGGAAGCAATGCTCAGGTCAGCCCACATGCTAAAACCCCCCTCCTTTTCAACAGGAAGGACTTCCTGTGTCAAACCCAATTCTCACCTGTTGGAGACAACCCAATGTCACAGAAGTAGTTCGATTTTATGCTCCATTCATCTTATTAGAAGATTCTCCAAAAACTCGATCACCCTGTTCAAAACTAGTTTCTAGACACAAAACTAAATGTATTAATAGCTAATTTATGCCCAGTATGTGGCAGCTGCCTGCTAACTTCTGCAATTCTTCCTCCTTTCCAACTTTATCCTAGCTAGTACATGACTGTTGCAGCCACATTCCTTCTTGGTCTTCAATTCTAAGCTGAAAGTTAAACTCTTGGCTGCATCCTAAATGAATATCTGGCATCCCAACCTTGAGCACTTGATCATATTTACCTTTTTTGTTTTGGGGTACTTTACTGCAGCTCGATTAGACTGAGATCCTGTAGCCAGGATAGCAGTTGGGTCAGATCCTGTCAACTGTCTGCCTTCTCCTGGCCCTTCCACACTGCTGACATCTGTTGTGGTTACCAAGCTGGCAGTGCTTCCTTCCTCTGGGACAGCCTGTGTGAGTTCAGCTTGCTGGGAACTAGCTTGTTTCTGCCTTCTCAGTCTTTGTGCTGAACTGGTCCGGTATCGAGAGAAGCGACTTTTTGGTCGGGGCCTGGAGGGTTTTGCTGGAGCTGGCTTAGTCACTGTTTTTTCAGGGACAGCATCCTACAAAATAAATTGTCATTAGTCTGAGCACCTCTAAGAGTATTCCTTTTCTCTGCATACAGGATCAAGAATTGAGATTTATTTATTGACACTACCTGACTCTCAAAATCTTGTTGGACTCTGTGTTGGTTCATAAGATGGCCTTGGGGACCCTTCAACACTGGCACATTATCGTTTTGTCTTCTGCATTCTTAAAGGACAGAACATGGGTCTTTAGGAAGAAAGCAGCAGTAAGAAACTTGCTGCTTGTCTCAAGGTAACTACTCTTATTCCTGACCAGAGCTCACATGGAGTACTCCAGGCAAGTGTCTAAGCCCTGCCATAAAATGGGAACACATGCATCCAAAGTAGACTGGGTCAAAGAAAACCCAAACAAAATGAAAAGAACTTTCCATCACTGCACTTATGCATCCAACTTAAGCTCACACCAGTACAAAAGGGGTTCACCTGGAGAAGGAGCTGGGCTTGTTCAGCCCAGAGAGGACTGAGGGGGATGTTAACAGCAGTCTTCCTACAAACAGCCTGAAGCCACTAATAAGATGCAGTGGTGCATCAGTGGACATACACTGAAATGAGAGGTTCAGACTGGATACACGACAAATTTCTTTCAACCTAACAGTCATGAACTGGAAGAAGTGCAATCTCCATCCCTAGAGGTTTTCAAGAGAAGACTGGGTAAAACACTGGCCAGCCTGGTCTAGCTTAAGAGCTGTCCCTATCTCAGAATGGACTAGAGAGCCCACAAAGCTCCTTCCCACCTGAATGATCTTATGATTAGAAATGCTGCACCTGAGCTTTGTACAAGATAGCAAACAGTTCTATCTTCATCTTACCGCTATTTGTGAGGACCGCCGTGTGTTCACCCCAGTAGTGCTGGTACTGTTAGAAACAGGAGGAGGAGGAGGAGGAGGAGGAGGAGGAGGCGGAGGAGCACTCAGTGCTGAACTTCCATCTTCAGTTTCAGGAGTCTCTGTTTTTACTTCTTCCACCTCAGGAGCTTCAGAATTGACGTTGATTTCAGCATCAGTGCTGTTACGGTCTGATGGTTGCTCTCGTCTCCTCTTTCTCTTTTCTAAGTTTTCAAACATGTGCATGATGGCTTCTACCTTCCTGTCTTCCCGAGACTACAACACAAGGGTAAACTGAAGTAAGCATGGTGAATTATGCACATAAACAAGGCAAGAACAGATATGGGAAGCAGCACAAAGAGAACAACTGCCAAACAGCAATGACAAAAGCCAGGCAGAGGACAGAGAGAAGCGGTTCTTATCAGTTATTTGCATTTTTCAATATGGCAAATTTCCCAGAATAACAACATAATCATGTGTTTGTAGCACAAGTAGAAGAACTCAACTTTGTTCTTAAATAGGACCACTTAGATACTATTGAGTTATATTTATAAAACAGCCACAAGGAAATGCATAATTTTGAAGAACTAAAAACCGTAAGAAAGCATAAGTAGAATGAAGAGATGACTTGGAAACAAATAGAGTTATTTGCTAATGACCAACCGTTAGAACCAAACAGAAGCCAGGGGCAACAGAAGTACATGAATCAGTAATTTGCAGCAAGTGTAATACACCACACAAGCTGATTAAAATGTTCCAGATTCATTCTTTTTGCAGCAAGAATGTCAGAAGATGACCCAGCTCAAAAATAAAAGCTCTGGTCTAAGCAGCTTACATAGTGGATAAGAAAAACAGAACATGAGAGAATAGAGAGGTAAAACAAGTCAATTTAGTAGGTAAACAGAAAGGACAGGAAATCTTATCACCTGGTTGTGTCAGGAGTAATTGGTAATTATGCATATAAAAAGCCCTGCACAATAATGTTGCAGTGACAGGCAAGAATCAAGTGGGTTTTAAGAAGTGAGGTCAAGTGTCTTCTAAGATTTGTCATGGAGAAAGTATCTTGGAGCCCACAGCCTGGCCTTTACAGTTTTCTGTTAAATACTACACACACACACACACACACACACACACACACACACACGAAGAGAGACTGGGGAAACTATAGATATGGGTATTTACCTAATGCCAAGTATAGAAAACTGAATCGCATTAAAGCAGATTAACTGGTGCAACCTACAGGAACAGGGCTTACAGGCGGACAGGAAACTACCACTTCACTTAGGCTTACTGAACTATTCTGTCCCAAAAAGAGATCTGCCTCCCTGCATTAAAATGAAATCGTCCCTCCAAGCTTCAAGGCCAATCTGATGGATGACTGCTCTCATTCAAATTTCAGTGGAAACTGGCTGCTTTATCTCATCTGTTCTAAAAAAATCCATCAGTTAATCCAAGGATCTCTCCACTGGATGGCCCTTGGCTCTCCAAGTTGCTGCACTATTTTAACATTTAAAGCATGCTCCGGAAATTTACACTTGGCAGATCCACATCTCTGATTAGAGGAAGACAGGTGATTATGATACTGGTGAGCAAAGAAAAATAGAGAATTCCTAGCTTCAATACATTTGTTGGCTGGTAAAAGGATGGGAGCAATTTTTCTGGCTTTCTTCCTTGGGTTTCTGGTTGGTTGGTTGTTTTAATTGTGTATTTGCTTTTTTTTTAAATTTTTCTCTTGTTTATTCAAATTAATGAATTAAAAGCCAGAATGGCTCCATTCACATGCATAAAACATTCTTATCCAAGCAGCAATCCCAGGAGCCATAAGTAACACATGAAAAAAACCCACTAGCTCTACTCAGTAAAGATGAAGGCTAAAAAAGGACTGTATTATCAAAGATCCCAGAGCACAAACATATATTTTGATCAAGAAGACTGCTTAAGACAACAGTAACTTGGAAAGACAGAGATTTCCTGAGTAAGCACCAATAGTACTGTTGGTGGTCTACTCCTCTTACTAACTTTTGCAACTTGATCCTACATCTTTCCCCACATGGCAACATGTTTATGAAACTATACACTGAACAGATAGCTGTTTACAAATCTAACCTAGCAAAAATGATCAAGTTTTAAGAAAAATCAGGTTCTGATTCATGGTATGATTGAATTGAAGATATCCCTGCTCACTGAGGGGGGTAGGACTAGGTGACCTTTGATAGTCCCTTCCAACTCAAACTATGCTATGGTTCTATATAGTGCCATAAATTCTTGTACTGGCAATAAGGAAGGGCAGCAGGAACATAAAAAACATCCAATTACCTTTTTGGAATCTGGTGCTGATGGTTTTGCTAAAGGTATATTTTAGACTATAGAACTGTGCTGAAAGTAACAGTTAAGCCTTTCAATGAGGAAACAAATCTATAGTGTATCTCCTAATCTGCAGGACCCTAACATAAATCTTGTGACTCGAAGTCAACCAAACCTGGGTGGCTTTTTACTCCCCCCCGCCACCCCCCACACTTTTTTTTTCCCTTGTTGTTAATCACATAACTGAAGATCAGTAACAGATGGGATTTGAGTTCAAACAAGTGAAATAACCAACTGGACCTGTTGGTCACTGCATGAAGCAAGTCCTAAAGAGAGTGAAACCCAGAGAGAGAGAGGTACTTGCCCGTCTGCTGTGAACCAAGGCTCCCTGTTCCTCTACAGGCTCCTCTTTCTCCCCTTCTTGTTTCTCCTCCTTCTCTTGCACCTGAGAGAGAAACCCGGATTTAGTAATCCAGTACTGTTTCGAAGTTACCAAGATTTCTCTGATAATTTAAGGTGCTAAAATTTAAAAAAAGGCTGCCTGCAGTTTCCATTCTGAGGATTCCAATGCTATTGGATCAGACAACTGCAGCACTGAATGGTAACATACATAACAAGGGACCAAATATTTTACCTCATTGTCACTGACTGCTGCAGGTCCCTCAGGAACTTCCTCAGTTTGCTGACTGCTGTTCTCATCCGACGCAATGCTCTGCTGCTCCATTTCTAGCTCCTTTCGGCGGGCCTTTCGCCGGCGTGTTTCTGCCCCAATCAGTGTGCCTAAAACAGGTGGAGGTAGGTGTTCTGCAGCATTTGGGCTACGTTTCTGCACAGGGCAATTCCGGTTCCCCTTGTGACACGCACAGTCCACTTTATAATTGCTGCTCCAAAACACAAACATAATTCGTGTCACTCTTCATTTCTTAACCCCTGCACAGAGACATTCAATACATCTCCTACTAAACATCTCACCACGTGCCAAAGCAAGGACAGCAGGCTACCTTATGGCCTCTATTGTAGAATATGCCAGCAGAACTGGACAGAATAGCCGGGAAATGCAATTCAGTAGAAAACGGAGCAATATGTAGAATGCGAGGAAAGGGCTGGAGGAAGATGTCCAGTCCAGGAGGGCAGTGGAGAGCTCCCGGGCGAGGTGAAGGACTCACCAGATGTTGTACTCATAGTCAAAGGCGATGGTAACCTCTGTGTCCTTGGCAATGGTGGCAACAGCATAGATGCACAGGTGGATCATCCCATCAGCAATCACATGACGAACCTTGTTAAACAAAGTAGAAAGAAACTGACGTCTCCACAGGTTGCATTTCCTACTTCCAAGATGGAAGCTTTTGAAAAGTAGCTCTTATTCTACTCTATGAATAATTATCCCAAATTCTCCATAGGGAAAAGCCTGCTTCACTGCTCTTGTCATACTGTGCTTTTCCACTTAAAATTACTACAACCTGCTTACCCTTCAGTATCATTGTGCAGCCAAAAGAAAGACATAAAAGAAATCTTTCTCTTCCAAAAAAATCTCCCTCCTGTTCCAAGTATAAACCATCAAACAAGCAAGAGAGACAGAGAATTACCTGCATTTAGTGCACTTAAGTTAGGGAAAGCACTAAGCTTATGTAAAACATGTATTTGCAATTACAGTGATGATGAAGAGGGAATTTACCTCTGCGTTTGGAGTGCAGGACCGCCTGATGAACCTGGCATCATTACCAAAGGTGCGGGCGTCTACACACATCTCAACGCCATTGAACTTGGAGTAGAACAGCACAAAGGGATATGGCCTGGAGAAGCAACACAACATCTCAATCCCAAAATACCAATTCCCACAGCACTGTTGTTAACAGGTATCCCTCACTTCACTGGAAGCAGCACTTCCATAAGCACTATTACTCTGGAGGCTTATGCACTTCCAACAATTTCAAAGGTCTATTTCATAGGGTTTGGTCTATAAGCAGAGCATCAAGCTGAGGTGATATATTTGATTTCCCATTTTTATGCAAGGCACAGCTGACAGGACCCTGTAAGTGAGCACTATCCCATAGAGACACCAGTCTCACTGTGCCACGATGCTCTCATACCAATCATTTCATAGTACTCTTACTTTTTGAAGAAATGCCCATTGACCTCGAATTGCTGTCGTAACATAACTTTCCCTCGATACTCAATTATAAGGGTATCTAGTGCCAAGTCTCTTGCTGCCCTCAGGATCTTCCGGTGCTTCTGAACCCGAGTCACCCTTCCCAACTGCAGCTGTAACAAAAACCAGAGCAAAAGAGGAAAATTTGAACCAAAGGCCTCTAATTCATCAAGAATATTTTACCTAGATAAAAAGAAAAAAATATTCTAATAGCAACACACAGAAATATTATTAACACAGGTGAAATATTATTTATTTTGTAACAATTTAGTCCAGTAACCTTGATAATATTTGTAAAAAGCAAACAGTATTTATTCCTTTCCTCCAACGATAGTCTGACAAATCTATGAGACCAAGTATGTCAGTCTTGCAGCTAGGAGGCATAACCAGACCTGTCACTTGCTACTAACTGGGAATGGCCACTTTCACAGCCAGAATAATTCAGATCTTCCCTAAACTGAGGCTGTCACACATTCAGAGGACAAAAATGCAAGCTTTTCCTTCTGCAGAGGATGGTAAATTCCAACAAACAGGCCAAAGACTTAAGCTGACAATTTCCATCTCCATCTCCATCCAGAAACTTCTCTACGTATCTCTGCTCAGCTAGTGCTGTTGATTTTAAATTTTTTTAACATGAGGAAATAAATTTTTAATGAAGTAGTGACAGTTCATTAAAACATATGTTAAAGTCTGCAGCTCTATTACAATGGATTTTCACAACAATGTGTCTTGACAGCATGAAACCACAACATTCTTTAAGTATAGACATCCAGATATGACATATTTTATGGAATAATGGAAGGCTATATAGGCTATATAGGAGAGACTTATTCCATAAAAACAAAGTATTTTTCTTACTTAACAGACTGAACCTCTCTGCAAGTAAAGATTATGTGAAGATGACTGGCTACCTCAGCACCAGTGCTGAGCCTTTTCCTTCCTAAGCATTCTATTCACTGCTCGTAAGAGCCCAGTTTTGATACTTTTCCAGAATGAATTGAAGCCTAAGTGTTCTGACTTCAGTAATAATGACAGTCATGTATCTAAACTGGGAGTAAACCACAAAATTTTACTGAAAGCAAGTTCCCAACTTTTCTTGAGAGAGCTCTCATTAGAAACAGCTACTGAGCACTCTACTGAAATGGATAAAAATTAGTTTAAGGGGCTCAGCCCCTTAATGAATAATGACAGAACACACCTTGCAGATATAAAAGTTGATGTCTTAAGGCAGCACTCAGCACTGGGAACCCAGCAAAACACTTGTACTGAGCACATGAAAATACTAAACCTTTCTTTCTGACTGTGATCTAGTATCTCCTCTGTATAAAACCTCCTCAGGAAAATTACTTTTGTTATTTCTATAAGACATTATACTGCAGATCTTGGATGAGCTAGTAAATTAAGATCTATTTGTTGACTTCTCTCACTCAGATCGAAGATAAAGACAGCTTTAAAAAAATATTCATTTGAAGTCTATTCAGATGGGAGTAATGGTCCAGAGCTCCTCCTGAGATACAATCCAGTGCTAAATTTGTCATGCCTATGGGGGTTTATCTGTCTTATACCACTCTATCTGCCAGCAATTGGGAAAACCTGGATATATGTACTGGAGACTCTGAAGAGCCTTTCAGGGTGTTCATCTCTTCAGGACTTGGGTCCTGACAGAAGCTCACAAAGAATTCCTTAAGTCCACTCAAGTGGCATAACAGAAACACGTTATTTCCAGATTAAGAAACTGCACTGTTGGTCCTGATTTCTGATCAGCAAACCCATGACATGAGCAAACTGTAGGATGAGACTGTTTACACTACATGGACTAGTGGCTAAATTACTTTTAGCACTTTGTACTATCCAACTGTGACAACAAGGAATAAAAAAATGGGACCAGATTTCCTAGTGTATGACAGAAGATAAGAAGAAAGTATCTGAAGTTATTAGATGAATTAGGACCCAGTGTGTCTCCAGCTGAATAATTCTGTTTCTATACTATCACCAATTTGTTTTTATACTTTCTCACCTAAGCTGGCCCCACACAGGAGGGCTGGACCAGATGACCTTTAGTAGCTCCTCCCAACCTAAACTGTTCTACTACTCTGATGAGCATAACGAGACCATATCTTTCAGAGATTCAAGTTAATGTCTGGTAGCCTTCACTCTCACCTTTGGCCTATGACTGACTTGTATTACTCTTCACCTCATGCCAGAAAACAGCTTGGGATAAAGTGGGATAAGGTGGGGTGGTCAAAGGAGGAGAAAGTCTGTGCAGGAAAGAGAAGCTCTGCATCTGTAGAACTTATTTATCTGAGTTTGGTGAAACAGGAATGATCTCACAGCTCTTCTGGTAAGACACAGCTCAGCTTGTTTTCATTCTCTGAATTTAGAAATATGAAGTGGATTAGCTGCCATGCTTTCATGTGTGAAAAGAACAAATGATTTTATTCATGTCACAGGCTAGGGACTGCTGACTGCTAATCAGCCAAAACTGTTCTGATATGTTTGCAGAGCAACATCTGCATAATACTCAGTGGCTTTATTTTATAAAGGCCCTTTTGCTCTTCACTTCAGAATGTGAAATCAGTCAGGGGTTTGAGCTCAAGTCAGCAATTATCAGAGGCAACAAAGGGCAAATACTAACCCTGGGTTTGGTTTGGCAACAACAGTCAGGAAAGTGATTCACAGCTTTCAGTTTGTCGAGCAACTGGCAGTAGCCAGGACTAAGATCATTTTATTCATAACATTTAACAGCTTAATATTTTCACAACTTTCACTTTGCATCATGAGGACAGCTGAGAACTGGTATATCATAAAATCAAAGAATCATTTAGGTTAGAAAAGCCCTCTAAGATCGAGGTCGAGTGGTAACCCCCCACTGTCCAGTCCATCACTAACCCATAACCCTCAGTGCCACATCCACAAGTCTTTTAAATACCTCCAGAAATACTGACTCCACCACTTCCCCAAGCAGCCTGCTCCAGTTTGATAAACTTTCTGCTAAAAAAAAAAATAAAAAATCCTAATATGTAATATAAACCTCCCCTGGTGCAACTTGAGACCATTTCCTCTTGTCTTACCCCAAATATTCCAATGAAGAGAATCCCATATCCTCCATGTATAACTCTTAACTCATCTTTCCCTACTGTTCCTGGTTTGAGGAAGCTTTTAGGTCACATCTCAATCTCTTTTAAGTATATACTTGCCTCACTGTTGACCTAAGTCAAATGACTCTCTGAACTATTAAGAGTATGCAGGGCATATAAAACATTATTTTTATTCCTTTTTCCTCTCTCCAGAGCCTTCATGGCCAAAGAGAGCAACAACAATATTTCTACACAGTTGGCAAATGTATATTGACACAGCCTCCTGATTTTTTTCTAACTCAAAGCACCTATTTTCCCTTATCTCAGCAAAAAGCTATTTTAGTGTTCAATAATGATACCTACTTAATAGACAACTGATGCAAACAGGAAGCCTTCTCAGTTTGCCTACCAAAGATGAGACAAATGAGTGAAACAAAAATAGAATGCAGTGCATGAGAGCACGTGCTCCACATCTATGCAGGTGCCCTCCTCACAACACTCCACAGCCACTTTCTGAGCAGAGACAACAGGACACAGGAGCTGACAAGCAGCAACCCAGGACAGACACCTGGTTTTTCCTCAGGGTCCAAGAGAAACTACAAAACCACAAAGTCCCCTGACACCTTCCCAGCATGTGCAATGACAAGTACCTACCAACAGCTTGTTTACAGTAACTACAGCCCACTATGAAGTTTTCCAAGTTCCTACTTTTTTGTTTCTTTGGTATGTATCACATTTGGAGTCTTCTGATTTGGAATGCTGGCCACATTTTCCTATGGGAAAACCTATGTCTGTACTGGGAAGGGAGAGGCTGAGAGATCATGACAAGAACAAGTACATTTATGTTTGGTATCTTTTATAGTCTTGTGTCGTGCTGTACACACATCAAGAAACACAGCATGTGTTTTATTACTTATTTCAGGACTTTTCCTAAAATCCATGTGAGGCAGACAGAATTGCTTACATTTAGTCTCAAAAAAGACTAAGATTTCTAGAGAAGTAGAACTTTTTCTTTCCTGCATTTCCTCTTTAGAAAGGCTACTCACATAGCCAGCAAGAAGCGTTTCTCCCCAACACCCTCCCTGTCAAAAAATCTTATTTATTGCAGAACCAGAGGCAAGAATGCAAGAAAGTTTGGTCCGTCCGAAGTCCTCTTTCTGCACTCTCCCTTACTGGCAATATCTGTGCTCTGCCTGAAATGCTTCACCTGCATGAAAGCAGAGGGAAAGGTGGGAGGGAGCACATGAACTTCACTGAGTGAGTCAGCTGATATAAACAAGAATGATTCAAGCACAAACATATACCTGATATTCAGGTTTTTCACTTTGCTCCCTTTACACAGAAGAAGTGTCCCACTTCTCTTTTGGAGCCCACCCTTTCAGATGCAACTATCTCCATTCTCCTGGACAAAGAAGGCCCAGAAAAGCCTGAACTGTGTAGGAATGCCGTGCTCTGTTCAATAAGGCACAGGTAAGATGAAACAACAGCTAAGAAGAGTATGAGTGGGGAGGACATACACCACACAAACACATTGTTTTCCTGTTTCTGCTTGTTTGATGGCAAGACACCAACCACTGCTCAAAGCTGCAAAGTTGGGGAGAGACCAGCTTCCTAAAATCAGTTGTAGTTGTTCAGTATTTGGAAGCTACAAGAGTCCAAATAATCCAAAATCCAAAATACTGAAATAATTGAAAGGTTCTTTAAAATAAAATAGCCTTTCATACAACATGAGTGGAGAAATAAAAAATAAATTAAGCAGGAAAGCAGGAAGTTTCCTATCTCCAGCAAGTGACAGATCTGGTTCTGCCTCAGGCCATTCAGTGACCGAAGCATTATGGTAAAATACCTGTTACCCACATCCCAGAAATGTGCAAAATATCCCCAACTTAGCAACACTGATTTAGTCTACTGCAAGTATTTGTGAATCTCTCTCTGTACTGGCATAATTTCTGGCTCACTGTGTATCAAACCTGTGCCTATGTCTGAGCTACAATACTGCTCACCCATGCCCTGACCCACTCCACCTCTGTCCTGCTTGTTCTTACCTGCATCTGGGACCCAATAACAGTATTATTGCAGGCCAGCTCTGTTTTGTTGATTGTGTCCAGCATGGCAGTTTTGCCCACATAGTCTTTATTAGAGTTTAAATGACGCTCCAGCAAGTTCTGCACATCAGCACTGTACTGGTTCGTGAAGGCTTCCTCGTACTGGTCCGTCCAGAGGCGTATCCGATTCTCCCACCCTTCAGCTGTGTTTTCATCCAAGGCATGTGCTTCAGAAGGGGAATTCTGCACCAAACAGCAAAGAATGAATGGATAGTACACAGCAGGAAAACCTATCCACAGTGCTCCAAGCACATGAATAAGCTACAAAAAAAGGCAAATCTGTTCCAAGCTATGTAACTGTTGGTTATGAGGACACATTTTTCAGCATCTGCACCCTCCAGAACACTGTACAACAGTGTCACTTAAAAATGTACTGAGATTTCTGTACAGAACTAAGATCTCTTGAAAGTTGGTATTTGGCACTGCTACATAAAATAAAATTGGGCTAGCATGCAGCCAGAAAAAAAATTGTAAGCCACTTTGGAAAAGTAATTAAGTACATTAAAAAAGCAAAGGCACAGAATACACAAAGGCAAATAAATCTCATGTAGGCTTGTCCTACAGTCAACCCACTCACAGCTAACACAGTGCTCGATGATGCTGACTGCATCTCAATCTTTGCAGCAACTGATCCAAAAATAGTCCTGAACCTTCTAGCTAAATGGTCACCAGAGTTTCAAGAAACTGAATGTAGAGCATAAGCTAATACCCAGAGAGTTAAAACTGCAAGTCTTAAGCAGAGTAAAGAAGAGAGGGCAAAATCAGGTAATCCGTTTAGACTGTCTTATAAAGGAGGGGAAAACAGAAGCTGGTAGAAGGAAAAACACTTAAGCTTCATTCTTTACTTGGTAATAGTTCAAGTAGTTCAACAAATACTCCAGAGCTCAGTAACTCAACTGGCTTCATAAAGCACTGAGACATGGATGACACTGAGGTCTTAGTAACAAGGACAAGTGCAGAGCAATCATTATTTTAATCATATATATTAAAAACAGTAAGAGTTTCATGCATTTTTACCCTCCCAAGTCACTTGTATACTATGGAGATGGTGCATAGGGACACCACAGGATTGTCCTCTTTCCTCTGAGCCACCTGCTAGAAGCCACTGCCAGCTGCAGGACTGGAGTCAGGTGGAACTGAGCAAACCTTAAGCCACCTCTTGTGTGTCTAGAAACAAATGCAGCTCACAGTTCAAGTCTACTTTTTTGTCAAGTAACCTTCCTATTCAATGGCCACACCTACCACTAATGCAGGAAGTCTGAGGTAAATATATTGTCCATCCATCCCTACTAAGAGGATGTGGAGAGAAACAAGGCAGTACTATTAGGGACTCCCAATATTAAACTTGTGAACTACTTTGATGTCCAAGCTTGAAATAGCTTTGATGCAATCAAACAATAACTGCCCTCACAGAAGAGCAGCCACAACCAGTTCTACATCCCTTACATCAAACACCCCACTCCCAAGTGCCATGAATCAATCACCTCTCAGAACTGGATTGCATTATCTGACTGGAAGCTATCAGAAGCAAATGGAAGGTTCAAGGGGCAATTCCTGTGATACCCTTTTGAATAGGCCTCTGCAAGGTTTGAGTCTATTACAAGGCTGGCCCCACAATCAGAAATTGCCCAGGCAAACCAAAAAAGGGACAAAATAAAGGGGAAAAAAATCCCACCACCATCACAGAGGGTTGTAATTTCTACTCACCTTCATCCTCAGAGACTTTCGTGAGCCCTCTCGAAAAGCCTGTCCCCCAGACGAGGAGAGAGAGAAAAAACAAAGTATTATAGATTTCCTAAGAATGAGGATCCCAAAACCACATAAAATCTTACTCCAATCCTTAATAAAAGATAGCAAGAATTACAGGAAAACCTACACAAGAAACAGTGGACCTGAACAAAAACAGACTGCAATGCAAATCCAGTGGAAACTGCTGAAAAGCTTGATGGCCAGGATTTCTGAACTAAAAAACATGCCTCACACTTAGTAAAAATGCCAAGATTAAAACCCAAACTGTCCCAACTAACTCCACTTGCTTTCATACAAGAAAGGTCCAGCAACAGAATCAAGGTGGTTCACAATAAAAAAAATAACCCCTCCAGACCTCACGTAGCTCCTGCCTCCAGAGTTTTGTTTAATCAGTGCCTACCACAAGAACTTCAAGGGAAACCTAACCTGTGGAAAATCATGGTAAAGCTGGCAGATGATGGGAAAGAACCAGCTGCTCTCATGTTTGTATTCCAATATAAGCAATTCAAAATTATTTCAGTCCCCAAACCCTCACAAACAAGACAGTAAAGTCATCCCTCAACAAATGCTCATCACTACCTACATAGTTTTCCACACAGGCACTCTGTCCCTGAAGAACAGAGCCAAGAAGCTCTGCAGTCCAAATTCCTCAACAAAGCCTTCTAAAAAATACCATGCTCCCTTCATTTTTCATTCAATTCACAGACTGACCCTTTGCCACAAACAGCCAGACTCCAGAAGCTATTTCCCCAAATCCTAATACAGTAAAAGGAAAAAATATGTAATTGAGTCCACGCGCTGAGCATGAATGGACAGCATTGGGAAATAAGGGTGGAGTTCCAGCAAGGTAATTTTTAAACCAACAGCCACGTACCCGAGCAGGTCACAAATACAAGGCGTCCCATTATTACACCCCAAAGAGCAATTCTTGACAGAACAAAAATTTCTTGTCTACTGCCAGCTTGTCAACCTGCTCCTAACAACACTCTGCACAGCATTTGGTAGGAACTGCAGCAACATTATCTCACTCCACATACCTTGATCTTTTTGGTCTTTGGAGCAGCACGAGCCTTTTCTGTACTCCTCTTCCTCTTCTTGGGTTTGCTCCTGCGGACGCGGTTGACGGTCAGCGTGATGCTGGTTGGCGTGTGCTGCGTGGCCGTGTACAGCACTGTGGAGGGAGAGAGTTCTTCATCCCAGCTCTCAGTGGCACTGCTGTCCCCGCCTAGAGAGACAAGTGCTTCATGAGCTTCTCATCCCTGAGAGCACAGCTTACCCTTATGTCCATTTTCATCAGGACAACTTGCTGCCCCTGCACAGCTCTTCCCTGAGAGAACTACATCTACTCTGTTTTCCCACCCGAACTGGGAACAGGTGTTCCAAACTTCTGATATGTCACAGAATAGCACTGATGAAAATTCTCCTTTTCTGTTCACAAGATAATCTGATTTTCCCTAGAGCTAACTGAGGTGAAGCGTAAGGAGAGGAGAAAATCCCAGTGGTCGGGAGGCAAAGAACATTAGCTGGCACTGATCAGAGTTAGATGATTACAGCATCCAAAAGACAAAGGTCTTGTAGAAAGAAAATAAAAGTCACCATTATCTGAATTATAACCTCAAACTCACCTGACACGTTGTCCTGCTTCCGGCGGCGGAGTCTGATCACCTTCCCCCTGCTCATTCCTCTGCCAAAGGAGAATGCACAATTGAAGCTGGTTTGTAGGAGTAAAGTCACTTGAAATTCAACAGGATGTCACAAGATGCGTGCCCTCAGTGGGGCCCAGGATGATAAGAACATCGATTTAACATCCTCATCTCCACTCCTGGTGCCACCAACACTTGTCAGGCTGACAACGCAAAGGAGGAGGGTCAATACTGGGTAAAGCACTGGAAAGAACGCTCCAGTTAGCAAAAGGAAGTCTGTCCCACAGCCCAAAGGTGACATGGTTCGCTAAGAGCAGTCAACACAAGGAGCAGCCCAGATCTGCACTGCACCAAAGCTTACCTGCACTTTTCACACTTGAGGAGGAAACCATCTTGGGAGACACTGCAGTGGCACCAAGTGGGAATTGATTCTCCTTCTGAGGAGCTCTCACTATCCCCGGAGTTCTCCTCATCAGGCGAGTGCAGGCCATTCAGTTCTGCGCGAGGTATAATGGTCTGGACAGGAGGAGAGGCTGGCGGCGTTGGAGGAGGAGGGGCTCCATAATTATGATCCTGAAAATGAGTATTTGCGGTACTACTTTTAATGTGAAGATACGATGCCTAGAAACTGAAGTCCCAAATCCACAGTTCCCAGGTTAATATTTAACTGGTGTAAAACAATAGCCTGAATTCCTCAACCTACCAAGAAAGTACAGTAATAGCTCTGAAACATGTAAATTATTTCCTTCAGCACCAATAAATTAAACTCAAAACCTATGAAAACAACCAGGCTATTTCGACATTAACTGTTGTTCTGCTAATAATCTGAGATGACATAAGTGTTTAAACAGTAGAACCAGCTGCTCTGAGATGCAGAGTTTCTGTCTGTTGAGATATTCAAAACTCAACTGGACATGGTCTTGAGCAACCTGCTCAAGCAGAGTCAGCTTGAGCAGGGAGGCTGGATTATATGATCTCAAGAGGCCCCTTCCAACCTCAGTGATTCTGTGACACCCTGTTTATCCCACAGCTTCAAGCCATGCTCCCACTCTTCCTGACTGCTCCTTGATTCTCCTTGTTTTAAGTTACCAGTGTGAAAATCTGCGCAGTTGAAACAAGTATAAATAGTGCACAATTAACCAAATAGGACATAAAATTACCAGAAAATTATATATTCATATATATTCACACTTCATTCATATACTTCAGTTAAAAATCTATCACCTAGAACACTAATAAAGCGTGCTGTAGAGTATGCAAGGCTTCACAAACAATAAACACAGAAATGAAAAATATACGGCAGAACTCAGCTCTAACTTAGTGTTCCCTAATAAATAAGCCAAATCTCTTAAGGCTTAATAGGCAAAGAACTATGGAACAAGGAGAAAAGAGTAAAAGTAGACAGTAAAGAGCTGATTCACTGCAGAGAGAGTACTCACTGCGTAAGGCAGCCCGCGATAGCTGTGTTTCTGGGTGGCCCCATAGCCGTGGCTGGAGTACACATTCTTCTCACTGACAGCTGGACTAGCTTCCACAGACTCTGGGCTGCAGAAAGGGCCAGAAGTAAAACCCATCAATACAACATCATTTTTTTTAGTGCCAGTATTTCACTGCTCTTTTCTATTGAACACATGAGCTCAAAATGAAGAAACTTCATAAAATCGAGGTGGTGTCATGCGTTTCACCAAGCATCATGTGTACAGAAGCTGTACAGGATGAACCTGCTTTCAGAGGTAAGGAACTGAGTAAGGGCCACCCTATATAGCTCATTAAACTAGGTCTTAGTCTCGGAAGTTAAAAAGGTAATTAGCATGTAAGAAGCTCAGTTTCCTTATTGTTTGAGGAAATTGGGTCTAGTTCAGCATTCGCATCTGAACCCAGCTAGCTTAATCTCAAAGCCACTGAACAGTACTGCCATTTTATCTCTGCAACAGCTTATTTCAACTGCAGCTAAGCAGCTTTCCTGCACCTGCGCTTGTTCTCTCTCCCTCAGATACCAATTGTTACTAAGTCCAACACCCTGTGATAAAGCTTGCATGAAAACTGCAGCTATCCTGACAGCAACTACCAGGAATTGGAGATTCCTGTTATAAAGAGACAACAAAATCCATGACCTGGTCAGACAGTGGCCACAGACAGATCAGATTCACCCTGTGTTTTCTATACAGCAGCCTGCAATGAGCCTAACAGGAAATCTGCTGCTGAGTTACAATGCACTCTTCCACCACAGGGTGGTGAAAAAAAACAGCTAAAAATCAAAGGTATATCCTCAGCAGAAAGCTGCAGAAACCCTACTCAGAGAAGGGACAGCTGCAATTCAATGCAGGGGATATTAGATAATGAGGCTACAGACAGAACACCAGCAAGGAAACACACTGTCTTCTGTTACAAGTAGAAGATACAAGTCAGATAACCTCTACACAGATCAGAAGTAGAGCCTGTATCAGAATATGGCAGAATATTACTGAATCATGTCTGCATATGAAATCTTCATCAAAATTACAGCATGGAGCTGAGCAAGCAGGGAAGAAAAATACAGAAAAGGAAAACTTTACCTCGGACTTTTGCTGCTCTGGTGAGATCTCACAGGATTCTCAGTGGGTCCTACATGGTCAGTGTGAAACAGGCACCATCAAACAATGGCCAGCAATCATACCTGGGGCAGGGCTTAGGCACCCAAGAAGAGTAACCCTTTGCCCTTTGGACTTCCTATTAGCTCTTGAAATCTCTGCTGCACTGAAATTTGCCCCACCCTGGCACTCCACCTCATCTATTCTCCAAGGCACCAACCTCTGAGCTTCTGGATTATTCTGGAGTAAGGTGGATCTGTCTTTGCAACATAAAGGAGCAATAATTTATTGTACAAAGGACTGCAGAAAGCAGAAGATATTACACCTATGCAAACAACACTTCTGTAGCTCAGGATTTAGGTGCACGACATGATAAATTCAGTTAGTTTTCAATGTGACTACAGCCAGCTAAACTGTCAGAAGCAGGAGATATAGATGATTTCTCTCAGAGGATATACTTCTTAATAAAAGGTACCATGTAGAGCTTGCCACATAATCCAGCCTTTGCAACAATCCTTTAGGACTTTCAGATTGGTACTGTGTCAAATCCCTTCAGGTTTAATAACACATTCAGAAATATTTCAATATTAGAAGGAAAAGAGCCTAAACAGTCTAAAGCAGCAGATACGTCCTCTGTCCAAGTCACCCACATTCCTAACCACAGACTGGAATACCAGCAATGCTGCCACAAGCATTAGCAATAAAACTTCAGGATTGTTGGTGCAACGGTGTCCAGGGGCAACAACGCTGGGGCCCATGCTTCCTCAGCAGCAGCACGCCAAGGAGTTTCCACACCTTCCAATATGCAGTCAGACTAACACAACAAAACTACTCTGCAGCCTCCATGTCACCCTTAGATGAACAGCAACACTCTACACCATTTTCACCTCCTTTCTGTATCAGAGGCCGGAGTAAAGCTCAGCCCGTAAAGAGGATCAGCTAGTTTTACCTTCCCCACTGCCTTCATGATGCATATCTCGGAATCAATTCCTTGTAAGAGGTACGAAGCTCAGGTACTCCAGACTTTATGCATCAAACCAGAAAGTTTCAGAAGCAAAGTGAAGGACAGCCTTAACTTTGAATAGACCCCTGAAGGACGCTTCAGCAGTAACAGTGCATTGATGCAAAGCCCAGAGAATGAAGTCCTGGCATTCCCAATTTTTACAAAACAGTCAGACAAACGAATTCAGAAATCTTCAAATGCCTTGTTTCAAAGCACTCCAGCCTAGACTCAAGTTGGTCCTACAAATTTCTTACAAGGGAGAAAGAAAATGCTTTGCCCAAGGTTTACAGTCAGTCTTTTTGATACCTAAATGCTACAAGGGACACATGCGCAGATACATCTGGCTCTTCTCCCTACCACGCTCAGCTTTGAAAGCAAAGTACATGAGCAAACTATTTAGCACTCTTCCTCCTGTCATAAACAGTTTAAAATTCCTGCATGTTGAGTCTTCAAAGTGCTGCTGTGGGAGAAGCAGGGTGACAAGCAATACTAAATGTTAGATCTTGAAAAGTGAAGGATCATGTAACCAGTACAGATGAGTGACTTACTAGATTCTGATTCCCCGTTTCAAAACAACGTGTAAAAATGTGGGCTTTAGGATGGAATGAAGCATCACGAAGAATGGCTAGAATGGGGCCAGTGCCAAGACAGACAAAAAAGAGCATTAGCAGTCTTGCAGAGAGTATGACTGCGTAGTCAAACTCTATGCATAGTCAAATCAGGGTGAGATGGAAGGGAAAAACAATGATTCATACCGTAGCCCACTGCTCTTACAGATCAAAATTAACAGAGTCTGGAGAAATTTCTGTTCTACACTGATCCAGCTGACATGCAGGTATTTGCACAGTAGATACCTTTAAATAATACATGGGAGAAACCTACCTCCAAAACGTCATTTGTGGATTTTTATAAAGAGATACTACAGCCTTTGCTTCAAAGAAGGATGCAGGCAAGCAGGAGGTAGAAGTGCACAGAAATAAACTTCAGCCCTCACTCTCATCCCTGACAAAAACATACTCTCATCCTAGCTGACATCATCCTAACAAGGGTTTTACGAAGAGATCACAATGCAGTATTTCCTGATTTTGAAATGCTCTGACTCTGAAGAAGCAGCCTTTTAAAAGAAATGTAAGTCCCCTCCAAGAGGCCTCAGAGATACAGCTGCAATGAGAGCCCTGCACGTGGTCCTGTGGTGGGAACTCCAAAGAATGCTCTCTGAGGTGTTGCTCCTTGGAGTCTGCTCAGGAGCAGAAACAAAATAAAGGTGCCTACCCAGGCTGATGCTGTCTCACATCTCTGTCAAACTCCAAAGGTATCCACAAAGCAGTCATACAAAACTAGTACCAAGTCTGAGCTAACAGGTTCTACTGAGAGGAAGGTTCAGCACGCTGATCCCTCACATTACAGCTGCTGGAAAAGGAGCTTGTACCATGCCAACGTCAAGCCTGTGTACAGCAAACGCACGACTGCCTGCACTTGAGTGTAGATTTACTAGTCAAGCTGATCCAAAACATATGGTTGAGTGCCTCAGACCGTTGGAATTCTCCTTTTCCCCATATCCTCTATCAAACTTACCAATTCCCATAACACTGCATTTGTTAACACCCATTTCTCATACACCCATCTCTGGACCAGCGGCCCCTTTCTCCCGAGTGGAGAAAGCACTGGCACCAATCCTACAGCCCAACTCCAGGTCAGCCCTCTGGCACCCTCCCATTCTCCTTTCTCCTCATCCGTGGGGTAACACTCACTCCGATCCTGCAGCCATGTCGGAGTAGGACGTATCTGGTGTGGTGACTCCCAGAGGGATTGCAATGCTCATGACGCCCGTCGGGGATCACGGAGTCCAGAGGGCAGCGACTGGCCGCTCCGAGGGCGGAGAGGAGCCGCAGAGCCTCGGCCAACACGTCACGGACATGGGGAAACCTACCGGGGTAGAAACAAAGCATTGCATCTCCGTTACAGGATGAGGTCTCCCTGGATCCCTCTAAAGAAGGCTTTCACAGCAAAGAAAAGCAGAAATAGATTTCCATCAGTGACATGCCACATCATTTTTACTTAATTTTCATATGTAGGGCCAGGAAAGGTAGATGGTAGTAGTTTGGTGGGGAGGTTGGGGGTTTTTTTACAGTGCTGGACTGACATGTAATGAGCTGCTTTGCCTTAAAGCTGATAATGATAGCTCCCCCCATTCCCCAAGTAAATTTAGGACTAATTATCAGATAAGTAATCTATTAAGTCCTTTTGCATATAAGCAGCAGCTGTCACCTCTCACCCACAGCCCTCCAACAGCATTTCCTAACTCTTTCTCCAAACAAGCTGCAGGCAAAATCCCATCTCTGTGGACAACTAGACAATGCCAGGGTGGACTGAGCTGAGACTCTCCCTGGAGATCAGCCTGTATGTGCATTCGCTAGGCCTACAGCACAGGTGAGTGTGAGCGGCAGAGCAGCTGCTCCCACACCACCGATGGCTCCCCTGGCCACGAGGCCCATCCTGGACTCTGCACGGGCGGCTCAGCGAGCCCTGACACAGCGGGCCTGACTGTCCCTGACACCTCCCCACGGCAGAGCCACGTCAGACGGCTGGGCGCGGGGAATGCGGCGGGAGCACTGGCTGTGTGCATTGGCTGTGTGCGGGGAGCCGGGTGAGTCACGGCGGCCCCGGGGCGCAGCCGCCGCCGTGCCGGGGAAGCCCGGGCTCCACCTTCCCTGCTGACCACAGCGCTCTGCCACGGCCGCCACAGAAATCGCCCATAAACGCGGCCTTCCTAGGGTCGGATGGCGGCCGGAGGTGAAACGGGATCAGCTCCTCGTTATGTAAATAACCTCGATAACACAGATGAGCATAAAGGAGCTATTATTCTACACAGCTCGAGAAACCATTCCCCCCCGCCCCCAACACAGAGAGAAGCTGCATTTCTGCACGAGGCAAAGGTAGCTCCAAAACCAAAGACAAATGGTGACAAGCACCCTCTCTGCACGTTAGAGTTTAAGGGCAGCCTCGAATACTTTCCACTGCCTTTCCCTGGCTCCAGCAGCACAGACAAGCCAGCCTGCTGTCACATGCTCCCCGGCATCTCGGGGCCCTGCCAGCAAACCCTCCTGGGCTACAGAGGCCGTGAGCCAAGTTTTCCTGTGGGTAGTGAATTTCTCACAGGGAACTGCCTTTGAACACCACAGTCCAGCCATTGTTTAATACACAAAACCCCCAGAAAGACAAAAACACACACTCACTATAAGGGCAAATGAAGAGTGAGAGTCAGAAAGTTTAAATGCTACATGCTATATTGCCTTTTCCTGTCTTAAAAGGCAGGCCACTTCTCTTGGTGCAAGGAAATACTTTCCTTCTTCAGCATACATCCCTATGGAAAATCAGACAGTATGACAGGCATACAGTGAATTACAGAAGTAGCACATAAAGATTTCCAAGTGGTCGGTGGCAATTCCCTGTTATGCCCCAAAGCAATGGTCTCACGGGGAGGTGGGAGATGAAAAAGGAAACAGGCAGGACTAAGCTCACAAATAGTTCCAACCCAAGACAGCCCAGTGTCCTTGAGTGTGTCTTCTGGAAAAAAAAAATAAAAGAAAAAGAAAAGGACCTTCCAGAAGTGTCTTATTTACCCTTTCTCATGCTTGTGACAAGAGTTGTGATGTCTACACTGACACAAGATGAGACAAATTGCTCCTAAAATACAGGTAAAAGCTACAGACATCAATCCCTGCTTCAATCGAGTCACGTAAAACTCTAGCAGAAGGTTAAAAGAAATAAGACAAGTTTCTCAGTGTCTGAAGCACCCTTCCCTTTAAGGGACATGGAAAACTCTTCCTCTCCTCACGCCCAGTAATTTTTCCTAAATACTTGTTTAGATGTTTTTCCCTCTATTGATCTCATGCCTTTGCCAATGACCATACTCAGCTGGCAGCAGCCCGACATTTCATCAGGACAAATTCCAGCCTCCCGCCTGCCTGTGACTCAGCAAAACTGGAGGATTTCAGGTGCAGCTTCTTGACTAGAGAGTCACAGGATACCTGGTCAGTCCAGGAGTAACTGGGAAAAGTTTTCATCCACTTCTCATAGGAAACCCTCTTTCTATCAGCACTGTACAAATGCTGCTGCACTGACATGATCTGATAACTCTCATTTTTGGGAAGATTACTGGAGAAACATGAACTAGAAAACCAGAAGGTTAAACAAGGCAAATTCCAGTTCACTTTTGCGTTGACCCAGCAATACTTGCCCAACTATCACCCATGCTCAGATTTTACAGTTTGGTGCTGCTGTTTTATGTGTACTTTCAACTCTGACAATGTGATAATTGAAAATGAATTGCTGAGACCAACTTCAAGTGCTGTCCAAGACCACATCACGTTCAGGCTACATTACAGTCTGGACTCCATGAAGCTCGTCCTGCTAACATGCAAAACATAATCCTGACAGAAAATCCTGGGGTTGAGATCTAAATGTTCACCTATCAAACTGGCCAATTTCCTGTATATTCAATCCTCAAGGTCCTTCCTACTTCTATCCCAAAAATACAGCTGTATGGGAAAAAAAAAAAGAAATCACACCCAGTTATCTCTGCTGCCAGTGGAATATGTTTTGTTAAAATTCAAAGTCTTAATTCAAATCTAATGAGCTTCAGACCACAGCACAAATCTGTCTCCATTACAACACAGTTCTTCTTGAAATCCAATGGAAATGGGAATTTTGATGGCCTATTAGGTAGATAATATTTAGCTGGTTTTAAAAATGCAGCATTTTAAGATTTTTTCCCCCCCTACATTTGGCACCTACACACCAGTCTCCTTAACCAGTCATACCGGTATAAAGATACCTGGTCTTCCCCAACATCATCAGAACAGCCCACACGAGCATCCACCCACACAGCCACCCCAGCTGGGATATCCAGCTCTCAGCACAGGTCACACGCCAAGGGACTGACCCATTGTGAGTGGCTGTCTTGGCTACACTGTGAATATATGCTATTCAGTTATTTCAGGTAACATCCTGTACTGACAGAAAGGACCGTAATAAATCTAAGCTGGCCAAGTGAAGGTTAAGCAACACCTGCTCCTGTAACAATGAATTTAATTTTTGGAACTCTGTTTAGGATGCAACGGCGGCAGCGCTGCATTGGCTCACTTCCACAGCCAGTGCCATCCATGTACAAATAAAGCAGATGCAGAAAATTTACTGCTGGAAACTCTATTACTTGTGATGTTAAAAGTCTGTACTAACAGGGACAATCAAGCATGGTGAGTCAAAGAGCTCACCAGAGCTTCCTCCTTCAAGATGTGGTCGTTCCTGTTTTCACTCGTGTCCCAGTCATACAGACACCTCTGGGCACCCATAGTGTGCAACACTTGGTGACAGACTCTACAAAGTATTTGTGAGCGTCATGAAAAATTCACCTGCAGACAAAAAACCCCAGGCACAGCCTCACAGACTGCATATGCTACCTAAATTCAGACTCCATCACCCTTTGGTGCTGCTCAGGTGATGCTGTACAATCTCAGGGGGGACAGAACGTGTCCCTTGCACCCTCCCACCGTCACAGATTCAAGGGCAAAGCAGTTACCAAAGAGGGGGTGGACAGAGATACATCCTGTTCCTCTGCAGAGTCACTGTATATCTGTGAGTCTGTGTCCACAGAGAGCCCGAAATACTTTACCATTGTGCATCCAGTGTCTCAAGCATGGCCAAGAAAGATAAAAAGGTAACACTGGTACAAACGCATCGTGGACAAACTGACAAAAGCTTTTTCTGAATATGCAAAACTTCAACACGTGAGCCAGGGCAGGGAGAACAGGAAAATCACCTCCATGTGCACTGATAGTGACCACTTCTTGTTCGCAGGTAGTAAAGGACAGAAAAATGCTTCCTTTACCTCTCCCCACAATTCCAACAACTCCAGTTATTGAAGTCCCAAACTGGAAACAGATTCCAGGCTTTTGACAACCCAGAATTACTAGTGTCTGAACAATAACCACCATCATCTTCTCTATGCTCAGCAATGGGCCTCTAAGCCACCTACAAAGGATGAAGCTCCATGTATAATGAGTTGCACATCTTTATCTCCCACGTCATTACCAGTCATATCAAATTCAAAGCACTTTTTTCTCCTGCACCTCATAATGCCACAGGCCAGTCCAGAGCTGGTGGGAAACTGGTAATAGCAGCTCTGCCATGCAGTCTTCTTTGGCATCCTCTCCACCAGCCTCATTTGGGACAGAGACAGCAAGGTCTGATGAGTTCATACTTAGACTGTCATCTGCACTAGTGGCAAATCACTCAGCATGTGGGGCAATGTAACAAGTGTTAGCATCTTAGATCTTCTTCATTCATCTTCTCCCTTGGAAATTTCAGAACAATCAAAATCTATGGGACATCTAATGTAAACAGGAACAGCTTCCATTACCATGCTGAAAACGTCCTCTCATCAGCCAGTGCCACTCAAATATGAGCACAGTCCACCTGAGTCCAATCAGGTACTGCCTGTACACACACAAACCTCATGTCAAGGTCAGATCCTCACAGAAGGGAAAGCACCTTTAGAGCAAACACAATCAGAGCAAGGTTTTCTGTGTTTAACAGGTCAAAAATGCATCAACTTCCCTGAATTTCAGACATGTTGTTCTATTAAGACCTCTACACAGACACAGTGACAGAGCAGATAAATCCTTAAATCATTTAGCTCCAACTTACTGTGAAACAGATTGCAAAAAGTACTTGAATTGTGCCTCAATCTACCAATACAAATGCTTAGCTCTGCTCTGAAAACAAGCTGGGTTCACTAAGCAGCAAGGAAACAACTGTGCCAGTTTTAAAGAATGAAATATTGATATAAGTATTCACTATTATCATTAGATCCATAGATCATCTGCTAGTGGGCTGACAAAGCAAGACAGCAATTCTATCCCACGGGGTCTGGAAGAACTCAGTCCTGGTGTACCACAGAAAGGATCAAAGTAACAGGCAAGACTGGTATTCATTACTAGCTATGCATACCATGATAACCAAATTTTTGACAAGTATAGCGCAGTGGTTAAAGATTTATCTGTCTTAAGCCTTTCTCAAAACTGTCTCCCGGTTTATATGTTTGCAGCCATATGCAAAAAAGAAATGCTTGTATGTACACATTTGGTTCAGGGTTCATTTTGCTCTCTGGGATCTAGAGAACCTTGACAAAACACCAACAAGCTCTTAGAACAAGAATAACAGCATTTTAAAACTGTAAAGTGTCAAAAAGCAACAGCCCAGTGAGACCTGTTCCTGCTCACCACACTCACTGGAGTCAAAGATCAGGGAATGGCAAGACTACTGCTTTCAGTGATTTAAAACACTTTTGGTATCCATAGGCCTATGCATCAGTCAAGTTGTTCCATACAAGATATGAAATCATATTAACAATTCCCATTATTCTTGAAGTGCTCTATGAAAGCACTACAAACTACCTCAACACGTTTATGAATACACCTACTTAGCTAATGTCAGCATGATAAAGTTGTTCAGTGAAGGCTAAGTAAGCCATTATTAAAACTGAACTATAAAAAAGTTAAACTGATTTTGATAAAATCTAGAAACAGATGGAAAGTAAGTAAATTTAATTTAAAAAATTAAACTAGGTTTAAGCCATATTAAGGC